TCGGCTTAAATAGCACGCGGCGGGGGATGCCGAACCACTCACATCAGCATATTCCTCTGCCCTTTTGCCACCGACTTTACTTATGTAATGAGTATTTGGTTACACAAATCTTAGAGCCATATTCGTACCAGCTGACCCTCCCAGCTGCCCTCCGCTTACTGGATACTGAATGCTTAAATTACTAAGCAAATGACTCATTCATCAAACGGCAGCACTCCGATTAGCATTGCCTGTCAGCAGTCACCAGTCACCCATTGAGTGGAGCGAGAGCTGCCCAGAGGAGATTTCATTAAAAATGATTTAAAGGAAGAGCCAGCCACTGGACCTGGACAGGCTTCTGCCTCTGGGATGATGGCTCATGGCTCATGGCTCATGGAAACGCATAAATTAAAAACGTTTGCCATCCGTCCGGCAATGATTTCCACAATGATGCAATGCAGCCATGTCCCTGTACCTGTCCCTGTCCCTGTCCCCGCCTCCCATGCTGCTGACAGTCACGCGGAGGCATTCGGATTGCAGTTGAGGCGCCATTCACACATTCTGTTCGATTAACTCGTTGACAGGCGGATAATTTCATTGAGGGACTGGCCACAGCGCTGCAGCGTGTCGCGAATTACAGGCGACATGTTTGCCATGTCACGCCTCGCCTCGGTACGCCACCCCACCAAAGAAGCGCTCAGTTTGAGCGGCATGTGAAGGCAATTATGAAGCGGAGGAGGAAGCCAGCCTTAAATTGATTAAAGCTGAACAGTTGACATTTTTCGTTAAGCTCCCGGGAACAATGGGAATTATTCAATGCCTCGATAATAACGAATAAGTATCAGTAAACAGCAATAATTGAAGGAAAGAATTTAAGCCACGAAACTCGCTTCGATCCAACAATAGTTTCATGGCTAATCAGTTTATTTAAGTTAATAATCTTCCATGAATCTAAGTCTGTTGATTGGCATTCCCTGTATCTGAACGTATGCTCGGATACTACACATATTAGCCAGTATCTATATCTCCCTGCTTCCATCTGCACTCTGCCTAGTGGCTCTGCTCGTCCCTGCATCCTGCGCTCGCAGTCTCAATTTTGTATATTTTTATATGCATTATGCGTTTAATGTCGCTTGATTTACATTAGTTTGTGCATCGGCGCAAATTGAATTTCCTGTGCTTTGTCTTGAAAATTACACAAAAAAAAGAAAAAACAAGCGAGAGACACACACAAAATAGAAGGAAAAGCTTAACAAAATGAACGTGCCCCAGGAGGAGACGCAATATGCAAATAATCTGCAAATTTATAGGCTTTTACTTGGCTGGCACTGGCTGCAGCTGCGCCACGGATTTAGGTCCTTGAGTGGCATGCGGCATGTGCCAGGCGGCATGCGGCTAAGCCAGGCTATTATCTTTTATGAACTGAACTTCCTTTTTTGATTGGTTTAATGGAGTGAGCCACCCACCCACCCCACGCAGATGGCCTGCGGGATGCGGCAGCAGGTCCAAATGATTGATGCATGTGCAGAGATGTCACGGGTAAACATGAGCCCAAAATCTTGACATTTCTTGTCAGGCCGGAGGACAAAAAAAAAAGAAGCTAAATGAGAAAAATATTTCAACTATACTACGTCTACGATACTCGTACTATGTGCGTATGTATGTGTGTGTGTGTGTGTATTGTATATGCGTTCATATGTTTTTTGTTTTTTGTTCATTTGGAAAATCCATTAAAACACTTGAGCCTGCCAGTCGCGGAACGAGACGCGAGGCGACGCGAGGCGACGCGACGAGACGCTCTCCAAACAACAGCCACAACCAGAATGCATTTCCGTTAATAGTGAAGGCGGCTTTGAAGGCTGGCAGCAACACTTAGACGCAGCACTTTTTGTTACCCTTAAACCCTCAGAGGCAGCCACAGCCACAGTCAGAGCCACAGCCCCAGCAGTCTGCTGTGGAGCCCCCTGCTGTGGAGTACATAAAATGTTATTGATATTGCAATTTTTAGCATTTTGTAATTGAGGCTGCGCCAGGGGATACGTACTTATCGCAGGACCATCAATTGTCTGCCTCCGACCAAGATGCGCCCGATATTCCAGAGATGCAGGACTCGAGCCACCACACCCACAGTGCCATCAAGTTGGTGTGGCTGGGGGGACAGATAACTGTCTAAATGACACTTGAGCATGTGTTTAAACATGCCAAGCACTTGGCTCACTCAAACTATGCAACAAGCAGAGGGGCAGAGGGGCAGCAGGGCAGAAGGGCAGGGGAGCAGAAGGAGCACACGGGTTGACAGTTGCCAGCTTCAAAGTTCAGGGGAAACGCGGGTGTGCCTTGCCTCGTGCTGTCGATGCGCTGATAAGTCTGTATCCCATCCCTCTCCCTCCTACCACCCACGATGCTCTCTTCCTTGGTCCCGTGTTTGTGTGTGTGTGTGTGTGTGTGCTCCTCTTTTCTCACCCTCTGCACGCATCTTGTCTCGTCTCGAGCATGAAGGCGAGTGCCAATGTTGCCAATGTTGTTGGCTGAACTCATAATTGGAATTAATTATGCATTCGCACTTTGCGGCCAACTTTTCAAGTGGCTGGAGTGGTTACCAGGAGCCAGTTAGCTAAGGGTCTCTCTGTGTGTGTGTGTGTGTGTGTGTGTTGCTGCTGCTGCTGCTGCTCCTCTAATTGTCCAAGTGAGCAAGCAAGGCCCGACGCGTTGCAGCCAACGCCTCGAATGAGGCGCCAGAGGAGCGGAGCCCAAGAAACTGCGGAGGGCCTTGAAGCAGCGCCTGTTTGGCTGCTGCTGCTGCTGCTGCTGCTGCTGCTACTGGCAAGGGTTAAGTGCAAATTGCAGTTATCGTAAGTATTTCCCATACACAGATACCGCCTAGATGTTAGTGGGGCTGTGTTCAAATTTGTTTCTATTCAAGCTGCTCAGTTGTGTTTTCTTTGAGCGATGTTTAGCTATTTATAGCTTACAGTAGCTCCCCGGACATTCCTTACTAGTGGAGATAATCCACAGATATTTATTCACCTCTGCCCCACCCCGTATGCTGCTCATTTAATTCACATTTTTGGTCAGATTTTTATTCACACTTTGCGTCGAACAGAGTCCAGGCGGCACATCCCCTTCCAGTTCTCCCCGTCAGTGGTTCTCGAGCGTAGCCATTCTAAAGTAACTTGGCCCATTTATCTTGCGTGTTTTTTCTTTGTGCTTACATTTTCCCCCTGCCACGGCTGGAGTCCAATTTGTTGCTCCTTTATGGCTCCATAAAGGCAGGATATTCCATGCATTCCATGCCCACACCTGAGCTCAATAATTACCGTGCAGGCTTTGTCGAGGACATCCCCCGCCCACTCCCACTCCACAGACTCCTGGTACGCCCATTCTGTATGGTTGCCCCATTGTCTTGTGGGTTTGCATTGTGGCTTGGGGTTTCCCAGCGAGGGTAGGAGAACTCGGCATATTAATGCATAAAGGAGAGTCAAGATGTTGAGAATTAATTAAAATTTGACAGCTAATAAAATGCAATCACTGCGAGTGTACGGCATCTTGTGATGGCCATCGCAATGGGCTCGTTACAATGGCCATTTAAGTTGCGAATAGGCAGACAATTGCACGCTTCATTTCATTTGTTCGCTTGTTTTGACAAGCCACAAAAGAGACGGGGAAAATCCAGACGAAAAATGACAAAAGACTGTCGCAAATCGTGAATGAATCGTGAATCGCGGCTAGCGAGTGAACTGCCAAAAGCCGGACAATGCCAGGCAGCCGGAAATGGCCTGACTTGATAGGGCTGTGGGCCGGGACGGGACGGGACGGGCCGGGATGGAACGGGCCTGGTCGCGTGTCATGAGCAAACAAGATAATGTTACAGCAGTCATCGCAAATTGAACAGAACAAGAGTCCTGTTGCGGCGAAGGAGCAGGAGGAGATGGAATGTGCGGACGCAGTTTGTTTTTTTCCTTTCGCCATCTTGGCGATTTGTACAAAAAAAAATGCAAATGAAAACGTCTCAACTTACGGCATGGTAGCCAAGAGAGAAGGACATAGAGAGAGAGAGAGAGAGGGGGAGAGAGAAACTGCCTTAATGAAAATGCTGCCACAGGCCACAAGAGGCTGCCCAGTGCCAGTGCCGGACGCGGTGTCCCTTACAGCACTGTGCGTGGTGTACTCGCAAGCTGGAAAATGATTGATCGCCAGCATTAATATCCCAAAAATGTTATTGCCAAGCATTCGACAGTTTGCCGAATCGATTGCTGGTCGCCAATGGCTTTATTTATGCTTTAAGGCATACGTTAAGCCAATGGATCCATAGAATGAAGTTGAACTAATGCTCTAAGGGTTTTAGTTAGAAGTTAGAAGCTATTTAAACATCAGAGCATGCATTCCAATAAGAACTGTTCTGGGCAGCAGCTGTAAGAGAGCAACAGCGCTTTTAATGTGCCAGCCTGTTACCGCTCTCCGTTTAACAGCCAGTGGCCGCTCCCAGTTACAGCACACGGTTACAGCTCGTACCACTGCTAAATATCGGTCTCCACTCGACTCTCCGCACGGCTCTTATGATATGTCTTCATAAACTCTCTCTCTCTTGCTGAGGGATCGCTTGTGAGCGTGTACGATCTTCGGCATGCAAACCAATTTGAGTTGCTTTGAGGCGTTTCGTTTATGGAATGTCTGAAACATGTTTCGCTTGCGCAAACAGAAGGCAAGGCGAGTGCGAGTGTGCAATAAAATTCCATTACAGCAGCCAGGGTCCGACTTAAAAACTTGGCCGAAAAAAAACACAAACTGGAAGTGCCGTAAGAAATTTCGTTGCATACACCCGGGAGCTATGGGGCAGAAGGGGAATGGGGTTAGCAGCGAGTGTATTAAAAGCCTGCAACCATTTTGCCGTTACGTGAGTGCATTGTGTGTGTGTGTTGGCTTGTATCTATGTGTGTATGTGTGAGGAGAGTCCTTGCATATTTTATGAAACTTGCCGCAGCATTTAACACGAAAACACACAAAAAGGAACACCCGAGAGCTGCAGGACGACCGACGCGTCGGCCTGCCCCGGACGGGCGAGGCAAACTCATTACTGGAATTTATTTAGCACTTAAACAAAATGTTTCCTTCGCTTCAGCCAGCTGATTTGTAACCCCTTTTCAGCAGAAGCGAGTATTATCCACTGCAGAGAAAAAGTTTCTCCACTCCAGAGGCCCCAAGCCACATCCAAAGGGAGACCATGCAGTCTGCCATCTACCGATCGGCGTATCTTGTGGCCTTCTTGAGGATCCCACAGGGCGAGCAGCACAAGAGTACTTCCGGCTTCTTCTCCTGGGGCGGCTCCAGCAGATTGTTGGCTTTAGCTGCCTCTTCCACGCGCCGCAGATGCTTTAACGGGTCTGGCCAGATGGGCAGCAGGGGGCAGGCCTGGTACTTGTCGTGTATATAGCCGCAATGGATGCAAATGTCCGCCACTGTGCTGAGCATCAATTCGTTTTTGGCGCACGCCTCAATGGAGCTCTGGGACAGGGAACGAACGCTTCCGGGGGGCGTGGGCGAGGGCAGCTCGACCTTGACACCGCATCGCGGGCACTTCTCGTAGACACGCGGCCAAACATCCACCAAAGTCTCATCGGAGCACACGGAACTACACTCGCAATCGTCCGAATCGTTGAGGTGCTTCACGCGGCACGTTTGGCGCGGCGAATAGAACAATTGTTGGGCGGTACGAAGGTCTTTCTTCTTCTTAGCGAAACGCCTTCGTTTGCCCGTATAGGTCTGTGGGCGTGTGGCCAAACTTTTGGCCCGCATGGCCTTCAGCTTGGCCTCGGTGATGCTCCGCTCCTTCTCGAGGGCCAGCAGAACGGGGCTCTTGGCCAACGACTGAAAGTGTTGCGTGTACGTTTCCAGCATATTTCGTATGCTCCTCACGGAGTATCGCACTTCGACAGTCTCGAGGTTCTTCTGTTCGTTCGGCTCGATTTCACCCAGGGACATGCTGGACGTTGATGTGAATCGACCGGAGGTGCCGGAGAAGAGTTTCCTGCGCCGTTCCTCGCGCAGATCGCGTTCCATTTGCAATTCATCAGCGATTAGTTTCTTCAGCAGATCTCTGTCCATTACCCCAGAGGCATTGCCCATTTCGTAGAGGCTGGGCTGCGAGGGACTTTCCTCGAAATCCTGGGGCCCCTTTGTATGCTCACTGAGCCATCCGATGTTCTGGGCTATCTCGGCTGGCACATCAATGATACGGATTTTGTACTTGGACGTGCTGGCAGACCTTAACCCTGCTGTCGGATTTTTCACATGCTCGTTCACAATCGCCGTGAGATAATCCAGATACTTCTTCGATAGAAGCTCCACAATATCGGACTTATCGATGCCCGTCGCCTGCAGCTCCTTGTGCAGACCCGCCAGGTTGTTCCACATATTATGCTTGCCCACAACTGACATTAGAGCGTGGACATCGCGCACGCCATCCAGGACACTGTTCTGCTCAATAACGTCCTTCAGCAGGCGCTGCAGTCCCGAGAACCTTGGGTCAGAGTTCAAGTCCTTCAAGTGGAAACTGTACCCCGTCCTTTCATTGTTATCCTCTTCTAAATATTTTGGGGCATTCCCTTCTGGACCGGGCTCTTCGGGTCTCTGTAATTTCAGTTTGCTCGGCATGAACGAATCCATTGGTGTAATTTCTATTGTCTTGACTTCGGCATTGACTTTCTTTCGCTTTGCGGACTGAGAATTGCTTTTCCTTCGCTTTACGGACACAGCAGATTTTCGAGAAACTGGTTTCGCTTCAATTTCCGTTGCTTGCTTGTCGATCATGAACATGTTGTGCATAGATATTTCGCTGTCCGTTGCCTCCAAGTTGTTGAAATTCTGATTCTCAGTTCCCATCGCAAATAAATCTCCTGCTATGATTTGTTTGTTGTCTCTTTTAGGTGTGAACGGATCTTGGTTATTTTCAGCTATTTTCTCCTTCGTCAAGGCATTTTCTTGCTCACTCTTTTCGGCTATTCGGCTGTCTGCCAACTTTTGTCGACGAACATTCAACTTTGACGGTTTATCTGCAGCTGGTCGCTTCTTTGGGTGCTTTTTTACGGCTTTTAATTGCGGTCCTAAATTAGAAAGCGTTTGTTTTTTCTGCGGCAGGCCACTACTCTCTTTGCGCTTTCTGATTAGCATACTTTGCTTTTCGTTTCGTTTTGCCTTTTCTTTTGCACTGGTGCCTTCGCCTTCCGATGGGCCGCTGTCCATCGGATCTATTGCAAGTACATGATTCAGTTTTGTATCATTAACAATGAACTCCTCTTACCCCTTTTAGTTGCTGACTTTTTTCCCACTTCTTTACTTTTTACGCTGACTTCCTCGGAGGGCCTGTCCAGATCTAGCAATTTCTTCAGATTCATTTGGGGGCGATTTATTGATCGTCTGCGGCTTTTTCTTTGTGTCTGTTTTGGCTTTGATTGTCGTCCTGCGTGGCGTCCTGCCACCTGTTCCGCATACAGCTGCTCCAGCTCCTCAATTGTTGGCTTGGCGATGCGACTGTCACTTTCCCGGTGCTTCAATCTCTTCTTCAGTTTCTCCGTGGACTCATTCAAATGTTCCTCAACGAGTTCGGTTTCGGATTCGGGTACAGCGTGTTTTTTCTCTTTCTTCTTTGGCTTCGATTGCTCGGCATCCAGCTCTGGCACGGCGTAGATCTGACCGGAGGACTTGAGTTTCTTGGTCGTCATTGGGACTGCCCGGGGAGCTTTCTTGCGGATCACCTCGGTTTCCCAAAAATCGGAGAACCCGTGAAGCATCTTTCGACTACGTGACTTGCGCGACACCTTTCGATTCTCGTGAGGCTGCGACAAGTAGCGTCTAACCTCCTCGGCCTCCTGTTGCCAGATGTGCGCCTGGCCCTCTATGGTCGGATGTAGCTGCGAGGCCCTCTGCAGGGACTTTCTCAGCTTCGAGAAGCAGCTGTCCAGCAGTTGCTGCGGCTTGCGATGCCTCCCCAGCTGTTTGCGCAACAGGCGCAGCCTGCGATCCAACCGGCGTTCCAGCTGTTCCTGCTGCCCGATCAGCCGGCGCTGCGACAACAGCGACTTGGACCAACTGCGCAGCCATCTCTGGTACATGGCCAGCATTCGGCCAGCCTCGTGCCGTGCCTGATCCCTCTGCATCTGCACCATATCCTTCTGTCTGGCCTCTATCGCCTGGCGCACCTTCTGGAGCAGCTCCTCGCGTATCTGCCGCATCATGCGCAGCCGGCGATAAGCCCGGTGTCGGTAGCCCCTCAGATGCTGGCCCTTGCGCCTGATCTGCTTCTTCAGCAGCACCATTCTGGTGCAGCGATGCAGCAATGGAATCGTCATTGTCTACGCGTTCAATTTGACAGTCGATCGAGATGAGTGACATAAAATAAAACTACTTTGGATTTGGCAAGTGTAAATCAAATATCTAAATTCCAAATACCTAAAAATAAACTGAGGAAATGCCAAAGGGAAAACCCAAAGGTTGCTGTGGGAAAACGATAGCTAATCGCGGCATAATCTACATATTTATTAATCTGTTTTTTTGTAGTAGGGTTGATGTGGTCGGCTTCGGTTCCCAAAGACAAGGATTCCCAATAAAAGTCGTAAAATGTGGTGCTTCAAGTATATCGCTGGTATATGTATGATGTCTATGTACGCGGAGCGTAAATGCTTTGTCGGGGTGGAAAAAGACACTGCAAAGCGCAGTCGCACCGTTCGGGAGGTAGAAGGAGACTCATTTGAGCGGCTGTCCAAAGCGTCACTTTTGATAGCTTATATCTTAAGCACGCTCGGGAGCCGTGTGGATCGTGAGAGCGCTGTCGGAGAGCGCTAACAGACAAGTAGCGGAGAGCGGAAAACGACTGTTACGCTGTACTGTTAACAGCTCTGCTGTCCTGTTTGGGCTGCTGCCTGAACACTGTCTATTAGTTCTCCATTGATGAACATTTCCAAATTTAATTTAATAGTAAAACTCAACGAACAAAAACAAAATAAATAAACATTAAAAAGCTGCTACTCGAGTCCCACAAAGGCCCTCGCCTGCTGCTCGCCTGCCTCCTTGAACAGCTCGGCGGTCTTCACCAGCTTGATGAACCGAGGCGACAGCTCACTGGACACGCGAGACTGCAGGACGCTGTCCATGCTGGTGTGCCGCAGCACCTCCTGCAGCTTGGCATTGCGCCGTGTGCGCTCCACGGAGTCTGCCATTTTGCGCAGATACATGAGATCCATCAGAAGTTCGTCACGCACATTGGCCGCCGCACGCTGATCCTCCAGGGGCAGCTCCTCGTACTGGCGCAGCAGCTTCTTGACGATGCGGGACCGTGAATCGATCTTGTCCACATCGAGCAAACGCACATCCTCGCTGAAATCGTCGGCCAGGCCGCTCACCGAGTCCATACGCTTCTCGCGGCACTTCTTCTGCTCGTCCATTGTCTTCAGGATGAGGTCGTAGAACTCGCTTAGATCTGGGCGCAGCGGAATGCAGGAGCGCAGGCGCACCTGCTTGTCGATGATGTCGCTAATGGCCTCCATGGTGTCCCGCACCATGGTCTCCGTCTGCTGCAGATACTGATCCGTCTTGTCGTTGCGGATCTGGTAGAAGTTCTTGGGCTTCTTGTGGCAGCCCTTGCGATTGCGCTCCAGCACGGCCAGCAGTCGGTCCATGCCCGGATCATTGCTGACTGCCTCGAGGACGGCCGACACAATGGCCTCCGATGTTTTGCCAGCTATGAGCTTCTCCAAGCTGTCCTCACAGGATTCGGAATTTAAACTGCCGCGAGAATGCAAATGTTTTACTCTTGTATAGGGGAATCTCCCACTACTCACCATTTAGCCGGTTTCCCCTTGGCCCGCACTTTGCCCCATCTGTTATACCTTCTGTGACTGGCTTTATCCTCTTCCTTATCCCCATTCCAGTTTCTAGCTGCATCGCGCGCATAGCGATCATCCTTCTCCAGCAAAACATCGTCACCCTCACGCTCTGGTGCATCCGGCCAATCGAGCATCAGCTCGCTGTCCATCTCGTCGAAGGCTGGCCGCATGTTGATCGATCCGTTGCCATAGAACTGCTTGGTCTTCGGATCCCCGCACACGTTCGCATTGATGGACACATTCAACTTCACGGCATCGGGACTGCTGCAGAAATCGTCGCTTTGCATAGCAGGTCCAGAAGTTGTTGTCTCCTGATCTGCCCCGCCTGCGGTCGTTGCATCGCCCCCGCCTACGGTCGTTACATCTCCCCCGCCTGAGGTTGTTCCATTTGCTGGTGTGTCCGTAGTGTTCGTCATGGGACTTGGAATGCCCGTTGTACTTTCACCCAAGCCTGGTGTAGTCGACTCCGTCGGCGCGTTCGGAAATGGCGTTGTAATGGACACGCAATTGGGATCCACAGTTATGGGCAGTGTCGGCGTTTCCATGGGCGTAATGCACGGATCCACTGTGCTCAACATGTTGCCCTTCACCTGCTTGTTGAAGAATGGACCAAAGTAGCGGTGGACAGCCGACTGCTTTATCTGCGGCGGTGCTTGCATTTTCATTTGCAGCTGCTTTTGTTGTGTCTGTAGCGGTGTCTTCTGCTGTTGTGGTAGATATTGCTGTTTGGGCACATATGTCTTTTGTGGAACGTATTGCTTCTGTGGAAGGTATTGCTGCTGTGGAAGGTATTGCCGCTGCATCGGTGACTGCTGTTGTTGGCTCTGCTGTTGCTGCTGCTGTACTGGACGATTCTGTTGCTGCTCCTGCTGTAACGGACGATTCTTTTGAAGCTTCTGCAGTTCATTGAAAAAGTTAGTCAAATTGAAGGTGGCCTTGAAATTGGAGGGTTGATGATGAATCTGCAGCTGTTGTGGCGTTTGCTGTGGCGGATGCTGCTGTTGCTGTTGCTGCTGCTGCTGTTGCTGCTGTTGCATCTGCAGCGGCTGCTGCGTTATCTGATAAACACCGTTAGCACGCTGATTCATCATGGGCATCTGAATGCTGGAAGCATCATAGAGACTGGCCTCATCCTCCTCATACTGGGGCTCGTCCTCAAGTTCTTCCCCCTCGGCATCGGGCATGAGGAGGCCGTTTCCCAAGTCTCCGAAACGCAAGCGATTCCCATTGTGATCCTCAAAGTCATCCAGCAGAGGTGCAGCCATGCGCTTGGCTCTATCATGCGAGTCCGGGGGCTGTTGCTCTTCTCCCACTGACCGTTTGGAGCGATGCTTCTTCCTGGGTAGCCAGCGATGACGTCGGCGATGGAGATGGCGCTTGTGTCGTTCTTTGTCGCCGCTATGCTGCGACAGCTCTTTGGCCATAAGCTTGACCACCGCATCGGGATTGGCCAAAAGGGGAGCTGCCACTGCCACTGCCGCTCCTGATGCTTCTCCTGCTTCAGCATTCTCAGACTTGGGGACAACCTCAGCCGGCCTGGACGTTACCGACTCCTCCACATTCAGTTTGGGGTTCTCCTGCAGTGCGGAATCTTCCACGCTGGCTGCCGGCTGAGGCTTCTCCTGAACCTGTGGCTGTTCCAGTTCAGATTGTGCAATGACTTGGCTGACGATTGCCTTGTCCAGCGTCCCCAGGCTAGCCTCGGCATCAGAGCTGCCATCTGTCTGTGGCGTGGGCTTGGCCTCAGCGCTGCCCACCCTAACAGCGGCGTCTTGGCCACTGTCGGGCACCTCTGGCTGCAGTATGGACTCGCCAGATGCAGCAGCATCGCTCGGAGCCACACGCACCATAGCAGATTCCGTGGGCTTTACCTCAATGTCCGTTTCCACTTTCACTGTCTCGGGTAGCTTTGCCTCAGCTTCGACTGGCACCTTTCCAGGATCAGCAGGCTTTTCCACGACGTTGCCTTCAATTTGCTCCTTTTCCGGCTGCTGTTTGGCATCCCGCTTGCCTGCAGATATCTCGCCATCGTGGCGCTCTGCCACTTCTGGCTGAGCTCCCTCCTTAAGCTGCTCGGCTTTGGGGCCTGGCTCCTTCACGGCCACCTTCGCCATCGTTTCCAGGCTCTTCTCCGGGGCGTGCTCCCGCTTGCAGCGTCCCAGATCCCCAGCGGACCTGCGATTGGAGATCCAGAAGTCGCCCATGTTGGGCATCTGTCGCTGGCTGAGCGCGTGGAAGCGATCGTACGGGGGCAGGCGATAGTCGTAGCTCTGGGGCAGATCCATCATGTGGTGGCTACCGGAGGAGCCAGCCTCCGGAAACTGCATCATGTTGTTGGCCAGCGGACCAAAGCCATCGTACTGCTGCCGCCGTTCCTCATCGCCGCTCATGTCACTCTCCTGGTTCTGTTCCTGATCCGAATCCAAATCCGCATCCTGATCCTGCCGCTGCTGCTGCTGCTGCTCCCGTCGCATGTTGCGCTCCCGCCGCTTCATCAGCTCGTCCACGAGGCGGGCGTGCTGGCTGTCAATCAGCGCATTGCTCGGCAGCGAGGGTCCCATGCCCTTGAGCATGAGGCGGTTGCTCGTCTTCAGCTTGATCTCGTGCATGGGATTGAAGCCGAAATGGGAGCTGCGCTTCTTCAAGTCGCTGCCCTTGGGGCGCGCCGGGCGTTGGGCATTCTCGGAGGCCTCCTGCTCGATCTTGGACAGCTTGTAGTTGGCCTCGTGCTGCAGATTGTTGGGCCGCCGCTTGGGTGCGTCCAGCTGGGACAAGGTTTGCTCATATACCCCGTCCGGCACGGGGGCGTCTCCGAACTCCGGCAGATCGTCGTTGACGTCTGCTTTCTTGTGGTACTCCTTTGGCCTGTATGCGGGATCCTTTCTGCCACTCTTCTCGTGCTCGTTTAGAATATCCTGCGCGTGCTTCAGCTTGAGGTCCAGCGAGGAGAGACCCCCGCCGTCGTACTGGAAGGGACCACTGGTGGCCTCGTACTGTGGCATGACGGGCTCCGCTGCCGCTGCCGCATCCTTGTACTTGAGCTTCACCTTGCCTATCTCCGTGTCCTGCATCTCCTTGAAGTACTTACTCACATAGTCCTTGCTCTGCTGCTTACTGACGGCCCGCGGCTGCTTCTGGCCCACTGCCAGCCCCGCCTGGAAGTCCCGATACCAGGCGTCGGCTGCCTCAGCCATGGCATGGTCCTCGGACTCATCGTTGCTGGTGCGGGCAAAGCTGGCCAGCATATCGTCGATGGTGTGCCTGGGCGGTCGGTACAGGCTGCTGTCCTGCATCTGGCCGCGTGCCTCCTTCACGGCCCGTTTGAAGCTGCTCAGCTGCTCGCTGCTGGGCTGCTCCGAGTCGGCCGGCAGCATGTTCGTGCCGCTCAGCACCATCAGAGCCCACCAGAACTGTAGGAAAATCATCCTCCAAGCTGGTGTCGATTCGTTTCAGTTCCGAAACTCTTACAAAAAGTACTGAGAAAACTCAATTGGAAAGTTCTGTCTCCCAGGCAGCCTGATCTGAATTGGGTTTTCGATTGTTTTTTTTTTGTTTGGAATCAGTGCTTGCCACTTGCCACTTGCCACTTGGGGTGGCAACAGGTGTCTGGATGCACGGCACTGGCAGCAGCCATTGTCGCACAACTTTGACAACGTGGCCCGATAAGAGTGGCAATGTCACAGGAGCCTCTCCTCTCCTCTCCTCGCCGCTCCTCTGCCCCACTGCATTGCCCTCCGGTTGCTGCTTGCATTGTGTCAAGTTTTTCCACACGTACGACGGCTGCGCCGGCGGCTTCCGACATCTGTTCAACATGAAATGTTCTTTGTTGCAACAACACACACGCACACACTTGAATGGATGTAAATGATTTTACCACAGCTCCACCAGAGCACCCACACACACACACACACACACACACACACAATCAGCTGCAGCATTGTTTCCTCTCCCATGTAAATCAGATTTTTGTTTTATACCAAAACTTTCGCAAGCGATGGCGGGAAATGGAAATGGAATCGGAATCGGAATGGGGTTGGAGGGGAATGGGAATGGGAGTGGGAGTGGGAATGGGGTTGGGGTTTTGAGCAGCGACAATAACATTTCCTATTTCCTTCTCCCCCGTGCCTGTCGCCATCTCCGCCCATGCATGAGCGTGTGTGTGTGTGTGGCTGTGTGGGTGCTATCATATCGCGTCCTACGTACTGCCACATTGTCAATGCCAGAGTGAGGACAATGTGCGGCTCGAAATAATTGAAAATAATCAAACATTCGGCACGGCACACTTGCAGCATCATGAGCTCCATGAGCTCCATAAGCAACGCCAACCACCACCACCACCACCACCAAACTAATGTAATTAGCGCGCTCCGAACGCGTTCGTCTCTGATTAAAAGTTTTTGCGGCTTGGCTGGTGCTCCCCTGCCACCTCAGGCCGCTCTCTAATCCGCTGAACAAAACTATGAATGGGGCAAAACTGAATTTATTGTGTTTAATTTTTAGTGAAAAGTGTCCCCAAGTGGGTGGCAGACAGCGCCCTTCTGTACAGCATTTTCCAAGATAATTTTTAGGAGTTATCGAGGAGAGCCGAGCATCAAAAATATGTGATTCTGGTGCTGCAATTGTGGAAATTACTTTAATGGAAAAATACTACTAAACAATTACCAATAAAAATAAAATATAAATAAAAAGATATTAAATAATATTAAATCACTAAATTGAAATACTGTCATCTATAATTTCTTTATATATTTTATCTAATGCCTCACTTATTCAGAAATGAGCTCCTGTCCTCCCAATTATCTGTTGCATCTTCTTATCTCAGCCAAAGAAAAACTCAGCTCACTGCTCTGGTTGAAATCCATCATAATTCACGCGGACTTAGCTCTCTGTGTCCTTCTGTTGTTTTTCGATTATGTAGCATTGTCTTGGCTTAAAGTTTTTGTGTGGGGGGGGGGCGACCCGGACCAGTCCCTCACCGTCGGCAGCACTTTGGATGTTGCCTGGCAAATATTACAGCGATTCCTACTTATGCCTCTATTCGTTTGCCTTGTCAGGCAGACTGCACAAAGGGGAGCCATGGGAGGATGGGAGAATGGGAGAATGGGAGGATAGCCAGCGACATGACAAAGGAGCGCCCAGCAGAGAGGGAGAGGAAGAGGCAGAGGCAGAAAAAAAGAACACCGAGCGCATCCTTGGACTCGTGCATCACAGGACATGACATGGCACGAGCCATTTCATTTGTTTTTTCTATTCCCATTTTACAGCTGTCCCATGTCCAAACAAATTTCCTTCTCTTTTTTTTTTTGTTTTTTTATTTGTATTTTTTTCCCTGTTTCTACGATCTCTGAGTAAAATATTATGTTACCCAGCGACAAAGAAGGAGCGAAACTTTTTATACCCATCAAACATATGCATGCAGACTAAAAGGGTATATCTGACTAACTACAAAAGTACAAGCTACATATGTATATCGATGGATTTTTCTAATGTTTCATGCTTATATCAACTTATTTCATCTGTTGTGAGACTGTTCAGGGCAGCCAGCTGGAACAGAGCAACAGCGCTGTTAACACCCCAGCTTAACAGCCAGTCGCCGTTCTCCTTCACAGAGCTCGCTGAGAGCGCGCTCTTACGATCCACACTGCTTGTAAGCTTGTAAGCTTGTACCTACTCACCGAAACTCGAAAAGAACAGATGGAAAATATATGTATGTACATTGAAAGTATGCTTGCGAACATCTTTAGTCATCGTGGGAATCCTACATCCAACAAACAGTGTCCAATAATAAATACGAGTGCCGGGTATCTTTTAGTCGCATTGTATATATTGTGTATAACGTTCTTAGTTCCATTATTATTGCATTTTTGCCAGCGGGCAGCAGGCTGACAGAGGAGTGGTGGGAGAGAGGGCGCGAACGCAGCCTCGGTTTGGGTCAGGGAATGAACTTATTTAAATGTAATTTCTATAAACAAATTTTAGCTGCTTATGCATATGCAGCAAGTCGCACACAAGCAATTCATTAAGCGGCAGTCGCAAATAGAAAATTACTGACAAAATGCTGTCGGACAGTTTACGAGCCGCAGACGGCACGGGCACGGGGCACGAGGCACGAGGCAGACACGCCGAATGGCAGGAACTTATTTACAACTTTCAAACGCTTCATTTTATTGGTCTCGAAATGAACAAATGGCGCACAAGCCGCACAGAGATATAGAGAGACGGTTTGGCTGGCTGGAAAAATTTTGCATAATTTATGAGCAGAGCAGAGCAGAGCAGAGCAAACGGCGGCAACACACGAACGAAGGACTTTGGAAAAACAACGCACGAGCACACGGCCAACTGATTTAAATGCAATTGCATTGAAGTATGTTGTCCTGGTCCTGGTCTGGGTCCAGGTCCAGGTCCTTGTTGGGTTTCGGATATATAGTAGAGACAACAGCACGTGCTGCATCAACAGGAACATCGATGGCCAGCCAGCCAGCCAGCCAGACTTCTTGTCCTGCCCGCTGCTTGGCAATTTCTTTTCATTTACCAAGGTGTTGAGATGAACAGACGTGGAGCTGGGACCCAGGATACAGAAGCCAGGCCCAGCCTGGTATCCCCTTGGCCACAAGTGTCGTCTATTTCAAGGCAAAAGGAGACAGCTCGAGAGGCAAACAACCAACAAATTTAGTGTATTTTGTGCATTCTTAAAATTGTCAGAATTTATGTGACACGATGCCACGCCAATTGATCAGATTAAAAAAACATGAGAACGAACCCACAAAGGAAGCCTCGCATAGACAATGCAGTTGAGAAGAAGCCTTCCTATTCAAATATATGAACAGAAAGAGGCATGTGGAATGGTAAGTAAATGCTGGATTTTCTATAGAAAATAAAATTTTTAAAGTATATTTTTGGATTTGTTTTTGCAATAAAACTAAAACCTCTTTTATTCACAGGCATAAGGGCTTACTGGGCGAACCAGTACATAAGATGGGATCACAAAGCATGTCAAATTTCAATATGCAACACAGATTAGCGAAAAATTGCCCGGGGGAGAGGGGTTTAAGGGCAGGCAAAATGCTTCAACGTCCTCTGGCCAATAAACAATATTGCGATCAATATTGCGTCAGCAATGTAATTAAATTACTTAGCCAGTGCCTGGCAGAATACGCCGCCAGGAAATGCATCACACAAAATCCTTTTAACAGGTCCGCGAAATGCCAAACAGCGGCCCGGCGGCCTGGAGTCCGGGCGCCTGGCTCAGGGGCATATTTCCATAAAGCTACCGCAATAACCGCTGTCAATATGCGGATTAACACATCAATTACCATACATATATGGCCAAGGTAGTGCGCAGAAGGGAGCTGGATATGGATATGGGATGGGAGAGGGGCACTGGGAATCTCTGTGTGGGCTACCAATTGCTGGCAGTGACAAAAATTTCATTTTGCCGAGTAATTTAATTAATTGCACAATCCAGCCGCAGCTTTCTGGCGGAAAAACAATTTGAATTCCGTTCTGGCCAGCAGCAGTCACCCCCACCCCACCCGTTCTAGTCATTCCCATTCACAGTTATGACGTGAATGAAGTGAAAATGTAACCATTTCCAGGCTCATCCCGTTCGGTCCGTAGCCGGACACTGGATAACTAAATTAATTCGATAATTGACTTCCATTCTCTGGTCTGCCCCACGCAACTGCGCGGCAAACTGTTGATGCTACCCCATGGACCCATGGACCCATGGACCACGACCACGGCAGAGCCTTCTCCTCTGCACTGCCGAATGCCTTCTGACTGTTTCTTTTTTATGGGCGGCGCACAGTGAAAACATAAAAACGTCTGTTGCGTGTTGCATATGGAAAATTGCCAAAAGTTGGGTGAAAAAATGCGAGCGAGCGAAAGAAGTCGCAAAAGGAAATGTTGCAAAGTAGTAAAGGCTAGGGTAATGGCAATAGCATGACGACCCACCCAAAAAAAAAAAGTACTAGAGGAAGTGGCTGTCGGAAGGACAAGAAAACATGTCCAAGAGACCAAGAGGCAGGCGAGCCAAGGAGCCAGTCAGAAAGTTCGTTTTTTTTATAGTTGTGCAAGTGCATGTGATTGCTTTATGAGCTACAGATGAAGTGGCCGGGCACGTCCGGGTCCAAGTTCAGGTCCGGGCTGTCATTTAGTTAATTATAAGCAATTAGCAGCGAATGTTGCCGGCCAGAAATTAAATAAAAAAGGCGCCCGAAATGCATCTATTGCATATTTGTTGGCTCTAACAACGAGTCACGGGCGAAACATTTTAGAAATTTGCTGAACAATTACCATTAGCAGTCGATCTGTCAGTACTTTGGGGAGCAGCGTAAATGAGGCACGAATTCTGGCATGTGATCTTCGGTATTCGGTATTCACCAATATAAATTTCCGCCTTCCACACTAAAGCTGCATTATAAGTTGGAAGAGTATCTCTACTCGAAGTACGCAGAAGACAACTTTCCAGCTTGTTACACAATAATCCGTTGCATGCTGTGGGGGCGTTGGGGCTGCCCCATGAGTGGTGTGGCCTGCAGATGTGTCCTGACTATTTATCAATTTATTACGCGCAAAAGTTCCTTTTGTGGTTGGCTGTCTCTGACAGCGTTCAATGCTCAATGGGAATTCGCTTGTCGATGCGTGCGAGCCGCTGAATTAGCCAGGATTTCCAGGAAAACGGATACCGGATACGGACTTGGCTTGGGAGTTTGCATCAGGTGGCTGGTCCTTGTTAACGGATTTATGCAGCGATAATAAAACTTGCACGCTGCAAATTGATTTATGTGGCAGAGTGGGGCCAACAATACCGATGCTGAGCTGAGCTGAGCCGAGCCGAGCCAGGCCGTGACGGGGGGGGCCAAGGAAAACTTTTAATTTTCCAAATGTATTCGCCGACAGAGAACTTGATGTCTTCGATGGGCCACGCACATAAAGAACGTAGCCAACTAGAGACGCAGTCAGACTCAGATAGGGAGAGAGAGAGAGAGAGAGGAGAGTGAGTGAGTCCCAGAGAGAGCCGTGGAGCAATTTAGGGCCAACGGAGCCAACGTAAAAACTGGAAAATTATGACCAAAATGAGAATTTAATCGAGGTACGTGAGCGGAAAAATGAAAATTTGACTGCAACTTGGGAGAGCGCGCGCGTCTGACTGGCCGACACCCTCCAGCAAAACAGTCGGCAGGCAACGGGCAACAGGCAACAGGCAACAGCATAAAATGCCAAGTGCAAGCTCATGCAATTTTTATCATGGCCACAAATGCTGCTACAGCTCCAACTCTGGCTACGGCGGCTCCTTCCGCTCCTTTCTGGCTGCAGCACATTCTGGCATCATCATCAACACTGTGTTCATCTGCTTATGCGTTACCTTGAGGCCCCACGCAGACTCTGACTCCGGGTACGACTCCGTCCCGTTCCTAGTCGTGGGGCAATTGCACAAATTAATGCCGCCGACACTGACTCTTGCTTTCCTTTGCAGCTCCAGCGTTTACCTCTAGCCAGACAGACAATTCTCAAATGAGTCAACAGCAATAAAATTGTTTATTTTATTACCCGTCTACCGTCGGCACCGAGATCAGCCAAGGAACAGCAGCAGCAGCAGGTTTAATGGCTCTCGATCTCTGCGATTGTAGTACAGAAACGTGTTAAATATCAGAACAGACAAAGATACGTACACCTGGCAGGCGATTAACATCACTGAGTAACAAAGCTTCGGAGTAAAATCGAAAGATCCACTGCAAAAGCTAATCAACACTGAGTAACCGTTACCAGCGATTCTCCTCTGTAAATATCTGGCAACGCCAAGTGCTAGAGAGCGGCTTAGGTGCCAAATTGAAAGCTCCACTCCAAGTGACTCTCCAGTCGTGACGCTGACGCTGACGATCTGCCGCCAGTCCATGTCACAGGCCGTCGTATAAAACCAAATGTCGAACCTGCGATGCAACCAGTTGCGTGCCACAAGTCGCCAGGTGAACAAGTGAGAAAGAAAGAGAGAGAGACCGAGTTCAGTTGAGTTCCGTTGAGTAAAACGTGTGTAAAATGTGCGAACAGGGGCGACTACTGAGAGCGATGGAGGTGACCAGTGTGGTGCTGGTGCTGGGACTGCTGCTGCTGGCCGGAACGGGAGTCAGCGAGGGCCGCCCCATGGATCTGTACGATGATGTGAGCGACTTCTTTGATGCCATCTCGTTGGACGATGTGGCCAATACGGGCCGCAACACGCATCCGGAGCAGTTTTGCCTGATGCCCGCACGCAAGGGCGTCTGTCGGGCCCTCATACCCCGTTGGCGCTACGATCCCGAGCAGAAGAAGTGCGTGGAGTTCAAGTTCGGTGGCTGCGATGGCAACGAGAACAATTTCTCCAGCTACAAGGACTGCATGTCCACCTGCGAGGGAATGTAGGGGTCACCAGGATCTGGAGCTGGAGATGGAGCTGGAGCTGGAGCTACTGCTGATCGGCCAATCTGGTCGATGTGTTGCCAAAGGCGACTGCTTTTCTTTCGAGCTCTGCAAAGTAGCGAACCAAAGGCAGCATTTACTTTAATCCACATACACATACACATCATAAACTTAATCAATTCGATTAACTCTTCTGTACTACGTAATATTTATATAGTTTCTGTCATTGATCCATTTATTTTGTACTTTCGGCGATGGTGTACAACACCACCGAACCGAACCTAGAGCTTAAGTTATTGTGATAAAACAAATCAAATTGATTCATCATGAAATAAAGAGTTTTATACAAAACTGAATTTGCAAAAAAGGTTTTACAATTTTATGAAGAAGAAATGCAATCACCCCAAGCAATATTGACCCAATGGTACAAGGACTGCATAAGTATTTACCTGGAAGGAGTTTATATCTCACTGAAATGTGCTTAAAAATCCATGGCAAATTCTATGATTTTAGGTCTAATTTTCATCAGAAAGTGTGTGTTGTAGATCGATTAATTAAATATATTTTTATATATTTTTATACATATATCTTTATTTATATTTAATTTAATATTCTTCCGGTTCATTAGGCCACGTAATTAATGCTTATAAATTTGCATTTTAAAAAGTCCAATCTTTCAAAATGAAGTGCAGGCTGCTCTTCTAGACTCTTCTAGAAATTATCCAAGCTAAAGATAGAAAACCAGTTCATTGAATACTTATTTATGCCTTCACTACCAAACATAAACAGATGCGAATTCCGTGTCTGCGGCCTCACATTGTTTGCAACTGAGAGGCGACCGCTTTGCCTTTGCCAGAGGCAAAAATCATTCAATGCGGCTCCACTTTCATAGATTTCACTTGGAAATGGCCCAAGCCAAGTCCAGTCTCAGTCTCTCAATGCAAAACTGGGCCCCCCCATTCATGCGGGCCAGCACTCAAACGATCGATTGATCGATCGATCGATCGTTCGACAAACAACAAATGAACAAACAAGATCAAATGGCTGCAAAGGTCACATGGAGAGACAGATGACTAGACCACGTCAATGGATTCCCAGTTGGGTCTAGGTAAACCACTACGATCTGCGTCAGCGGTAAAAATACGCACAGATACGGCCTGGCCAAGCGGACGGCAAGGCAGGCAAACATAAACAATTGAAAGGTGCGAATTTATGTTAAATCGATTGGCAATAAACCAAAAGAGAGAAAAAAAAAAAAACAAAGAAAAAAAGAAATAAGTGACTCCAAATCTAATTCAATAAATATGCATAATTTTTGAGACAAAGTCGCTGAAGCAAGACCTAAGCGAGGGCAAATGCTGCCGCTGGGGTTGGGGTTGGGCTTGGGCTTGGGCAAATTTCCAATTTGAACCTTTAATGTGCGGGCCGGGCCAGCTGCACACGTACAAACTCGTACACACATAGTATATAGGTTTTGTATTTATAAACAACCTATTGGATCAATGACCTAAAGCCGCTCAGCAAAACAAAACACGAAAATGCGGGCTTTACTGATCCAAAACTGAATCGAACTGAGCGTAACTGAGTTGCAACACCTCAACGCCTCAACCGGCGACTGGACCGGCAGCTGCTACAGCTCTAACTTTAATTTGATACCCTGGTGGGAATTCCATGGAATCACTTAAAAACATAGCACATAATTGTCATACACGTAAACCCATAAGAATAAAAAAATAATCCAATATAATCCAGCTAAAGTTGTGTCTATCTATTTCTGTCTATCAATATTTATTTATTTATGTACATCAGAACATGCCAGAAGTAACTTGATTTGTATTGTATTTAGGACCCAGCCCGCTGCTATATGTAAACCATTCTCAGTGGGCGCTTGGTAGGCTATTCTTTTCCTAATTATTTCTACTTTTTTCTTCCTCTTCGCCATAACAAAATGTGTGTCATAATGGGCTCCAATCAATGGGCCACAGACATTTTACATCTGTTGAAATTTGCTGAACAATTTGCGGTCTGGTCAGGGGGGTGGTAAAGTGAGCTGCGTGGAGCGGAGGGAAGCTCGCTTCAATCGAGCGGCGCATGCGCAATATTTTGCTGTTGGCTGTTGGCAAAGCTTCTGGAAAATTCTGCGCTGCAAGTTGGGCAACGCAGCGAATTCAATAGAATGGAATTTAAATTCATTTAATTGTGGAAAACAGTAGCAGCAGGAATAGGAATACGTACAGAAGTAATTGGCCAGATCCAAATGGTTATAAAAAGTCAATAACACCTGCACATCCCCTGAGAAGCAGGCAGGCACCAGTAGCTAAAATTGCAACAAAGCCAGTGAGCGGCACAGCCAGCATGGCAAAATTAATGGCAAAATGAGCGGCAAAAGAAATTTGAACAATTTTCGCTATTTGTTGTGGGATAGAAATTAATTAAAATGCGCTAGGCGCACGCGGGCAACTGCAACTGCAACAGTGCGGCAACATGCCATGAAAATTCACAATAACACATTTTCCGCGTTTCTGCAGCGGCAGCTACAGTAAACGCATTTTATTAGCTATACCATTCAACATGAATGTTTGCTTTGGGTTTTTCTTCCTTTTTACCATTTTTATTTTTGATTTCCTGCAGTTCGAACTTATTTATTTGAGGCACGTACGACGGAGAGCTGGACAAAAGTGCAACGGCAACCAAGTCGGCCGACCACAATGCAAATAAAAATGCAAAATTCAGAAAGCACTGCTTGGACCTGCAGAACTATGGGTACTCTTCCCCAGTGCGACGATCAGTAAATTTCTATTTCAATGCTGAATTACGTAGCTGAATTTAGGATTAAGGACTGTTAGACTCGACTTTGCATTATGATCGAAATCCTTTACATATGCCCTTTGCGTGAGCATAACAAAATACTCTTCGACCCAAAAGCACCCACTAGCCGACACCCTGCCGCATGCCTAACCTTTCGATGGGCTTGTGTCTATGTTGAAGCGGCGACAACGACACAACCGACACCCGACAACAACCAAAGTCAACGAACTTTGACGTCAGGCTGGCATTAAAAGTCAGTTCTTTGTTTTTCTTGTTGTTGTGGCTGTTAGTGGTGCTGGTTGGGGCCTGCTGGTGGGGGGGTGGTGGGAAACATGCATAGCAATAAACAAGACGGGGGGCCCCATTGTAATTGTTACTGCTGCCGTGGATAGTGCAAATATGCATAATCAAGCGCAAACAGGCAAACGGTATGGCATCGATACACCGATGAGTAATGAAATGCAATAACAAAACAAAAAAATAAGACAGCAAAAAGAGAGCTTCAAATATTTGTAGGGTACACTCTGCGTATACACAATGCCCATTATTTTCAGAATACTCGTATATTTATGTACAGCATGTTGTTTGCCTATTATGTTCACCATTTCTACAGAATAAACCAATAAATAAACATATATATTATTTTCAAAGGAATCAATCTACTAACATATGCCTAAGCAGTTTAATATCAGAATTTCCAAAAGGTATCGTCACCTGGAGCTAGGATTGCGTGGGAGTTTATCGTACAGATACATTTTTTCTTTTTTTACGCAGACAGTTTGTGGAAATTGAATTTGTTTTATCAACGAATATAATTTTAACCAATCAATATTATGATACTATGGAGAACCATCGAAACTATTTTACTATTCACACATTCGCCTGACGTTCGTACCTAATTTATTGACACATTAAACACTTTAAATATTTTAAATTAATTTTCTGCCATTTTATTTTCACTCAATAAATTCCAAATACTTGTAATAGTTTGTATAATAAGTATTTAGTACGTTCATGGAATTATTGTCCTCACTGTGCCACTGATTGTTCCTCAGACTTTGCAGTAACAATCCAACGTGAGGGTTGACAACTTTATCTGTTCATACGCAACATGGGACTTTATTGGAATAGAAATACTTTCTACTCGAAGATAAGACAATTTTGGTGACACAATTAAGATTTGACAGCCAAATTGTATCTTATCCAAGCGCTGATAGAGAAATAAATACAGCAAGATAGAGAATGATAAACTTTAGTTATTATATAATTTATCGACTTTTTTCAATTGCTAAATACAATAATATATATATATCATTATCCATAGACTAACATACACAATGTAAATATATTCTATATATATATATATATATATTCCTCATCTTCAATATGTGTATATGCTTTGTTATTGCATTCGTTGCTGCCCGCCAAACTTCTTCCATAGGTATGCTCTCCCGTTTGTTAGCGCTGCAAAATATTATCATGTGTTATGTGGTTTATGCCATTTAGGTATTAACTTGAACAATTTCCGATTGGATTGCCGGATAAGCAAACATAATATTAGCGTTACTAGCTCTAGGTATTATCATTAGATCGCTTGTCTAGCTTCGTTTCCATTTATCGTCAACGTTCGAGATGTGTCCTTCGTTTTGTTTGTTTGTTTGTTTGTTTCGATATAACAGTGTGACCTTTTTGGCTTGAATTAGTGCATTAGGCATACATAGGTGCGAGCCAGGCTCTGTCTTAGTAGATGGCATACAAATAGATCAGATATGCTCCGTGGAGAGGGAGAAGCGAAGACGAAGACGAAGAGTGTACGTGGGAGGACAAATATTAGCAGGCAATGTCCGTGGTGACGCTCTTTATGCTCTCCGAGCTAAAATGCACGCAGCCATACTTGCAGACCAGCGTCCAGACATATGGAATGAAGAACTCCTCGGGTGCATCCTCCTCAACGTACTTAAACTTAAGATCCGGAAACTTCTGCAAATAACAAGCAATAAAAGCGCATTACGGCCACATATCTCACTACCATTAGCTTAAAGGCTCACTTACCCTCAGCCGATCGCTGGACCATTGGCTGGCACCCTTCGATATCACCTCGAGCACCTCGCTAACACCCAGCTCGCCGTGCTGCTCTTGCACGCGCTGCAAACGCGACGAGAAGAAGCCCACAACCTGCAAAGGCAGAAAGATAATTAATTTGCCAATTAATAAATTTTCCAACGAGGATAGCTAACCATATCGATGTTCTGAACGACATCCTGGAAGGCGTGATGACTGCGGAAGCCCTCAAAGACACTGCGCTTGTACAGCAGCGTGTAGACCAGGTTCGGACAGTACACAAGCTGATTTGTAAGGCAGGAGTTGAGGATTTCCAATACCATGCGCAGCACCTCCTCCAGTACGCCCAGATCCTGCAGCATGTCCTCGGCCGTAGTGGCCACATTGACAAACACGGCGCTGTCGGTAGGCTCCTTTAGCTGGGCATCCAGCCGCGTATGTTTGCGCGCCAGTGTCTCGAACAGCGAGACCAAGCGTTGCGCCACATATGGATGCAGGGCGCGGAAGTGACCGGACATGTTGGCCAGGGCCGCCAGGCAATTGGTGTGCAAGTACTTGTCGCGCATCTTCAGCATGTTGTACTGTATGGTGCGTATGACGATCAGGATGAGGATGCCGCCCAGCGATATCTCCGATATGGTGCGCTCCGTGTACCACGTGATATTCTTCAGCATCTGTGGAATAATATAGAAATAGCACACGGATAAGATGGGAGGGGATGGGGGGGGAGCAATGGCAGGCTGTTCAAACATACAATCGTGTGGACGTTCTTGTTGAAACCCTCGTCTTCGCTCAGAATGAGGAGTACAATCAGTGACATGTATATGTGATGGGAGTTGCTGTCGGGGGCATTGTACAGGGTCTGCAGAATGGGTATGACCAACTGCTCCAGGTCCTGCTGCTGCATGACGAACCTGTAGAAGCGCTCGTTCCGATGGAGCAGCAGATAGAGCAGCAGCGTGGCCTGGTCAATGGTGACAATGCGGCACAATGTCTCGTACACGGCCGAGAAGTCTATCTGGAAGGACACCGTTCCCTGCTTGGGCGAGTCTTTGGAATCGGCGCAGCCAAAGAGGCTGGCGCGATAGGCATTCTCCTGTGCCGTGCAGTGATTCGTCAGTATGAGGATGAGCAGTAGGCTCTGGTTTGCCAGCGGATAGTGGGTGCGAAACTGCTGCGAGAGCTCTCCGCCAACGGCGCTGCTCGCCTTCAGCACATCCTGCTGCTTGCGGAACGTGAAGATGGAAAGCAGCGATTCAGCGATGCCAAAGACGAAGGAGCCCGCCGAGCTGGACCCGAACATGGTATGCGGCACCTCCACCATGCGCGCCACAAAGTGCAGCAGTGCCGACATTAACACGTTGGCGTGCTGGCACTTGAATGCCGTGCGAAAGACGATCGATTTATCCGTGGGCTGCTGCGCAAACAGATGCACCGACAGCAGCGTGATCAGCATGTTGACGGCCTCCAGGTGCAGGTGGTAGGTGAACTCCTTGACGGGTATCACCACGATCAGGTTCACCAAGGCGTCAATAAAGGTCTCGAACTTGGCACCGTCCACGTACACGGGTGCTGAGGCGGCGGCGGCAGCGGCTGCCGCCGCCTGTTCCGTCGCCTCGATGGCAATGGTGGCACTCTCCGCCGGCGTCTGTTGCTGCAGCTCAACGGCCGCCTGCACAAGCTCGGCGCTGGGCAGCGCCTCGAAATGCTGCAGCAGCTGGAACTCAGAGCCCGTCTCATTGATGTACTTGACCAGGCTGCGAATGATGAAGAGGGCGTTGAATGTCTGCCACACATGCATGTTGCTCTCCTGGTCAGACAGCGACAGCAGCTCGCTGGTCTTCTCCAGGAACACAGTGACCAGGGAGCCAAAGTTACCCGTCTTCAGATTGTTACCGATGAACGACTGACACAGCGTCTCCAGCCGGCTGTCCAGGTTAAGCTGATCCTGGCTGAAAAACCGTAGAAACGTTAGCCAGACGACTTGATGACGTTGACATACTTCCAGCACGCAGCCAGTACGCACCTGTTCTCCGGCAACACAATGTTGTAGTTGAGCAGTCCGTTCCAGAAGGCCTCGTCGTCGTGGGCAATGTGGTGTCGCCCAACGAACCGCTGCAGCCACTCGTTGGACCCCAGGTCCGCCGTCCGGCTGACGTTGATGCCCATTCTTCTCTGTCGTGCGTGCGACCTGTCCCTTTCCCTGTCCCTGTCGCCACTAGCGACAAACAATCAATCTGGTGTGCTCACTGCTCGGGGAGGCGTCTACTGCATTTGATTTAGCTGGCCAACGACTGCTTGGCCCTTTCCAGTTAACAAAATATAATAACAATTGTCGATGTTGGTGGCACGGGCACGTCACCCATTTGTGGAGTGTTTTTTTATGGTTTTTTTCATATGGTTTTGACGTTCCGCCGGCTACGCTTCCCAGCACTGTCCGCGCGTTGCCCAACACTGCTCGTCAGCTGACGTCACTGGTGCCCAAAAGAGTGCAACTAAAAATCGCAAAGAAAATCAGCTTGAATAGCAAAACGAATAGCGAATATGTTTTGCGCCGTCGACGACTGCATGACCAACCTGACAGGGAGCCGCCAGCGCTCGTTCAAATTTCCCCGCGATCCCGAGCTGCGCCGCCAGTGGACACTCTTCTGCCGCCGCGCGGACGGCATCAATTACCAAGTGGAGCGCGTATGCCAGAAGCACTTTGAAATGGAGGATTTCGAAAGGGATTCGCGATTCGATGGCAATCACACGCCCCTGAAACTGAGGCTGGAGGCTATGCCCAGCGTGCACTCGCACGAGGATATCGATTTGGGAATCGTTGAGGAGCACTTGGAGCTAACAGCGGCGAGGGAGAAAACTCTCCTGGCGGAATACCAGGAAGAGCCGGCCAAGGAACAGCCAGAGGAGACGGACAGCGACTACGACTTCGAGGAGCTGCCAGCGGAGGGGTGTATGCAAGTGCAGGTGGTGGACGCCGATGCGTACTTGAAGGTCTTGGAAAGGGAAAAGTATGGCTCCGACCTACCCATCATGTTGTATTCAACTCTAATTTCCCTGTTCTTGCAGCACCGAACTGAAACGCGACAACTTCAAAATGAATCTGTCCATCCAGACCAGTGAGAGGGACATGGAGAGGCTGCAGCGGCAGCTGGACAACTCGAATGAGCGCTATGGACAGCTTGTAGGCAATTTGGAGCAGATCTTCTCCACGGCCCAAATCGAAAAGATTCAGAACGACAGACGTATCGTGTGGCCCAGGACGGATCTAATAGAAGCGCATAGTCTGTATGCGGCCAGCAGGAGTGTCTACAACATGCTGCTAAGCAAGAACTACCCATTGCCCTCTGTGAGAACAATGCAGTACTGGGAGGCCCGCGAGCGGAAGGCAACCACAACCGGATCGATGCAGACTGGCCAGCTTGGGGATTCGGCGGCACCAGTGTCGACCATGCACAATCTGTTTGAGGTCATTGATGCCACCAACACGGATCACAATTACACCTAGCGTACAGCCAACAGCTCGATCTGTTCTGCTACTGTCGATACGACCAACTTGGATCACAATTACACAAAAATAGAGTCACCATAAACACGAACGACTTTAATCGAGCCTGCAAAGCATCATGGGATTACAAGGATACACATATTAAATTTTAAACATTTGTTTGTTAGCTAAATAAGTCTTAATGTAATTACCAACCATTCCGAATCAGAATTGCGTTTAGAGGAAGCTGTTCATGGAAATGATTATTTTTAATTCATAAAGCGAATTGAATGGTCGCAGGAAAGTAAGCTCCAATAACCAGATAGATTAATGTAAGGTACTTTTAAGTATTATTTGTTAATGAACGTTTGTCTTTTTTTTAATGTTTTAAAATGTTTTAATGTCGTCCGACGGACACAAAGTGTCATGGAAATTTAAATAATCTCCGCTCCCTTGCCCAATGGGGATAGTATTCGAATGTACAAATATACATATATGTATGTATAATAGGTTGAATTAGATTAAGTTAAATTAATAAATTCAATTATTAAATTTGAATTAAGTTGAAGAAGTTTTCTGCTTCACCTACGATCATTTCATTCGAATCACCATTAGCCATCCGTAGTTTTAGTTGTACAGAAAACAATTATTAAATAACTAACTTTGTGTGAAATTATCTGAAATGGACAAAAGCAATAGCAATAACAATAAACGAAACATTCCCAATTTGAATATATGTTTTGCATTTATTAGAATATGGAACTAAAACTAATTTGTTGATTGGATACTGTTGCACCTGAAGCGCACACAGCCTGCGATTTAGCGTTTCACTGTCCAACGGTCTCAATATGCATGTTATGCATGTATCCATCCCCCTTCCTACTTAATCGATTCTCTGGTTTTTTGGTTGCTTCCGAATTGCATACAATTTGTAACTAAATATATATAAATATACATACATATGTAAAAACTAGGAGGGGAAAACCAAAAGTTAAGCGGAAATTCCGAAAAATTCTCTACCCTCATCAATCGTAGTACATCATTTTGTTTCCTGTGCTGTTCTCTGATGCATTGCATTCATCATACACGATTATCACAAATTGTATTCCTTTTAGTTGGCGCTGCATGCGAAATCGCTGCGTGAGTCAGGGTGAACAGGGTGAAAATATGTAGGAGCTACAATAATAGGTGCAGCATTTAAACAAAATATTGATACAAAATAAACTCCCTTGCCTATGCCTGTTTTCTGAGTTTGAGTTTGGCGATCAGGTGACTTAACTTATCAAATGTACAGTGAATGTGAATGTGATAATGATAATGAATAATGGCAGAATGTATGACTACAGGACATGGCGGCAGGACAGGGCTCATCGCTCCATCCTAGCTTCTGATGTTTAGCCCAGCATCGCGGCGCATTTGCGGTGCTCCTCCACCTTACAGCTTGCGCAGAGCATTGTGCTTGCCGTGCTTCTTGGCCAGCAGCTGCTTCAGGCTGAACGAGGAGAGGGCGATGCCGAAGAGCGCCAACATGGTGGCTGAGCGTGTCACCACACGGTTGGACCTGGATGAGTTTGTGGTGTACGCATGGCTGCAGTTCGTCGAGGCCTGCGCAGATAGCGGCGGCGCCTGCAAGAGATTAGGAAAAAGAAAATCACGATTAGAAATGCTATCTTCCACGGCTCTCTAAATATTGTAGGCACGAGTATTTTTAGAAGGCCAAACAAACAATTGCCCCTATATACTTAATTGGCACAGTGCCCTACCCAGTGTCTGTCTGTGCAACTACGCAGCACAAAAAGAAACTGCGACCGGGCGGTTGTCAACCGGTTCAAGTGTCCCCACACATTACCCCACACACAGCCCCACACGTTCATTGAACTGATTAAACGAGAGTGGCCTGGGGTCGATGCAATAGCTGATTAGATTGGGCCACCCTCTCATTGTCACCAATACCCGTACACCTGTTGATTGAAGTGCGGATGTTGCAAGACCTAACGATGCCGTGCTGCAATCTTTGGCCGTCCAGTGACGTCAAGCATTCCACGGATAAGCCTCCGATTCAGTTTCCAATTCAGAGCCGATCTCAGTGACGCACTTAGCCCTGTTCTCGTTGCCGCCAAAGTTCACATCTCTTTGGCATCGTTGCTCTCGTTCTGGCACGCTCGAACATGTGCTAGACGCGTGCCGCACACATCCATAATCTTCGAAACGCCACACAAAATAAAGACAAAGCGAATTTTTTTATAAATAAACGAACTTGATTTCGTTTCGTATTCTCATATGCATAATTCCGTTCGCAAATTTATTCAAACAAAAAGAATGTCAAATTGTTATGTCTGTGGTCGTTGCTTCGCTTCCGAATCTCCATCCATCGCCTGCTCCTGCCGGTGCTTGAGCAGCTGCATCACCGCCTGCGTCCGCAAAGCCGTGCCCGCTCCAGTTCTGACAATTGGGCGTCTGCGTGTTGTCTTTGTGCTGCGGACTGGCGCTGCATCAAGTCGCTTTATGGCATCCAGGAACTCATTTTCCTTGGTGGGAATTTTTTTCTTTTCGGCAATAATTGCCGGTTGTGTTGAGGCCGCCTTCAAGGGCACTGGACTAACGGTTTTCTCTTTTCGGGGCAGAGTGGATGCTTCAGTCCGCGGCAGAGTGGATGCTTTTCGGGGCGCAGTTTTGAAGGGATCGCTCCTTGGGTTGGCTCTGGGAGTTAATAAAGGCGGCGCGTCGAAGGTATCTATTTTGGGACTCAGCATGGGCGCAGTCTGCAGCGTTTCAGGCAGCTGCGGAATTTCTGCTTTGGCTATCAAGCAATTATCAGTCTTATCGGGAATGTTCGGCTCCAACCAGCTAAAGTCTAGCTCTGCACAGGCCTCTGGTTCAGTCGACGGACCAGAAAGCAGATCCGGCATGGAGATGAGATTCAAGTCTGATTCCGGCTGCGTCTCTACAGCTGCTGCTTCTGCTCCTGACCCCAGATCCTGCAGCAGCTGTAGGATGAACTCATCGCCCTCGTCTGGGGCAGCAGAGTTTTCATTTTGTGACGCTTGGATGGGAATTCCTTCGCCAAAGTCGAATTCCTCGTCAGAGGAGGAAACCTCATCGTTGTGCGGCCAAAGGCAGCTGCGGGACTCGCACTTCAGCAGTTGCTCCTCAAGGCTGATGTGAAAGAAGCGCAGCTTGTGGTCCAGGCCCAGGGCCAGGCACTCCCGACACGGGTCGCCCGACTTAAGCTTCTCCAGCTCCGCCATACGTGCGTGTGTGTGTTGGTTAGGAAATACCCTAGCCCCACCGTTCACTCATTTGCATTTTGTTCTTGTGGTCGTGGCCGTGCGTTTTCTACAATTGCTTCCCGATTTTCTGGTTTAATTTTCGAATGCTCACCTGACTGAAGGTTAAACGAAAAGCATACAGGCCGAGATTTGTTGTTTTCATGGTCCGTTCAGGCAATGAGCGGCTGCAACACAAAGAAATTGTCGTTTAATGAGTGCCAGAGCAGCTTACATAATACGGAATTGATTTTTCACTGCCTGATCGTTGCAGGGCGACCAAATCTGAGGCTGCTTATCACTTACTTGTGTGCTGCGACTAAACTGACTGGTGCTCTCTGCTGCGAAGTGCAATCCGCGGTGTTCTGCGTTGAGAATAATTAATTTGGTGGGTGAGAATAAATGAAAACCAAAATAAAAATTCTCTAAAGCGCAATCCACATGTCAAGAGTGAGAAAGCCAGCTGTTCTATCCAAGCATCGTTCTATCGATGGTTTAAAATATCGATGAATCGAAATTTTCAGCGAAATATTTTAACAACAAATTTAAAAAGTAGAACTTTTTTATAGTTTCCTCAAATTATTATTTATTGTTTGTGAGGTGGTTGGAGGTTTCTGGCTAGAAGGTTGGTTGTCCGCATCCTCGCTTGTAATATTATAGCCTATTTACACTGACATGAGTTACCTATCGATTGTTGAGTTAACTCAATAACACAGAATTTGCGTCTACACTGGCACAAACTCGAGTTATTTACTTAGTTTAGCAGGCGATTGTGGCGGCACTCACTTGAATTTTATATGAGAAACTTAAGCCGGTTCAAGTAGCACACAGGAGCATCATGGCAGATAATAGGGATGGTGGAGAGTCTGAAATAAAGGTAAATACATAAATTGCAGTGCACTTTTTGCTGAATTGTGAATGGAATGCATGTTCTTTTGTTGCAGCCTCGCAGCTATCAGCTGCGTCTCGTTGATCATATTACCAAGAATAATGGTATAATCTATTTGCCGACCGGATCTGGCAAGACATACGTGGCCATCCTGGCCCTCAAGCGATTCTCCAAAGACATGGACAAGTAAGTCCGTCTAGCACTCTTCAATCGCGTGCATGTACAGTGCATATGTACATACATATGAACATTTAATCTACACTCTGTGATTATATGCCTATGTATGTACATTGTACACATGCATACATATGCACATTCATACATATGCAAATAAATAGCTATTGTTTACATTGTACAGATCAATCGAAGAGGGCGGCAAACGTGCTATTTTTATGTGCAACACAGTCGAGCTGTCCCGTCAGCAGGCTGTGGCCGTGAAGAAGTTTACAAATCTCAAAGTTGGATTCTTTGTGGGGGAGCAGGGCGTCGACGACTGGTCGAGAACAAAATGGAGCCACGAAATAAGCGAAAGCCAAGTGAGTGTCAGCGCTACGTGGCCCATCAAGCGATCGGCACTTGATCCGTACACATGTAATATGATCAGGCACTTCATGTGCATGCCCTGAAGCCATTTCTGATATTCGTATGTATGGAACGGAGGCACGAGCATTTGTCCAAGTGCTTTACAATTGTTGCATTGGCCATTATTTTGTTTCTAATTGCATTTTCATCTTTCACTTGCAATGGCAAATAGGTTCTGGTGGGCACAGCCCAAGTCATATTGAATATGTTCACCCAGAAGTTCATGGAGCTGAGCTCTGTTAGTATTGTGATTATAGACGAGTGCCACCATGGCACTGGCCACCATCCCTACCATGAGTTCATGCATCTGTTCCTGCTCGCTGACAGGGGCACGCCGATGCCGCGCGTTGTGGGACTGACGGGTGTCCTCATTAAAGGCAACGAATTTAAGGAGGTCTCCCACAAGCTCAGAGAACTGGAGACGACCTACAGAAGCAACATCATCACCGTGTCCGACACGGAGGAATTGAAGAACGTGATGCTGTGAGATCCTATTACCTTAGCCCTTCCCATGGGAGCAGTTAACTCTACAGCAGCTTGGTTTGGTTCTTTTGCAGTTACTCCACCAAACCCAAGGAGAGTTTATTGATTTATCCAGTGCAAGGGAGGTCCCTTGATGTCGTCCATATCATACATGCACACATTGAGTACTTTTACGCACTGCTAGACTCATTGGAAATTGGCAAACAGCCGACCCGCTTAACCAAGGGGCTCAACATGCGCGAACCCCATAAAAAAAGCTCAGTGAAGACTCTGCTGAACGACTTCGAGTACCAGCTGGAGCAGTACGGCATATACGTGGCAGCCATGGCCATCGTGTCGGTTGCTGTGGCGTTCGAAATCAAGCTGCATCAGTCGGAAACCATTACCCTGAGCCAAATGTACAAGTCGGCCATCAACCTGTGCAACGTCATCCGTCACATACTAAATAGGAAGCTCCGCGATATGCTCGACGAAGATTCGCAATCCGATGAAGATGTTCACACTGAGGAAATCATGTTGAACTTTTCGACGCCCAAGGTGCAGAGACTTTTGCATTACGTGAAGCAAACGTTCTCCGGCAAGGAGGCCAAGGATGTTTGCTGTTTACTCTTTGTGGAGCGCCGATATACGAGCAAGTGCATATACCAACTGCTGAAGAAGTTTATTGCCGCCACGCCGGAGCTGCGCGATGTGCTCGTGCCGCAGTTTATGGTGGGCCGCAACTCGGTCGCAGCGGATTTTGAAGGCGTCCTGGAGCGCAAGTGGCAAAAGTCGGTAGGTTACTCTTGTGTCGTCTACAGCAGAAAAAAGTTTCATAAATTATTATTCCCTGTCTGAATGCCCATCAAAGGCCATTCACCAATTTAGGGATGGCGAAGCCAACCTGATGGTCTGCTCCAGCGTTCTGGAGGAAGGCATCGATGTGAAGGCCTGCAACTACGTATTGATCCTGGATCCGCTGAAGACATTCAACATGTACGTGCAGACGAAGGGGCGGGCACGATCCAAGGACGCACAGTTTGTGGTTTTCTCCTCAGAAATGGACAAAATAAAAATCAGCCAGCAGATCCTTCAGTATCGCCAAGCGCATGCCGACATCGGAGAGTTTCTGAAGGATCGCGTACTGGAGCGGGCCGAGCCTCTAATGCACGAGATAGCCGATCACTTTCACGAAGTGATCCCACCTTTTAAGAACGAACACGGTGCCGTGCTGCTGCCCAGCGGTGCCCTTATGCTGCTCCACCGCTACTGCCAGAGCATGCCCACGGATGCATTCGGCTTTGTGGAGGCATGGATCACATTGCTCACTGAGCAGCACCGCCAGCAACTCTTTGGTGCTCGGGCCGCACTCAAAGAGGTTGTCTCCATCGAGCTTCCACTCAGCTCGTCCATGCGTGAAACAATTTATGTAAGCCCGAAATCGACTTCCAAGCGCCGTCAGTCAGTCAGTAATCTTGCCAATCGTATCTTTTCAGAGCGATCCCATGCCCTCCGTGAAGGCGGCCAAAATATCGGCAGCATTCAAGACCTGCATTAAACTCTACTCGGTGGGGGAGCTCAACGAGCGCTTTCTACCCGTCTCGCTCAAGGATCGGGTGTCGGCCATAGCCGACTTTCACTTTGACCACTGGAAGAAATACAGCGACAATGGTGGGTCTAGGTCCCATGCTCACCCAATATCTTTGAACAATCTTTAACCTTCTGTGCTTGCAGTGGTCGATACGGTCACCAACCAGACGGACACATCGGACAGATTTGCTACCTATAAGACCGCTTGTCCGAAGGAGTTTTACGATTGCAGGCCACGGATTGGCGAAGTCTGTTATGCCTATGAGATCATGTTGGAGCCGCAGTTCGAGCGCAACGACTACACGGAGCACATGCACGACAATCTACTGTCGGGCAGGAACTTTGCGCTGCTGCTGAGGAAGAAGCTGCCGCCTCTGTCCAAGATGCCGCTGTTCTGCAACCAAGGCCCGTTGCATGTGCGTGTGAACGAGCAGCCGCGAGAGCTGGTTATTTCGAGTGAGGAACAGCTGGAGCAGCTGCATCAATTCCATGGAATGCTGTTCCGCGACCTGTTGAAGATCTGGCGTCCCTGCTTTGCACTGGATCGTCGCAGCAAAGCTAATTCATACTTCTTGGTGCCTCTGGCCGTGGGATCAGAGTATCAGAACGTGGTGGACTGGCCGCTGGTCCGTCAGTTCCAGCGTCTGCCCATCTCGGAGCCTGTCAGCGTAAAGCAGCGCCAGGAGCAGCCAGCGCCGCGTTTAGAAGACTTTGAGGGTAAAATTGTGACCCAGTGGTACGCAAGTTTCACAACCAAGCGAATGCTTGTGCACAAGGTGCGCAGAGACCTGACACCTCGCAGCCTAATGGACAGCAAACAGCAGGAAATGAGCTATGGCGAGTTCACTACGTCCAAGTATGGCAATCACATCGGCGGGGTGGTTCACATGGACCAGGGCCTGATCGAGGTGCGGGAACTTACGGAGCAGCTGAACTTCTATGTCCAGCAGCGGGGCAAGACGTCGGCCCAGAGCAAGGCCAGGGCCAAGATTATTCTCATACCGGAGCTCTGCTTCAATTTCGATTTCCCCGGCGACCTCTGGATCAAGGCCCTGTTTCTGCCCAGCATCCTGAACCGTCTCCACTTCTTGCTGCACGCTGAGGCCTTGCGTCAGCGCTTCAATGCCTTCCTGGGGCTGCAGCATCTGCCTCAGAATGGACTCGACTACAGGCCAAAGCTCTTGGAGATCGACTGGTCGCTGCGCCGCAATGTGGATCCCCACGGCAATGCCGTACCCAACGATGATGTCGAAGAGCCGCGCTCCATCCTGGAGCCCCTGCCCACCAAAGAAATTGAAATCGGCGTGAAGAACCTGCATATACGCGAGGTACAAGAGCCTTGGCAGCAGTACCTCGAACCCGTGGACCTATCCCGGAACATCATGTCCGCCTACACCGTGGAGCTCAACTATTACAACAATTTTGTCGCCGGCCAAGTGGCGGCTATCGACAAAATGGAGCAGGACGACAAGGAGTACTGGCTGGAGACGCAGTTCAAGATACCCAAGGGGGGCATCTATGAGACCAGGAGTCCGGCAAGGCCCGCAGTGGCCCGGCCTGCACTGCTGCCGCCGGCCAACTCGGCGCCCACTCAAAAGTCGCCGAATGTGTTGCCGATTCTGCTGAAGAGCGTTTCCGACGAACACATCACTCCGGCCCATCAGGGCGAGTTCCTGGCGGCCATCACCACAGCGGGAAGTGCAGATGTGTATGATATGGAGCGATTGGAGCTGTTGGGCGACTCGTTCCTCAAGATGAGTGGCAGTCTTTACCTGGCAAGCAGGTATCCCGAATGGAACGAGGGCACGCTCACGCAGGTCAAGTCGCGACTGGTGTCCAACAAGAATCTAATGTACTGCCTCAGGGAGACGGATATTCCCAGCCGTATTAGCTGCAGCCTGTTCGATCCCCGAATTTCGTGGCTTCCGCCCAGCATTGGCCTGCCCGAAAATGTCTTGGCCTTATGGACGGAGCAGCCGTGCCTTGCCAAACTGATTGGTCCCCACAATCTCTTCGATCTGAACCTCAGCGACGAGGAGATTCTGGCCGGTCGTTGCAGCGAGGCCACCTATCGTCGCTTTGTGCAGAGCTGCCAGGGCAATCAGCATGGCCATCATGCCGGCCAAGACTTCTCATCCGACGTGAACTACTGCTTTGGCGAGTCGACCATTCAGAACAAGGTGGTGGCCGACACCCTGGAGGCCCTGCTGGGGGTCATTGTGAGGAACTATGGACTGCAGCATGGCTTCCGCATGCTCGAATACTTCGGCATTTGCAAACCGGACGTTGATAAGCCATTGACACAGCTGCTCGATCTTCAGTTGAGAAGCGCCAAGATGCGAGCAAACACGAGCGCTGCCGATATTGATGGCTTCCTCATCAACCACTCCCATCTGGAGGAGAATATAGGCTACACATTCCGGGATCGCGGCTACCTCCTGCAGGCCCTGACACATCCGTCGTTTCCCACTAACCGCCTGACCGGTTGCTACCAGGAGCTGGAGTTCATTGGCGATGCCATACTCGACTTTCTCATCTCTGCATACATTTTCGAAAACAACAGCAAGCTGCGGCCGGGCCAGCTCACGGATCTGCGCTCGGCTTTGGTCAATAACACGACACTGGGCTGCATCTGCGTGCGGCACAAGCTGCACTTGTTCATTCTGGCTGAAAACGCGCTCCTTTCGGAGACCATCAGCAAGTTTGTGAATTTCCAGGAGAGCCAGGGCCACAGGGTCACGAATCATGTACGCTTTCTGCTCGAGGAGCGAGATGTGCAGCCCGTTATTCTGGACATGGACGATGAAATGGAGCAAGCGATGGAAGATGGATCGAAAGATGGTCCACGCATCGGTGCCTTCAACTTGGCGCAGAACGTAGATGTGCCCAAGGCTTTAGGCGATGTCCTGGAGGCCCTCATTGCGGCCGTCTACTTGGATTGTCGGGATCTGCAGACAACCTGGCAGATGATCTACAACTTGTTCGAGCCCGAGCTGAAGGAGTTCTCCCGCAACATACCCATCAGCCCGATCCGACAGCTACAGGAGCACAAGCTGGCCAATCCCGTTTACGGTCCGCCCATGGTTGACAAGGATGTTGTGATGGTGTTCTGCCAGTTCACGTGCATGGAGAAGACAATTCGGGTCACTGGTGTCGGCAGCAACAAGAACCAAGCCAAATTAGCTGCTGCCAAGAGCGCTCTTCAGAAATTGGCTAAATATGATCCATAGCCCATAGAACGGCATGCCGTGACACCCGTGACCGCGATCCACGAAAAGGCTAAGCCTGACACCCATTATAAATATTTCCAGTTGATTTTCACCTGTCAATGTTTAAAATGGGAGTCATGCCTAGACATTTTTTGGTCAGTGCATTTGCAAGTACGAATTTTATGATCAAAAAGGGCATTGCTCGCACCATTTCTCGTTTAAGATTTAAAATGACGCCATTTATACAACTTTTTATGAATGTTAACAAATTATGAATTTTTATATTTTTATTTGCGATTTTATTTACCGCGTTTCAGTGCACATTTTAGTTAGATTTACAATCGGATGGGCTACGTCGTCAACGACGTGAATGCCATTTTTGTATTTACAATAAAATGCTGAGTGCATGCATTCTTCGATTCATTCGATCCGATTGTCCATGCCACAGCGGTGGCTTTTGCTCCGGCCGGCCTCTGTAGATACATTATTAAGTGCCTTACAAACTACAAATTAGAGTAAGTAACATTGGAGGCGGAGACAACAAATGGTTAAATTATATGTTCAAAAGATCTGAAAAGCATTCAGCTTACATTTTGGAATGATTAAAACTAACAAGACAAACACAAACTAAACGAAATGAGATGAGATGAGATGGACCAATAAGGAGTCCAGGCACACATACACACACGCGTGCCCTGCCCGCCGGCCCTGCCCTGTCCTGCCTACACAGTAAAACTTAGGGGTAATGCGGTCACATTCCGAGTACGTGATAAAATAGAGATTAATTTGCTCGCTTATTATAATACGATACGCCAGGAGTAAGTAATTCGGGACTGCACGCTGCTCTACACGCGACAAGTGCAGTCTGGCTTGTTGATGCTCCGTTGCCGAGTCTGTAGATTGCGTAGAGCGGCTCCGCCGTACTGTATGCCACTGCCGATGCGTTCGGGATCCAGCTCGCCAGTTTCTATTTTGGCCAGTATGGTCTTGGAGCACTTGAGGAAGGCCTCCTCAACGTTCTCGCCAGTCTTGGCGCTCGTTTCCAAGAAGATCAGCTCTACAAAAGGCATTCGGTAAGTGAAAAGGGAAAGGAAATAGCAAATGCACACAAAGTAAAAGGAACAAACCGTTCTCCTGGGCAAAGGTGCTGGCCTCGAGAAATGTTACATCGCGTGCCTCTTCCAGGTCCTTCTTGTTCCCAACCAGCAGAATAACAATGTTGGGGCTAGCCAATGTCCTCGCATCATTGAGCCAATTGGTCAAGGCATTGAACGAGTCCCGCGATGTGGCATCGTAGACCAGCAGAGCACCTGCAGCGCCGCGATAATAGGACCTGGTCACAGATCGAAACCTCTCCTGTCCGGCTGTATCCCATATTTGCAGCTTCACCGATTTTCCGCCCACATTCACAATGCGAGAGCCAAACTCCACCCCAATGGTGTGCGAACTGTCGTCTTTGACTTTGAACAAAAGGAATAAATAATTTAAAATTAATTCTACGCATAAATGGGGAAACTTCCAGAGACAGCTTACATTTGCTTTCGATGAAATGATGCAACAGACAGCTCTTGCCGCTGCCAGCGCTTCCAATTATCAGGAACTTGAACAGGTAATCTAGACGAGTTTCCCCAACCGGAATTAATTAGAAATTGCTTCTAATTAGTTATTCGTGTAAAGACAAACCGTATGTTTCCGACATTGTTTTTGTTGCCTGTCTCTGTGTGTAGTCGTCCGCAGCCTTTGTTTCGTTGTTTTTCGTAGCCAGAGGCCTGGTTTGGTCGTTGGGTGTATCCTACGCTCGAAGGAATTGTGTGGGTGTGCTCCGAAAAGGGCACAGACACGTCAAAGTCGACGATAGTGAAGCTTAGGAGTAATTAATTGGGTTTAAACAATTAAAACAACTCAAAAGTTGGATAAAATGCTCTTCTGACTCGTCGAATAGTGTTGATAAACATTGAAAATACATCTAAGTGTGACCAGACACGATAAGAAACAACGAACAAAATTCCAATTTAATTAATTTAAATATTCCTCTCAAAAGAGAATCTCAACTTTATTGTTGTTCTCCAGATCCGCAAGCTATTTTTTTTAAATTTTAATACATTATGTATGTAATTCTGTTTGGGTAGTCTTTAATTGTGTGATGTGATCCTTAAGTATCCTTTTGTTTCTTTTCGCCGTAATTCTGGTAGCAGTTGACAGGATCCTGCGCGGTGAAATCGGAGTAGGCCAGCTTGCTGCCCTTGAAGTTCTGTAATGAGGAAATTGCATTAAAATAAACATTCCGGTAGATAAGATTTGGGCACGACCTTACCTTAATGTCCCCAGTTATTAATGTCCACAGGAACACGAAGACGGCTGGCAATAAGCTGCTCAGGACGAACAGTTCAAACGTGTTGAGTTCACCAAAAATAGATACTTTCATTGTGGCAAATAAGGTTTTACGACAAACTATAATAAACAAATGTGATTGATGACAAATTGTTGCTCGCACGTACTCCAAACAGTGTTGTCAACCTTTCAATAACCAGGGTCGGAACAGCGCAGCTCAGGGCTGCATATTTTTGGTACTAGAAAACGGCAAGGCCAGATAACATTGAAGAAAAAGTAATTTAGCTGAATAAAATGGCTTTCCGCATCCCATTTGGCAAGAAACACGCTGAAATCGCGTCCTCCTTGTAAGTAAATGATGACGGGTCTTGTTGCGGCATCAGGATTGTACTCGAATTCGGTCAAATGTGCACACACAGGCACATTGCATAATCATGCAGATTCAATAACAATATTGTCTGCTCCCATTTCTTTCAGCGCTCGCTCTGGTGCTGGCTTCGGTGGTGCTGCTGGCCTGGCTCTGCTCTACTACACCGACTGGAAGCTTATCCTGCAGTACGTTCCCATCTACGGCTCCAAGTACGACAAGACCGAATAAATATGACCTTCGTCACATCCACACGTAGTTCATGTCCACTTGGGCGCAATGTTTTGCTTAGTGAATAAAATAAGTTTAAACTATCTTGTGTGTTCGTGTGTATAAATTTCGTATTACAATTACGTTTGTATATTACAAATATGTAACTTTCAACTGGACACAAATCGTTTGTGGGATGGTTAGGGCCCAGAGAGGCTCCTTCGCCGTATCTAAAATATTTTCTCTTATTCGAGTTGACTCTCTAGCTTATTTCTAAAGTGCTTAAGTAACTCGTTGCTCAAGGCACACACTAGTGGGCTGTGGCCTATTTTGATTACAGATCGTATAAAAAGTACATCCGCGAGTTCCGTATTCGAGTACAAATGATTTCCTTTTTTAAAGAGATTACAAAATTGCAAAACTGGAAGCCCAAATCGACCGGCGATTGAATGAATTTTGACAAGTAATTTCGAATTTCACCTAATAAATGCTTGGGCCTAGATATCCGGCTCGACAAACGAAGCTGGGAACAGTCCGGTTTTGTGGGTGCGCGCATGTGTGCCCTTGTACCAGCCGTTCTTCTGTTTTCGCTGCACATAGATGATGTCGCCAACATGCAGCTCCAGTTCGATGTCGCTGTTGGGCGGATACGGCACGATGCAACGAAAGCGACTGCAATGGAAATAGTTAAAATCAAATTGAATTATCTTATCCGCCCCGGAGACCCTCACCTTTCTCTCGTGCAATAGACCGACTTGGTTGTTGCACTGGCTTTTATGGCCGCCTCGGTGATGCCATTGCTGCTGGGGCAGAGCACATGGCCAGCATCTAGACTGTGAGACTTTCGATGGCTCGGTGCAATGATCATATTGGCATGCAGCTGCGTCTGGCTGCCAGGCTGCTGCCCACCGGCATAGATGGGTGCGGCTATTGAGGATGCAGGCGGTGGTGGAGACGAGGCCGCATTGTTGTACATACTGCGGAATGTGGCTGCGTCCAAGGACTGGCGTGCGCTGCATTAAAAATGGACAAGTTATTGGTTTTTGCTCGACTAGCAGTCTTAGATTCCACTAACCAAAGCAAATGTGGCCGATCCTTATTGCTCTTCACGCGTTGCGAACCATAAGAGACACTGCCGCTGCTGACGGGAGGCTGTTGCTTGCCCTGGAAATGCTGCTGACCTGCGGACGGGGGAGCTGCTGCTGTTGTTGTCGTTTCATTGAGCGGCTGACTGTGCTGCAGTTGGCTGGGACATGATCCGGATCTGAAGAGAAACCGATTGTGATAATTATGATGATATGGGATTATGGGGAAGCACCTACCTGACATGCACTGGGTGCAAGAGAGGAGCTGTTGTCTTAGCAGTGCTTTCAATGCTTGTGGTGGTGGTGGCATCTTTCGGAGTTTGCTGCAGCGAAGCTCCTGGCGATTTGGAGCGTGTTTTCATGTGCGTTAGTCGTCGCATAAGTCCGACTGCGCCAGAGGAACTGCTGCTTGAAGTGGCCGTGGAGGTGTCCTGCTTGGGCTCGGACTTTCTACTAAACAAGGCCTCCACTGGCTTTGTCCAGACCGAACAGCTGGTCGTCGACGCTGTGGCTGTGGTCGATGCTTGCTGCTGGCGGGGCGGCAAATCCGGCGGCTGCATGGGCAGCATGTTGTTGAGGCGTACATCTGGCGCCACTGGCTGCTGCTGCTGGGGATGAATCTGCTTCGCATCCGAGCTTTGGGGAACGTATTTCCACTGGTGCATCAACTGCTGCTGGTCGCGTGTGCGCAATGGCGTCAGGTAGTTCCCCGGGAAGACGCCAGTGATGTCCAGCCAGTTCTTTCCCTTGAACCAGCCATCCACACACCGTTCGGTCACAATGTACACGCAGCCCTTCTTCAATTCCAGTTCGTCGTTTTGTAGTGGCTTATATGGGAACAGGGCCAGGTATCCCCAGGGCAGAGTGGGAGGCATTTGTTGCTGCACATTGGTCTTCAGCACGCGTGCAGATTGGGAGGCGGGTGTCGCTTTGGCAGCCGCTGATGTGGCTGGAGAGGCGGCCACCTCCAGGCGACTCAGCTCATGTGGCAGGCTTAGAATCTCAGCGGAATGGCGGTTGGTCTGCAGCAGACTAAGCTGTGCTCCCCCTCCGAGCAGGGCATTCAACGAATGCCGCTTCTCCTTAGCTCCCTTATCCCGAAAACGAACAGATCCCGATCCAGAGGCCATCACATGTTGGGGAGTATTTGGCAGCGATGACTGATGATTGGGACTGCAGTTGTTCGAGCTGGAAGTGGAGCTGGAGTTGCTACTGGCTGGTGTGATGTTCGAGGAGCCAGAGCTGGATTCTGTGACCACTGTGGGATCAATTATGGGAACAGGAGGAAGGGCACGCTGTGGCTGCTGCTGCTGCTGTGGCGTATGGCACGGTTGTTGATTCATTACTCCACCATCGAGGAGCTTCTTGGCTACAGCATTCAACTCCACAAATGCTATGGGAAAGATTCCGATTGTCTGACCGATTCGACCTTCAGCCCAATTGTGATCCACTCGCCGCAGCACTTGGATGACTGTGCTCTTCTTGAACTCGAGGCAGCCCTCCTCATCATTGGGTCCCATCTTGAAGTCATACATGGCAATGCACTGGGGCATGGGCAGAGGGACGGATACTTTGACATAGTTTATGGGAAAGGTTCCCTCCTGTCCATTGGCCTGGCCCACGAACCAATTGTTGTCGATGCGTTGCTTAAGCAATATAAGGTCCCCCTTCTTAAACTTCAGATCGTTGGCTTCGCTGGAGACAAAATCGAACAGGGCATAGGCGTGCGGCAGTAGAAACCGACGTTGCTTCTGACGAACCACCTGAGTCTGCGATTTCTGTTGCTGTTGCTGGTGCGGGTGCTGCTGCTGCTGCTGCTGCTGCAGTTGTGTACTACCCGTGGGGGCCACCGTTTCCGTGTGATGTTGGGTTTTCGGTTTCTCTGGGGGCGTTTCGGTCTCTTCACTTTTATTGTCGTTTTTAACAGCAGCCGCTGTTTGTTTCATGCCTGCAGATTGAGAAAATATAGAGTTATCACTAAGCCAAGCAAAGGCGAGTCACTTGCTGAAAATCTGGCCAATGCCGCTTTGCCACACTCCGACAATTCAAGAATTCTAGTCCGAATGTCGCGTGGGCTGCGACCGCCAGATGATAGTCGCGTGGGCTGCGCACACTCATGGCTCACACTCCCTCATTACCTTCTAAAATTCTCATCAGCAAAACATTCGGAGGCAGTTCATCGATTTTGGACGAGACCAGGACGCGGCATTCCGGACACCGCAGCTTGTGTTGGCTGGCCACAATGTCCTAAAGGAAAGGGAAATTGGTCAGTGGGAGAGTAGGAAAAATTAGAATTTCAGTCGGTCTTACCACCAGACACTTGCGACAGAATGTATGCTGACATGGTAGCACCTTCGATGTGGTGTCCAGACGGTCCAGACAAACCGAACACTCCAACAGGTCATTCAATGTATGCTCATCCATTTCTTAGGTATGCCTCGAAAGCAAAATCTCAAGGATGGGGTCACAATTTGAATTTCGTGCAAGGCAACATTCCAAAACGCCACACACACACGCACACATGCATACACGACAAACACTCGAACGCAATCCAAAGAGAGGCTTGGGAAATGCAGAATAAGTATGTTTTAAGCTAATTTCTACGGATTGCTTGCAAGGTTTTCATTTATATTATCACTTTTAGCTTCAAACATTTAAATTATTTAAATTAAGAGAGCAATTTTATTAAGCGCAGCCGAAGCTCGTGTGAACACAAATACTAAGCGGATATGTACACGGATATGAAACCAGCTTGCTCAACATGACGACCACTTGAAAATATATTAGCATTTGTTGCATTTATTGGCAGTTGCAATGAATTGAATGCTGATTTTTAACCAATTTTTAATACTAATTGAAGGCAGTCGTTGTGTATTCTCCATTAATTCGAATACTTAATTTGAATAAATTTATTTATTTCAATGCTGTTGTTTTAGTGGGTCTTGCAACACTGTACATGTAAACCAAACCAGTGTTGAACACCGCAAAGTTCCTTTGTTTTTTAATTTTAGCCAAGCACGTGTGTTTTGGTTTTGTCGTGCTGCAAAGATATATTTGATTGTTTGAAAGGAGCGCGATTTAATCAACAAAACATGCCGAAAGTACGCAGCACAACGGGTAAGCCCCGTACCCAGGGGTTCAACCATTCCAACCACTCGATGAATCCGGAACGGCCAAAGGAAGGACTGAAAGGTGTTGCGCACCCGCGTACGAAGGGGACCATAAAGCGGCTTCAGATGTACCGCAACTTCAAGGCCAAGCGGGATCGTACTGGCAAGATTATCTGTCCGGCACCGTTCCAGGTAAGTCGTGCACAATCACTGGCCTCCCCCTCATAGTGGATATCATACTGAATTTCGCGATTCTAGGGACGCCTGCCTGCTGGTTCAATGGCCAGAGTGGAGCCCACACCCAAGTGGTTCAGCAACTCCCGTGTGATCTCCCAATCGGCTCTGCAAAAGTTCCAGGATGAGATTGGCAAGGCAGTCAAGGACCCCTATCAAGTCATCATGAAGCCATCACAGCTGCCAGTGACGCTACTCAATGAGGCCTCCAAGTACAAGCGTGTCCATCTTCTGGAAACAGAAAGCTTTGACAGTGTATTTGGGCCGAAGAAGCAGCGCAAACGTGTCAGCCTGAAAGTGCGTGATCTGGAGGATTTGAGCAAGGCAGCGGATGAACAGGCTGATAAATATGACTCAACCAAGGACCTAGATCTGATACGCGAGGACACTGGCGAAAAGAAGGCCGTTCGAGATTGGGTGTTTGGAGCCGGAGGGAGCAGACGCATCTGGAACGAGCTTCATAAGGTCGTAGACGCTTCCGATGTCCTGCTGCAGGTTTTGGATGCCCGCGATCCCATGGGCACACGCTCCAAATACATCGAGGAGTTCCTGCGCAAAGAGAAGCCGCACAAGCACTTGTTCTTCATTCTGAACAAAGTGGATCTGGTGCCTGTCTGGGTCACACAGCGTTGGGTGGCCATCCTCAGTGCTGAGTATCCCACAATCGCGTTTCATGCCTCTCTTCAGCATCCATTTGGCAAAGGTCAGTGATATATATACTAGTTTATTTCGAGCCAAGAATATCTAGCAATTTGCTTTTCTCTCTATAGGTGCCCTCATCAATCTGTTCCGTCAGTTGGGCAAGCTGCATTTGGACAAGAAGCAAATCAGTGTGGGATTTATTGGCTACCCAAATGTCGGAAAATCCTCGGTTATCAATGCCCTGCGCTCGAAGAAGGTCTGCAAGGTGGCACCCATTGCGGGGGAGACGAAAGTGTGGCAGTACATAACGCTGATGAAGCGCATTTTCCTGATCGATTGTCCCGGCGTGGTGTACCCCACGGCTGAGACAGACACGGAAAAGGTTCTCAAGGGTGTGGTGCGTGTGGAGTTGGTCACCAATCCGGAGGACTATGTGGACACTGTACTGCAGCGTGTGCGCAAGGAGTACGTTGCCAAAAACTATAAAATCGATAACTGGACCTCACCGAAACACTTCCTCGAGCAGCTGGCCAAGAAGTCCGGCAAGTTGCTGAAAGGAGGAGAGCCAGACGTTGCCGTGACGTCCCGCATGGTGCTCAATGACTGGCAGAGAGGCAAGCTTCCCTTCTATGTGCCACCTGAAGGTTTTGCCACGCCCAAATCCCAGGAGGATAAGGTAGAAGAGGAGCCAACTGGCGACGATGCGAACTCGGATGCCAAGTCGGAGGCTCCAACGTTTGTTAGCGAGTCGGTAAAGAGGGCGCGAGAGTTTAAGCAGATTCAGGACTTCCGAAAGATTCGAGTGGGCCTGGAATACGAGCAGCAGGATGTCAAGGAGCTGGATCACATCGACTTGGAGCTGTTGGAGCAGCAGAAGGCAGAACGGGCGGCCCGCAAAAAGGCTCGTCAGCTCGCCGATGAGGAGGAAGAATCGAGCGATGGAGCAAGCGATTTCTACTCTGAAGATGAGTACAATGACGATTTGCAGCGTGTTATCCACAAGAAGGCCAAGACAAAGAAGATCCAACAGCTGGCCATTACATCGTCGGGCAAGTTCCGCGTGGCCAAGGTCCAGCCGGGCGATTCCGATGACATGGGCGATAGTTCCGATGACGCCACCGGTCCCAGCAGTGCGAAGGCTCCGCGTCTGACAGCCAAACAGAAGCGTGCCCTGGAACGCAACCAGAAGCGCAAGAAGATCGGCAGCAACTTCTACGAGATGACCAACGTGAAGAATCGCAATCGCAACAAGAAAAGGGACACTTAATCTTTACACTCTAGGCTATATTCTGTTGCAAGAAAGAATTACATGTTAAGAACCCCAATAAAAAGATTGATCTGACCCTACTCTGTGCACTGTTTCTTTTTTGGCATCTTGCGACCACACAAATCGGTGCGAGTGAACCGATCGAGCTCGTCCGAATCGGTGCTAGCCTCCGAGTCGCTGGACTCTGTGTAGGGCCCAATGCCAGGCAGCGTGGCTATCAACTTTAGCCCGCTTTGAAAAGTGGGCTGTGCTTTCTCCTCCTGTTCCTTCTGCACTGGAGCGCTGTTGTTCTCCACCGTTTTGGCCACTTTGCTTGTGGTGGCCGATTCACCGTTTTTGCGTTTGATTCCGTGGCCAAGCAATGACTTCTGTGTGTTTCGGCCGCCCGTAGCACCAACTGATTTGGCGGTGGTCTTCAGCTCTGCCTGCAGTTTCTGTACAATCAATCACTTTAATAAAATATGCATTCGAACAGTTTTTATGGTTTACCTTATCAACGCTTTCCTCTTGCAGCTTCTCCACGCGGTTGCGAAAGTCCTCCAGTTCACGGGCCTCATCACGCATTTGTTGACGCTCAGCCTTAATTTTGTGCTCATCGACAGCCTCCAGAAACTGCACCTCATCATCGTCCAGGCCGCGAATTAGGTTCTCTGTATGTGGGGGCACTTAGAGAGGAGCTCTATTAAAGATTTCACAGACCTACTCAGCTTGTGTGCCTCCTCGTATTCCATGTCCTTTTTGGTTTTTTGTTCTTTCAGGCGGTCGTACAGTGACCGTCCGTCATAAGGTTCCTCTGGTCGCTCCAGTGGATCCTCTGGCTGGCGAACACGCTCCCACTCCTCCTGACGCTTCTGGCGAGCTTCGGCCGCCTCTGCTTCAGTTACAAAGCCAGAACTCATATTGTTTTAATAATTTTGTTTCTAAAATTTTTATTTCGCCGATAACGATAAATAATGCCATCCCAGTTTCGATAAACACGATTTAAATACCGCAGAAAATAATACTGTTTGTACCGATAACATATATACCGTCTGACTCTGAGAATATACCTTATCGTTTTCAAAATATACCGAAGAAAAATATGACCAATTATGGCGCGAATTGTAACTTTAAATTTTCGTTGTTATTGTATGCTATGTATTGTAGCACATCCTCCAGTTCTTTCTGATCATTACTAATTTTAAACAGTTCTATCAGAATGGCCTTTCTTGCGTGTCCGAATAGGAATGGACAAGTCTTCATGCTTCCAGGAGGATTTGCACAGCATTAAATCGTATGGGAGCATCACCTTTAGACCGGCCAAATCCATTAGATCGTCAGTACTTTATTTAACCGAATTTTCCATGTCTCGGCTCTCACGGTTGTTCTTGGCCTTTTCGATGTACACGGACTTCTGAGCATCGCTCATTTCACGCCATTTCTGTCCACACATTTTGGCCACGACAGTAGGTTTGATATTCTTAATGCCAAGCTTTCTCAGATTATCGCGAAACTGATCCAGAAATACAAAATAGGGATTAATCGCCCTCGACTGGTGGATCATGGCTCAACTTTAAATTTATATATGCACGTATGTGTGTGCGAGATGAATATTTGTTAAAAAATAAACACAATGATGCAAAAATGGTTGTCTACACTGATTTATTTTACGAATATATAGATTTATTTGACGTATATCTCAATAGGAAACATTCATAGAGGGTGGGTTGGTGTGGCGGATGGTGTCTTCTGGTAAACTGCTAATTCATAAATACGTATGTATGCATTGTATGTATTTCTCCAAAAAAGAGCTACAGGATAGCAAAATACACGATATCTATACATACATATGCAGGCATTTTTGTTCAAGACGGTTCCCGAATGTTTACACATTCATAAATATCTGCCCTATACATTGTATATATTCAGTTTATAGACATAATTGAGGTCAGCATACTTACAACAAACATCAATGGGTGGATATACTAACACTAGTACACACACATGCATGCATATTCATATTCATATTCCCTGCCATTCGGCGGGTCTATTTGAGTACAATAGATAGTACATATATGAGTAATTCTCTGTATAAGAGTATGTATATCAATAAATACTGTTGTTAGGAACCGAAACTGTGTCGGGAGGGGCACGGCACTTAAAACTCCACTTATAGGATGCTGCACGAGCTCTTCTCGCGGAACGGATTCAACTTTTGACTGTTGAATCCGCTCAGTAGCGAGTCGTCCGCCTCGTGCTCCAAAATGTACTTCATCATCAGCGTACAGGCCTCAGAGACCTGAATGCGCTCTATTCCCATCTCGCGACGTAGTTGCGAATTGATGGACCGCTGCTGTTGCAAAGTGGCAGCCATCAGGTCTAGGACAGCCGTCTCGGCGAGACCTATGGTGCTGCAGGTGGAGCGGTGTGGGCTTGCCAGCGAATTGATTTGGAGTACCGTTGCTGCTGAAAATAATAATTCCTGCACTCAAGGCAATTCCAATTAAATCAATATTAATTAGCTCTTACCTCTAGCAACAGGCACAGGCACGAATTTTAAGTTCTCGGAGCGTTGAAAAATCAATACAAATTACAATCGATTCACCTAGGGTTGCCAGGCCAGGCGGTGGTTCATTCGATAGCTACACTCGATAAGTTTTTTTTTTTATATTATTGGCCGTTATTCTCTGAAATATTCAGAGCGTAGACCTGGAGGGTCAAGATGTTCCCATCTACCAAGATAACAATGTTTTTTAAATTTAATTAATTAGCTTTACAACTGTAACAATTTTATTTCAAATGTACTGCGCACTTTCTCATTACATTAATTGCAAAAATATATATATGTATTTATCTTTGTTAGGCCATCAACTACGTTAGCATGCTGAAAGCAATAAGAAATTATAAATGGTGTCCTTCATTCAGTTTGCTGGGTAAATACACTTACTCGGGCATATAGTCTGTAGATTGCTTCGCCGGAACATTCGCTGGCTCCGTATTGAGCTTCTTGGCCAGATCTGAGTCCGGCTTTGTGAATGCATTCGCCATTATCAAAATATTCCTGGCAATGCGCTTGTGATCGATGCGTTTCTGGGCCGTGTCCGTCCGCCTATCGGCATTCTCCGACATCCGCTGCTCCAGCGGCAAGACAGCAGCGCCATTCAGTTCGGGATTTGTCCAGATCTCAGTGCCGGGCGTTTCCTTGCCGGTGGTCGGGGATATGGCCGAGCGTGCAGGTATCAATGGTGAGCGCACACAAACCCTGTACCCAAGAAATAAAAATATAAATGTATTATTTTATAGAAGGGTACATAAATAGTTCCTATAATTCCCTGTGACCCTCCTGACCCTGAGGGGATACCTTCAATTCATAGGAACAGAAACAAACTTTTATTACAAAGGCTGGCTTATGGCTTAGGCTTATGGCTTATATGGCTAGTCACACTCTACGCTTGTTTTAAAAAAACGTTTTGAAATATACGGATGTAAAGGTAAAAAAATATCTGAGATTATGTGGTCCCTTCTGGGGGGGCCTCAATGTGGTTCGTCTGCGTCTCGGTGCTTGGCCCATTGTCCCCGTCCCCGTCCTCGTACCCGCTCGCCCCCGGTACCGATCTGGAACGAGTCAGAAATGGGAGAGAACAATGAGCCAAGCGCCTCGAGAAGGTCCCTATTCTACTCCTGCAGTCCCACCACTGAAACTCACTTGTTAACATCCTCGAGCTTCTTCAGCAGACGCTCGTTCTCCCGGCAAACTATCTCCTGATCCCTGAGTATTGTCTCGCGCACGGTGAACAGATGTGTGTTCTCCTGCCGCAGCGACTCGTTCTCCGCCATGTAGAGCTTCACCAGCTCGGCCAGCTCTGAGCCATCCAGCTCGGGCAGCCGCTCCAGATCCACCTTGGGCACTGGCACCGGCCCCGGGCCACCGCCTCCGCTGCTCAGTCGTTCCAGCTGCATGTCGAGCAGATTGTCCGTGGCGGGGCCGCTGGAGGCCACCTGGTGGTGCAGATTGAGGGCCGCCTTCAGGTGATCGTTCTCCATCTGCAGGGCGTGGATGTCCCGCTTGAGGCTGAGGATCAGGGCCTCCCGGGGGTCCATCATGATTACGGGCTTGGTGCGTATTCGCTTGGCCCTGGAGGCATAGCGCAAGGTGTTCAAGGTCTCTGCGTGATTGTAGTGAGCCGGAGAGACGCAGGCGATCATCAGGGTGACCCCGTTCCCCGCCAGACTGTCGGCCAGCAGCTTGGTCAGCTGGCTGTCCCGGTAGGGTATGTGGCCCGACCGCTTCTTGGCATCGCTCAGCGAGGCGATGCAGTAGCCGAGGACCATCAGGCTCTTGTTGATGTTGTTCGCCTCCTCCAGGGTCTTGCCCTCGCTCATCGTCTTCTTGGTCAGCTCACTGCCGGCCAGGTCCACGAAATTGATTTTGCCATGCTTGGAGAGGAACACTCCGCCATCCGTCTGCTGGTCCGACAGGATGTGCACCGTCAGGATCGTGTGCGAGCGCGACGAATGCTCGTTCATGGCATGTGAGCCCACGGCACGATTTCTCATACCTGCCACAACGAGATGAGACGATGAATGAAATGAATCTTCAATGGGGGTCAAGGATGTGCACTTACCCTCCTCCAGTACGGCCAGCAGATCGTCCAGCTCCTCGCAGTCCACCGTGAAGAGGTTCTCCACGAAGAAGCCGCCCGATTTCTTGGACCAGCGCACGGCCAGCGGCTTCCGTGCACTTCCCGGATTGAGCAAATCGATTACCTGAAATGCCCGTTGAATGCTCGTATAAAATGCAATTCAATTTGGTAAACCAATAATGAAATTAGGCGGGGGCAGAACCAAGGGAACGGGCTAAGAAAACAAATCATTTGAAATTCCAAGCAAAATGCTGAAATATTCCACGCACTGGAGAGATGTTGGGGTGGTATATACGGGTGGGGGCATGGTGCATGGGACATTCGAGAGCGTGCTGACATTCATTAAATAGAGGTCAGGTCAAACCAATCCAATGCATGTTTGCTGAACTGAACGAGGGAGGAGCCCGTGCCGAAAGCAATCAGCGGGGAGTATTATGGAAAATGCAATTTGAATTTAAATCGAATTTTCGACCCCAAGAAATGTATTCAATAGTTTGTCCGACTTTTCCGACTCTCAATGGGATGGCTTAAATATATTCTTACCCGTTCATTGTAGATCTCCATGAACGAGGCCTTGAGCACATAATTGACATCCTTTCGGTTCTTAATCAATTGGAAGAGATACACAAACGCACGGAAGATGAGGCCATGTCGCGGATCCTTTGGATTCGGCTTGCCAATAAACTGCAATGTGGAACAACCATCGAACACAACTTCTGCTGGAGATTCTCTACTCCACTTACCAGATCTGGCGGTCCTGTCAGCGTGTGCGTCTTGCCCGAGCCCGTCTGGCCGTAGCAGAATGCCGTGCAGCTGAATCCCTCAATGCCCATCTCGATGATGCGTTTAATGCCCGAATAGTCTAGGATATCATCCTGTGTGGCTCCGGGCTCGAAGACCACGTTATACGTGAAGACACGAACGCTGTCCCGATTATGCGAACGCTTCTGACCCACATCGTTGCCCTCAATCTGTCGGGGACTTCATTGCTTAACACAGGCAAAGAAACGGACGTCGGATTTCAGATACTTACTATGACCTGTCCGTTGCCGGGAAATGTTAGCGTGGAGCCGTGTCTATCCCGCTTCTCCTTCTCGTTGAGCGGACGCACACGCACCACCACATTGATGTTGTCCTCGGGCGTGGAGCACTCTTCGCTGCCGGTGGACTTGGAGGCGACAATTTCCAGGGTATCGGCGCTGCCAATCCTGCGGAACGTAAAGTTTGTGCTTATATTCGTAATGGAATGATTTATGGTCCCTCCCAAATATTGGCTGAACCAATACCAATACCAACAATCGCAGCCAATCAATCAGAGTAACAGCTAAAAAGCTTTCATTCCTCTGGCGAGTTTTGCGCTTGTTGTGGCCACTGCGAATCCCCTGGAATTTTGTGGATTTGCCTTGAACTTGACGGTGCCCCCTGGCGCTGACCACTGGCCCTATAAATAGCAGCCAAGGTAGCCAAGGTTAAGGGTGAAATGGGGATGGCTTAGCTCATGGCTTTTGAGGGTTTTTCTTGTTTTCGACCTTCCTTTACACAAAGTCGCAATTAGTTTTTTGATGTGACGTGGGCAGGGGGAGGCGCGTGATTAATACCATTTTCTTCAGCGGAATTTCTCTTTATGGAAATATGCAAATAAGTAGCGATAAATTATTGATTCATAGCAGCTTTGGGCTGCATAGTTGGAGCCCATAATTATCCAGCTAAATGCAAAGAACGGAATCAGCCGAAATTTCCAATACAAATATGTTGTTGGTTTATTGAACCAGGAGGAGTATGTGGGAGGAGATGTATCCAATCTTATCCAGTTCGAGTGTGTCGTCTGACATTTAACATTTTCCCGTAAATGACTTGTTAAACATTCATAGACTAATGGCCAAACTTTGTACGCTACCCGTCTACCCGTATCCATTAATCAGCCATGAGTGGGCCATTTGTGTGTGTGTGTGCACTTGGTAAATATTTCAAAAGGCGCCAAAAGAAAGAATTAACACGAACCCCTAGGCACCAGGAGAAAATAAAACTTGAGAAAAGGAGCAGGTCCTGGGTCCTGGGCAGTAACACTGTACTAAGGGGTGGGTCGTGGGGCGCCAACTGGGGTGTGGGAAAGTTCAATCAACTTTTGGTGCTAAATAATTAATTGAATAATGGGGAGCTAAGAGCGAAAGTTTTGATTTGTTCCTGAAAGGGTTCCCGATAATACTGTCATTATATTGGGTATATGTACTCGTCGTGCTTATTATTTTTACGTGTATGACCCTAACCGATACTAAGGTTCTCGGTGTGGCTCTTTTTAAAGTAGATTGACTTTCCCCTGAACAAATGTGACCCAGCTCAGCATGTTATCATGCATAATATTTACACTGACCTCAGACCAACAATTCCTAATTGTCCAGCAGTGATTGGAATGGATTGGATCATGGGCAGAAGAGCTGGGTAGCTGGGTGGCTTGGGTTTTTTCCAGTGACTCCTTGCTGTTTGCGAAACAAATAAATTCTAACGAGTCTGAAACTAGAACTCTCACTTTTATTTCCCCATACATGGGGGGGAGTGGGAATGGGAGCTTACTGGAGCTACAGCCCTCCCAACTCTCCTGTTTAGGCAACGAAATGTGGACTTTTGATTATCTGTTTTTGGGGCGTAATTATTACCCAACTCAACTCTGAGCTGTGCATGCCAGAAAATCCATACGAATATATACTCTACCTACACATACATGTATTATATTGTCTATATGGATTTTTAAATTGCAATATTTCCCAGCCAAGCCACATCGTCACGCACGCGAATTCACTTTCAAAGTTGCCTGCATGGAGATTGGGTGAGCGGAAGACCATTTGCCCATTGTCCATTGGGCATTGGACATTGCCGTCTGAGTATCTGTATATACTCGTATTCAATATGTGTCGTCAATCATACAGCTATCAACGCATTCATCAGTCACAATGATAAGATATGTGTGTCTACATATATGTATATGCGTGTTCCATTATAATTATAACGCCCATAATGCCAATTGCCTGCCCCGCTGCTGGGGAGTAGAAGCCATTCCATAAATCCAGGCGATCCATTAAATTACCAAATGACATACATATGTATGTATGTAAGTACATAGGTGTGAATGTTAACCTTGGAATGGAAGGCTCTTAACGAGCCAGAGATTCACAGGAAAAGTTTTTTTGTATTCCAGCTACCTAATCGCATATTGAAGGGTGATTTGATGCAAATTATATACATATAATTTCCATTGAATTCTGTCGCGTGTGCATCTGTCCAGTCATTGGTGCTTAGAAGCACTTCCAAATATTCCAAAAATAACATAAACCCACTTATTTGTTTAATAGTTCTATCGAATATTCCCATACAAGGCCGTCTCTATGTCACCAGCATAAATTGAAGAAATCCACCGACGTTTTGCACGTTTCCTTCATTGAGGTAAATTAATGATCGAAGGTAATGAAATTATAGGTATTCATAAGTGAAGTGAAAACGAAGAATTGATTAGCTCCCTGGGATGGACATCGGTATCATCATATTAAGTAGTTCAAGCCGGCGATGCCATCGATAGAAAGTTATTCGTTGCTGAATAATTAATGCTCCTTCCGAGGCAAACTCTTGTACTTAACCCACTTGTCACCACTTTTCAGCTCTCCGTTCAGCTCTCCGTTCAGCTCAGGGAACTGTGGGTCCTTAACCTTAGGCTGTTTGTCTGTTACGCTACACCTGAACCCCACAGCCCACATCGCAATCGAACTATAAAAAAAAAAAACCCAACTCAAATATGACCACTTTCGCTCTCAACTGCGGTCATACGAGTATCCCACATACAGACTTCAATGGGCTTTAATTGCAAAATCGATTTGTGTGGTGTCCGCTTAGTGCTCGACTCTGCTCAACCCCCAGGATCTCTGGCGATACTTCCTTTCCACAAATTGTTTAAATAAAAAACTAAAAGAAAATGCCCGCCAGTCCGTTCGTCCGTTCGTCCGTTCGTCTATTCGTCTGTCTGCCTGTCTCTCCATCCATTTGATTGCCTGTCTTATTCGTATTGTGCGTGGTCATTATGGTTTGGCTTGTGTCTGTTCCTGCCGTGCCTTCGTCCGGTGGTTTTTAATGGCTCCTTGCCTTCGATTAGGGGTGAGCCAGGCAGGCCAGGAGCAGTCAGTTCAGTCCCTGTCGTGTTATCATTAATGGTTGTAGTTGTCCTAGCCTAGCCCTGCCCTTTTCGAATGTAATGATGCAAATTAATATGTACATTTCCCTTGTGGTACTTCCTCATAGAATTAACAGATATATTTATTAAATAATTACACCAACAGCAGCAGCGAAAGGTTAAAAAACCAAATAGAAGTACTCCCCCGTATGCAATATTCATGGGCCAATTTAAATTCCTAAAATATATATTCAGTAGAGGTACAGTAACCACAGGACTATAAAGAAAAACAATTTTTCCTATATAAAACAGAGTAGTATTTTCAATACCAAGTCAAAAAGTGACCACAAATCTTTAGTTATAGCAGTGGCAGAGTTCAGCATTCCCAGATCTGTGTACTATAAGTCTTTCCTCATATATGGACATATTTTTAGCGGCTTTCCACTGTTTTCCCAAGCGTCAGCAAGCTATCACCTATTTATTACGGTGGGAATCAACGCAATGGCAGCCGTGGCGTGGCGGCATTCCTTATCCTTAAACCACACTTACTCGTTCTCCCGTGAGCGTAGGAAATACGGCGTATTGCGGGAACTGCCACCGACTCCGATGGCCGCCGCCGCCGCCGCCGCCGCCGCTGCTGCCACTCCCTGCTCCCTTCTGGGGACTGAGGCGACGCATGCCGTTGGTTAGACTGCGGGAACGGGGCATACTGCTGCTGCTGCCGGAGCTCTGGCGCTGGCTGGACATGGAGGTAGATGTGGGCGTCGGCGCCTTTCTGCCACGTGAGCCGGCAACGGCGCCTCTTCCCCGACGATTGCCAGAGGTGCTGGCGCTATCGGCGCTACTCCCGCCGCTGCTATTCAAATGCGGCACGCTCGAGGCGCGACGTACCATGGCGTTCGCGCGCCACCAAGTCCCGGCCTAGCGGTGACCAGCAGAGTACGATAATTGGACTATTTGGACTGTTTGCTCCACTGGCTGTCCCGTGGACATTGCTTAAGGAACACGGAACACGGAACACGCGCACACACAACAGTGGGATCTGCCACGCCACGCGAACGACGAACGCAAATTCGAAACGCAAGGAGCTTAGCACGGGTTAACCGCTCGCCGCGACAACTCAACACGAACTGCTGCCCCAAGTTCACCAGAGAAGCCTTTTTTATTCGAGCCCTCTCAGATTTATGGTAATTTCTACTCACGGACACCACACCACGGCACATGGTCGGCCGTCCGTTCGGTGGCCACAATCGCCACCTGTAATTGAAGTTCGTTGTGGCTGTTGCGCCGCCACAAGTTGGCAGGCGACAACTCGCTCGCAGCTCGGTCTCTGAGCGGTCCCGTCCTCCTCCTGCTCCTGCTCCTGCTCCTGCTACGAACAACAATTAAATCAGCGCGCTGTTTGGTAAACAAACCTACCCATACCCCAACCAAAACCACGATGACGAGGTAGGTGGTGGTGGCCAGTGGCCGGACATGCGGGTGGTGGTTGGAATTGGATGACCCTACCACTGACCCTGGCGTGGTTTCGTGCCCATTCATCCAATGGCTACAACAGCTACAACAACATTAGCCCGCTTGTCGTGGCTTATTTGCATTTACTTTTTACTTTGCTCTGCCATAATCAGAGCATGGAGCATGGAATTCGTTTTCAGGATATTAAACCCGGAGTACAGCGGCGACTGGGCTAACGTTAACCCATTCTTTGGGGCCCATGTTCAAGGAACAAGCATAAATGCTGGCACTATGCAAACATAGTACTGTGAGGGTTGGTTGGCTGCCTCCATATGAGAAATAACTGCAGAAATTATGGGCAGCGGTGGGCACGCGTTTGGTCGCCTTATCGGCGAGACTCGATTCGAGCAGCAAGGTGTACATATTTTGTGTTTGGATTCTCGTGCATTCTCTTTGGCACTTTTCGCTTGTGCAGAATAAATCTCCAAGCACTGAATGAACGAAGATTCTCTTTTATAGAAATAATACTGTTAGGTATTATTACTCCCCGAGTTCCATTCTATTCCACCTCCTTACACTCCCCATTTTGAAAATAATATAAACCACGCAAATTCCTTTTAGTATTACTTATTGGTTTTGTTTTGTTTTTTTGTTTTCTTTTTATACGTTTTGTCACAGTTGCATGTGTGTGTATTTCGCTCAACATCGATTGAATGATGATGAATTATTCTTCCGCTTGTTTCCGTTTATCCATGTGTTTTGTTTGGGTACAACTAATCGTAGTCACTAAATGTAAACGTACACATATGATAGATTTAATTAAGAACTAGGCTTGGGGTTGGTTCAGGGGTTAGGGCGGGTGGGGGGGGGTTAGGTGCTATTCATAAGTGGTGTGTAGTATTCTAGGCGTACATTTATTTATATGGGGATCCCTAAGTATGGTACAAACTTGCATAATGGATATGCAACTCTCGATATTTACACGCAATTGTGGGTCTGTCTTCTATATGACATATATAGATATCTCAATATATATATATATATATATATCTAATATATACGTTTATTATTCTGGGGAGGGGTGCACTTTGAGCCTGGTGTCGGATCTTGGCGGATCTTGCCTTTAAAATGTACATATATGTATATTATATTGAATGTCTTACGATAGATAGATAGATAGATTTCATTTGTGGTAATTAGTAATTTTAGATATCCTTTCAGACCTGTTCTAAGTTGTTTGTTTATTAATTAATAAGCGTATTCCATTCTGTAGTGGGGTTTCGATCGCGTGGTTGCGGTTATGCTTGTGGCTACTGTGTGGAAGAGGATCCACTGAATCCCAGGCGAACTCCTACTGGCAGATGCAGATGGTGTCACTGTGCCGACGCGGCCGGATAGAGGCCCTCGGAGTACTTGGGCCTGCACTCGGCGCAGTACCACCTGCCCTGTGGCGCCACCATTATGCCCACGCACTCAAAGTGGAACCACTCGATCAGACAGTTGTCGCCGTCGCAGGCAATCATCTCGGAGACCTCGTCGTAGGGACAGCGACAGTAGCAGTAGACGGACTCGCCCTCGCGCGCCAGCCGGGCCCCTGCCGGCGGTCGGATCGGGTAGCGTATGTTGTTCGCCTTGAAGTACTGCAGCGTGGCAAAGTCCGGATTCGGGAGCAGAGCCGGGGGAATGGGCTGATTGAATGCGGTGGCTGCAGGCGGCGGCGGCGGAGGCGGTGGCAACTGGACCGGTGTGACCACCGGTGGCGCTGCGGGCATTATCAATGCAGGATGCATCTGTGGTGTGGGCGGACCCAGGCTGGTCACGTTCACTTCCTCGTCTTCCGAGCTGCTGTCGCTGCTGGATGTCGGCGGTGCTGTGGCCGGCAGGAGGCTGGGCCGTATCTTTAGCGTGGGTATCGGCGGCAATGACTTCTCCTCCCTGTGCGGCTTGTGGCGCTTTGCGGAGCGAGCACTCGCACTCGATCCGCCTCCACTCGCCGCCTGGGACCGTTGCCTGTTGCGCTTCCTCGATCCAGAACCCGTCGGTGGCGTTCGCGTCCCCCCATTGCTGTGCAGATGGTGGTGATGGCTGCTGTTGTTGTTGTTTCTGCTGCGCTGTTTGGGCGGCGTCGGCAAATCCTCCTTGGCCCAGGTCAGCAAAGGCGGCGGCTGTGGCTTGATCAGCTGCATTCCCACCAGGAGCGGCGGGGCCAGGATGGTGCTCATGTTCTCGTCGTCGCTGGTGTAGCCGTAGAACTTGTTGGGACGCCTCTGGCGCTTGGAGCGCTTCAGCTGGCCATCGGCGTCGGAGCAGCTGCTGCCCTCGCTCATCCGGCTGCCCAGGCCCAGGAAGCCGCCAGGCTGCAGATGTCGATGCGTTAGCGGGGTGACTGGCAGCAACGACGGCGACTCTGCTGGCAGCATATGCGTGGCGATGGGGGGTTCCATCGACATGGCCATGGACATGGGCAGGGGTGTGCTCGCCAGCGGCTGGAACTTTCCCGATTTACATGTGGACTTTCGTTCTCGCTTCTTCTTTTTGTTGCGGACTCGTTCCGGCCTGTCGGCGTACGCAGCCGCCTCCTCGGGCAGGGACGGCGTGGAGGGACGACTGTTCTCCACAATGTCGTAGTTGTTACGCGGCCCCACGGGCGGATGCTCGGCGAGCAGGGCCTCGCGCTTCTGGGCTAGCAACTCGCTGGCCAGCTTCTGGGGATGGGCATCGTAGAACTCCTCGTCGGTGTCGGAGAAGGCGGTATCGAAGTCCGATTCGTTGTAGACCGGCGCCTTTGGCGAGGGCGGAGCCGGCACAGGCTGCTCCTCGGCCGCGGAGGTCACATTAACCTCCTCCTCTGGCTCTGGCTGCGACGTCTGCTTGAGCGATCCCTCGTTCTTCTTCTGCTTCAGGGATTTCTTGCGCATCCGCTTCGAGGGCGATGCCGCGGCATTGGAGCTGTCGGAATCATCAGAGTCGTCGCTGGAGCTGCTGCTGTTGCTGGAGCTGCAGCTGCAGTTGGAGCCACAGGAGCAGCTGGAGGAGTCCGAGTCCGAGTTGGAGCTGGAACTGCTGGAGCTGTCGCTGTCGCTGGAGGCGTTGTTTTTCCCCGCACGCTTGCCGGAGTGCGACGCTTTGGGTGTGGAATGTTTCTTGGCCGGCGAGGGGGGAGGTGTGCGATGCAGCTTGCAGTAATCGTGATCGGACCAGGCCACATGCACCTTGCTGGGCGGGGTTGGAGGGATCTCCACCTCTGCGTCTGGCGTTTCTTCCTTGGGTGGCTGCTCCTCCTCTGGATTGGCATTGGCCTCCGGATTGGGGTTCACGGGTTGATTTTGCAGTAGATTTTTCCACATATCAGAGACATCATCTGGTTCCTCTTCCTTTTTGGCCACCTCCACCTCTGCACCTGCCTCTGCCTCTACCTCTGCCTTCGCCTTCGTCGTCTCCTCTTCCTTTGGCTCCGTGGAGGGCTTCGCCTCGCCCTCAAGTGGCTCCTCCAGCTTCTCGCTTGGCTGCGACTGCTGCTCGTCTGCGTCGCTCTCGGAGGAGGGCGACAGCATCACCTTGGGCATATCCAAATCTTCCACAGAGGATCGCATGGGCAGTGTCTCATGGCCATGGCTGCCACTTCTCCGTGGCGCATCCGAGTCGCTGCTATCGCTGCTGTCCGACTCGGACAGATTCGGGGCTATCAGGTTGAGATCCTCGAGCGATTCCTTGGTGCGCTTGGACTTCTTGCGTCGCTTGCGTGTCTCCGATTTCGCAGTCGGTTGCTCCGAGGCCTCCGTCTTGTCGTTAGTTGTCGCCTCCAGTTTCGTGCATTCCGTTTTGGTTTCCTTCTCGGTAAACGGCGATGCTTTCGTTTCGCCCTCGTGCTGAGCCGTTTCCTCTCGCTCCTCCTCCACCATTTCCTTTTTGATCGCTTGATTCAGTGGCTGCTGCGATGCTTGATCCTCTTTCTGTTCCGGCTCCTGCGTGTTCGTCTCTGGGGCACCTTCCTTCGGCTCATGGGTGGTGGCATGCTTCAGCAGCAGCTTGCGCGAGACAAACTTCTCGTCGCACAGCTCCTCGGCGCAGGCGTAGCGAAAGTCGCCGGTGTGCATCCGCCTGTGGACCTCCAGGTAGATGGCCTTGCTGAAGATGAAGCCGCAATCCTCGCAGGGGAACGTCACGGGCGGCACACAGAAGTGGTAGACGTGGGGCCAGCGCTTCTGCAGGCAGCGCTTGCAGCCGGCGCTCTCGGTGCCGTGCTTCCAGAAGAGATGCTTCGAGATGTCCTGCTTGTTGCGGTAGGCGATGCCACACCGGTAGCACAGATGCAGCAGCTTGTGCTTCCACACGTGCGCCGAGAGCTTCGCCTGGGTGACACAATCCTCCATACAGATGTCGCAGACATTATGCTGCTTCCGCAGGTGGACCATCAGACGGAAGCCGGAGGGCAGCGTCGGCGCCCACTTGCACAGGGAGCAGCGGAACTCCAAGTCGTAAACGCTGCGCGCCTCCTCGCCCGGACAGATGTGGCACAGGAGCTCGCTGTAGCTGTAGAAATTCGTGCGGCACATGAAGCACGTGATGTTGGACTTGGCGTGCATCCTGCGGTTGTGCGTGTACAGCTCCTTGTGCGTGGCGGCCACGTAGCGGCAGGAGAAGCACTCGAAGATCCGCTCGTTGAACGACTCTGTGTTCTTGACTTTCTCCAGGGTGCAGTAGCTGGCCATATTCAGGTACTCCTCCTCCAGCTGGGGCACAAAGCTCTTCAGCCTTGCCACAATCGTCTCCGCGTACAACTCCTCGGCCGTGATGCTGTCCACCGTCGCCGTGAACCGGTGCTGGCCAATCATGTGCAGCACCAGCTGCTTGCCATTGACGGCAATGCGGCGGGCGTGATTGCAGAAGAGGCAGATGGGGAAGACCGCCTTCAGGCACAGACGCACAAACTCCACAATCGTGAACCGATCCAGAGGTCGGTCCAGCTGCAGATCAATCGTGTGCGTGTCCTCTCCGGCCACCAGAATGCCATCGAACGGCAGCGGAGGCGACTGCACGGGCTGGATTGCATCTGGAAGCGTCACAGCCTCCGTTTGGTCCGTCGCTGGGACCTCTGCGGATCCGAATTCTCCCTCGTTGGCAGCCGTTGGTCCGTTCAGGCTGTCATCAATGTCCATGCAGTCACTGCCCAGGCTATTGCGACGCCCAGGCGATGCCTCTGCATCTGCTGCATCTGCGTGGTCCTGGAATTCCGTGATTATTGCGGGCGGCGGCTGTGTTGTGTTGTGTGGCGAAGCGGGTGGCGTCAGTGACCAGCGGCGCTGTTCCTCCTGCTGCTGGGGTTGCTGCACCTGCACCTGTACCTGCTCCTGGAGCAGGGGCTGCTCCATAGCTTCCGCTGCGTGCTGCGGCAATCCATCGTCCAGCACAGCTGCTGGGGCTATGGCCTTGGACTGCTTCTTCCTATCGGGTTTCCTGTCCGCTTTGATGCGCTGTATTTCCAGTTCGGTGCGCTCCACTTCGGCCTGCATGCGGCTCATCATCAGTGCACAGTCCGAGTCATCTAGGCTGTGGCGTGGCTGCGGCTGCGACGGAGGAGGGGGCGTTTGTGGGCTCGCAGAGGGATCCATTTCCGTTTCCCTTTCCAGGGGAGTCGCCGTATGCAGTTCCGGCTCCTCCTCCTCCGTATCGGTGCTGCTTAGAGCAGCGTCCACAGATTTCTGAAACTCCTTTGGCACCCGCAACATTATTTTGGGCACGACTAGCTTGGGAATGGCCGGAGGCAGAACCAGAGTGTCTGGTTCGATGGTTGGCCAAATGGGCATTGGCGCTGGAACTGAAGGAGCATTAATTATGTGAGAATAATCGTGGGCTAGCGGCGACAACTTACTGTTCTCCGCTCGCTCCGTTTGCTGGGGTTCCTGCTGTTCCGCTGGCATGGACATTGGCACCGCCTGCGTCTGTAGCTGCTGCTGCTGCTGCTGCTCTGGCTGCTGCTTCCGCACTCTTCTCCTCCGTTTGGGCTGCTTCTTCTTCTGGTTTCTGCAGGCCATCGCATGGCAGCCCTTCACCCCACACTGAGCACACGGCTCCATGAGCTCCATGCAGTCGTGATTCTCGAACTCTGAGCCCTGCGGAAAGGTGGTCTGGCAGGAGCAGCAGACGAGATGCCTGCCCCGATCCTCCTTCTGCTGCTGTACGCTCCACGCCTCCTTGGACAGGTGGCTCTGGTCGATGTCGTGCTTGTTCTCCAGATGCAGCGACAGCTTCTCCACAGTGGCGTACGTGAGGCTACAGTACATGCACATGTACTTCTGGTGGACATCCCGCACATGGATGAAGAAGTTCCATCTCTGGTGGACGGTGCCGCACTGTGCGCAGCGAAAGAAGCGCTCCTTTTTCCGCTCGGGCTGCTCCTTCGTCTCCATTTTGCAATGCTCCTGGTGCTCGTTTAGCTGCTGAAAGGTCTCAAAGTTCTGGAGATTGCATTTGACGCAGCACAGCAGGTTGCTCGCCGCTGGAGGATCGCTGGCGGGATCGGCATTGACATGGGCCCCGGCATTGCCCTGGAGACGCTGCAGAAGCAGCGAGGAGGAGTTTACCAGCTTCATTTGTTTCTCGGGCTGGCTGACGGAGGCGGAGGCGGAGGTGGAGGCGGAGGAGACACTGTTTCTGCTGCTGCGCCTGCGCTTGAGTGGCAGCATCAGGGCTTGCACCTTGCCATTATTCTGTTCACTCTCGGCGGGATGATCGATGACCAGTTGGTGCTGCGAGGCTGAGCTGATTGTGCTGCTTCTGCTGGTACTCCGACTGCGGCTTCTGCGAACGGGAAGGATCAATGGCCGTCCCCTCATTGGCGGCTGTTGTGACGTGGATGCTTCTTCTACTTCTACTTCTGCTTCTCCTTCTCCCTCTTCTCCTTCATCTTCAACGTCCTCGTTCGCAGTGTGGTTCGGTATCACAGACAATTGATTTTGCTCTTCTTCCAGCTCCTCCTTCGCATTATTCTCGGGAATGGGGGAATCGTGTGTGCCATTCACTTTGATTAGCGGCTCTACATCCACTACATCCGTGGGGGTGGCAGCAGGAGCCGCTGATTTGAGGCTTTCCTCCATCTGTTGATCCTCCTCCGAGTCGGATTCAATTTTAACCACTCCTGGCGCCGCAGCCTCATCCTCGCTACATGGATGATCCACGTCCATGGTCAGCGTTACGGAATCCTCTGAATCGGACGAATCCTCTGCAGACGATTTTCGGCTGGATTGGGATGCCTTTTCATCGAAGTCCTCGTCTGAAGCCAGACAATCCCTCGTCTTTGAATCGTTATTCGGCGGGCGCTCATCCTCACTGTCGACATTCATTTCAAAATCTTTTTCAACTGACGGAGATCTCACAGCTGGCTTTTCCTGCCCGTGCTCTGGCTCACTCTCCGAATCCTCGTCGAGATCCTTTTTAATGGACAGAGACAGGGCCTCCTGCGCACTCTCCGTATCCTCATCAAGATCCTTTTTCAGAGGCAGCGAAATGTTCTCCTCGGCACTCACAGTTTCCTCGTCAAGGTCTTTCATACACGAAGATCTCTCTGCGTCCACTTTCTCAGTCTCCGGACATTTGTCCGATTCTTCCTTAATGGACAGGGCTGCATCTGCAGCTGCATCGGCATCGGCATCATCTGCATCTTCCTCGCTCTCCGTTTCGGATTCAAGATCCTCTTTCACAGATAGATTTCCCTCTGCCTCCTCCTCTCCACTCTCTGGTTCCACATCCAGCTCTTTAATAGGCGAAGATCGCTCTGCATCCTCCGTTTCTGATGCCTTTATGGACAGAGACGAATCCACATCCTCTTCGGCACGCTCCCTACCGAAATCAAAGTCTCCTTTTACAGCTGCTTCTGCCTCCTCCTCTCCACTGTCCGGTTCCACATCCAACTCTTTGATAGACGAAGATCCCTCTGCATCCTCTTTCTCAGTCGCCGACGGAGCCCTGTCAAAGTCTTCCTTAATGGACAGGGAAGAATCGACATCCTCTTCCTCACTCTCCGTATCGATATCAAGATCTCCTCTTGCGGATAGATATCCCTCTGCTTCCTCCTCTTCACTCTCCGATTCCACATTGATGATTTCTTTGACAGCCGGCGATGCCTGCTGCATGTCCTCTTCATCTTTGGGCATCGCCAAGCCCTTCTCTGGATCATCATCATCACCATCATAGGAAACAGCAGACTCCTCGAGCTGTATGGGATGCTCAGCTGCTTCTGGTTCCGCTATGGGCACACTCTGCGTATCACGTTTGAGCTCCACATCTCCATCCACTGGCAGATCCTCCTTCACTGGTATTGTGGTGGACTGTGCCGACTCCTCCTCCTCCTCCACCTTCACAGATGGCAGCAGGTCTTCCCTGTCTTCCACCTGCTCGTGCTTTACACAATCGACCGAAGCAGAAGATGACGTTCTGGTCGGCTGCTCATCGTCGCTCTCAATGACAATCGTTGGACACTGCGGACTCTCCGCAATATCTTCGCTGTCGCAAACAGCCACCTCCTCGGCATTGTCTGCATCTTCGGCCAGAAGAGATTCCTTTGAAGTTTCGCTTTCATTCGTTTGCGATTCGTCAGCAGACTTCTCGCTGTCTGCCGTCTCCGACTCTGCCTGTTCCTCTGCCTCCATTTGGCTGCTATCCTGGCCGTTTGCCAGGGTCAAGTCTATCACGTCATCGGTGCTCTTTTTACGCTTTCGTACACATTCGGCATCGTCAGCGGCGTCCGCGTTGTTGTTGTCGCTGTGTCGCTCCTTCGGGCTCTCCTCTTTCGCCAGCCCCAGCGCATTATTAGTGTCCTCGTAATCGTCCTCCTCGCTGGTAGTGCCACTTGCTGCTCCCGCACCGACATCCACTCCGACTCTGGCACTCGTACCACCCGCATCACCGGCATCTATGTTAGACGTAAGCTTGGCTTGTTGCTGATCCAATGCCTCCATCATCGCTTCTGCATTTATGCGCTGTCACCACCAATCAAAGAGAAACAAAATCAAATCGTTAATCAATCGAATTTTACTAGACACAAAATAATATGATTATTTGCATTACCTTTGCATTCCGTTTTTCGATTGCGTTCCGGTCTGCGCTTTGTTCTTTCGCATCCGTCTTCTACGCAGCTGAAGGCGTAAGAAAATCAAATCAAATCATTTTAATGAAATATGCATTAGGTGTTGGGGGGGGGGGAATCAGACGCAAAGAAGAAACCGAAGAAAAACATTGCGTTTATGCGCGTTATCTGTTTGCGATGTTTATTCAGGCGACAATTGTATTGTGCTAGAACCGCACACTACATACGTGCAAGCACGGATATTTGCTGCACACAAAACACAAATGCATTATTCAGTGGATATTTGCATTTGGATTTTACGATATATCAGAAACGTGCATAAACATTGAATCAGAACAAATACAAATTACCGGTCATTGTGCATGCAGCCCTGGCTAAATAATTGAAAATACAAAAATAAATGGAGCAAAAAGCAAACGCGAGAGAGCAAACTGACGGCTAAAAATAAATGAATTTACTTAAAATATTCTTGGAATGATACTATAATCACTGGTACCACTGTATGTAATGTACCAAAATTGTGCACGTTTATTTACCTGCTTTGCGTGGTTGCTGCTGCTGCTGCTGCTGTCGTTGTTGTTGTTGTCTCTGCTGCTGTTGTAGCTTAGGTACAAAAATTTCCCACAAATTGTAGCAGAGCAGAGCAGCGCGCAGTCGGCGAGGGTGGGAAACGAGGGGAACGAATTTTACGCGCGAAAACAAGAAAAGGAGAAAACAACAACCGATGTCACGGAAGTTCGGGGCAGAACTGAAGAGCGACCGAGACCGAGAGATTTGCCCCAGCGGAATGGGCTGAAACTGAGCAAGAACGAGACTCGCCTACCCCTCTCAGCGCTCTATCGTCAACCCCAGACAGTTCGCTTATACAATTTATGCTTTATTTTTATTATTAATTTAATCACTGGGACTCTGGGAAAAGGCTCACGAATTTCACAATATCGCGCAATCCCTTAGCATAGTCCCGGCGACCAGGAAACAGTCGCTTTTTTGTGTTTTTGCGCGTCCCGAATTATGGGTATAAAATTTTCTTCTTTTTGCACGTCGTCGTCCACGCTTTGCATTTTTTATTCTGATCACTTTTTTCTATGCACTTTCCTCTTTGTAACTACATCCAGAGCTGTATTGAAAATAAGTTGAGTGTAGAGTATAACTACTAAATATAATTATAATTAAATTGCGTGTGAAAAGTAATTTTTAGCAATATTTTTTTGCTTTTACAGCCATTGAAACACGCGCAGAAGCTAGCGATGGACGTTGGTGGTGACTGTCCAAAATGCGACCCTTCAGTGGTAACATATCGATAGCTATCAATCATGCGAAAAGTATATAGAATCTTTGTTTCAGCTTGTTTTTAATATATTAGTTGCAATACTAGTACTATGATTAAGCATGGTTTTCGCGTTAATGCCTTTGATTAGGCGTTTCTCGTGAATGATTATTTGCTAATAGGCCTATCGATAGTTTTTGCCAGCCCTGACTTATGGTTCAGTGTGATTTCGATTTGACAAGCTCTTTCCGTTTCCTTTTCGCGTGAACTACCAACATGAGAGCCAAGGGATTGGTTAGTATTAATAAAATAAACCCAAAAATAAAGAGCATTTGCGGTAGAAATGTGTGCAACAGGAGGGCAAACCCACCAAGCATCTCGCACGATCGAGGGAATGTGCGCAAATGGGGCAATTCCTTGTAAAAACACGACGTGTAAATAAAGTGTCGTGGACAGCGTTGGAAAAATGAGTGTGCCCGCTGCAAACGCCACATAATAATGCAGTCAAGAGTTTCTTAAAGATTGTGTGGAAAGCACATCCATATAGTGGCATATAATTTATAAAATGCATTGGAATTAATTTGCTGCTCTAAAGCACTGAACATAACCTCCAACGTGTGCGTGCCATGCGCGTGTGTGTGTTGCCCTGCCTGTCGCCGCATTTGTTTACAACGAACCGAATTCATGAAAAAACTATTTCCTTTTGCAGTTGAAGGAATACGAGGTCGTGGGCCGCAAGCTGCCCAGCGAGAAGGAGCCCCAGACGCCTCTCTACAAGATGCGCATCTTCGCCCCCGACAACATTGTTGCCAAATCCCGCTTCTGGTACTTTTTGCGCCAGCTGAAGAAGTTCAAGAAGACCACCGGCGAAATCGTGTCCATCAAGCAGGTGTACGAGACGTCGCCCATCAAGATCAAGAACTTTGGCATCTGGCTGCGCTACGATTCCCGTTCGGGCACACACAACATGTACCGCGAGTACCGTGACCTGACTGTTGGCGGTGCCGTCACTCAGTGCTACCGCGACATGGGCGCCCGCCATCGCGCTCGTGCTCACTCCATCCAGATCATCAAGGTGGAGTCGATCGCTGCCGCCAAGACGCGTCGCGTGCACGTCAAGCAGTTCCACGATTCCAAGATCAAGTTCCCACTGGTACAGCGTGTCCATCACAAGGGCAACAGGAAGCTGTTCTCGTTCAGAAAGCCAAGGACCTACTTCCAGTAAAACGGAGGATATCCCCAGCCGAATGGAGCCCACTGCGTGTGCCCCTAACATTGACTTAGTGGTTTTTTTCAATAAAATGAGAACGTTGAAGAGTAAAATATATACAAATAGAGTTACTTTATTGAGTTGTTTTGTCGTTCGGCTGGATCGCCGAGGCATCACTTCAATTCCCCGCAGGCATAGATGATGATCTTTTGCGTTGGAGTGCCCGTTTTCGAGCCACAGCGTTCCATTTTGCGGACCACATCGGCCCCGCTTATGACATGTCCAAACACCACATGCTTGTTATCCAGCCAATCCGTTCTATTGGAGGGGAGCCAAATAAATTCAATTCACTTTTTGGTCAAGTTTCAAACTCACTTTGTGGTGCATATGAAGAACTGTGAGCCGTTTGTGTTGGTGCCCGAATTGGCCATGGAGAGGGTGCCGAAACTGTTGTGCTTTAGATTAAAGTTCTCGTCGTTGAACTTTTTGCCATAAATGGACTTGCCGCCCGTCCCATTGTTGTTGGTGAAGTCTCCTCCTTGGCACATCTGAATGTAAAATGAAAGTGAACGTCTCGACGCGAAAGGAAATCAAAGTTCTTACAAATTCCGGAATCACGCGATGGAAGGTGGATCCTTTGTAGCCATAGCCCTGCTCGTGTGTGCACAGCTGGCGGAAGTTTTCCGCCGTCTTGGGCACCACGTCGGCTCTCAGCAGCATCACAACGCGGCCAGCATCATTGCCCCCAATGCGTATGTCGAAGAATACTTGTGGATTGCGCTTTTCAGCCTTCTCAATGACCGCTGGCCCAGTCGATGGCGCCTCCACCTGTTCCTTTTCTGTTTCGCCAGCTTCTGCTGGCTCTAATGTGGCGCCGGCATGCTTTTGCAGCCAGTCGTCATCCGCCCAGACCGGCTTGAAGCTGTCCTCCTTCACCCGCACCGGCTTGGCCAAATTGACGCGAATTGTTCGGCCACAGAGCTCCGAGTCGTTCTGCGTATATAGTCATTAGCATTTTGCATTGGACATTTGTTGGTGAAATATAACCTACCATATTGTCGATGGCAGAGGCAGCATCTTCCGCCTGCTCATATTCGATGAAGGCAAAGCCCCGGTGGCGCTGCGACTCGTAGTCCACTGGCATTTGTATGTCCGCAACGTCTCCGAAGGGAATAAAGGCATTGTTCAGCAGTCTCTCAGTCACCTCATCGGCTAGTCCACCCACGTAAACAGTGCGTTTATCGTTGGACATCGTAAATTCAAAGATATTTAAAAAAAAATTGTTTTTACAATTTTTGTGTACAAAAATAGGCAGTGTGACCGCGGATTTATCTATACCGTCTGACCCTCAAAAATATACTCAAATATACTATACCGTGTTGATAAAATACTAGTTTCATTATTTCATTGATAATTTCATTTTTTTTCTTTGATACCGATAACATATATATCGATATATGGATATAGCAACGATGTGTCTAGTGTGTGTACAGGGCTGCCTGCTCTATCACCCAACCCGAAAACAACGTCACAGTCGTTACGTTTGAAATAATTTATTAGAAAAGATAATCTACCGCTAAGATTAGGTTAAAAACACCTCACTTTCGTTGCCGCACACCACATCGGCATTTATTTTACACGGATTGGCATGGCTTAGTACGTCCGATGCTGGCCACAGGAGCTTAGCCAGCGTGAGACAATATCCCGGCACAAAGGCATAGGAGGCGTACAGGATGAGAGACAGACAGCTTCCAAGGAGTACGTCTGCAATTAGTGGAAAAATTTGGAAATTTTAACAAACAAAAACCAGACAGCATTGGCATAGACAGGCGCACTCAGGTCGTATGTTTCGGTGGGGTGTCTGGTCTGTGACTAAGAGTGACCGACCGACCGGCATAGATAAGATATCGATGAGTAAAGACTACTATTATTGTCTTTACAAAACCATGGAACATGCACAACTGATAATCGCTAAATGTGTCAGTGTCTGGATGGGATGGGCTGGGCTGGGGTGGGATGTACTTACGGCAAAACACTTTCTCCCAGGGCTCACATATGGCGATCTGTGTGTTCAGCTCGTAGAGTACGTAAAGCCATTTCACATAGCGCTTAAATTTTTCGTAATCCTTGGCCAGCTTCTGAAACATGCTGCGGTACGTTCTTGTGCTAGCCGAGGTCTCGACGGTCCCAGAGTGCGCGGTGAACTAAACGCGGTGGAAGTTACCTGCGTTGCCCTCGTTATTCATTGCTTATCAATAGATTTATACATATAGTATACATATATATAGAAGTACACATTTTTTTTGGCTGTAAACCAAATTAAATAGATTTCATTTGAAATCGCTGATAAAAATCATTTCGTATGTTTCCGCGTGAAATTTGTAAGGTGTCAGTGCTTATCGTGGGATCGGGGGGAACCCGCCTCCCAATGGCGGTGGATTATTGTTGCCTGTGACTCACGCCAGTGGCACTGCGGAGAGCACGAACACCCATACAGATATCACATCGTTTGCGTACGCCTTGAGCTGCACCGCCACGCAGAACTCCACCAGCGGATTGTTGTTGTAGTGGATGCAGGTGGATCGAATGCGATCCGATACGGCCGCCAGATTGGTGTACGGAAAGTTGAGGGTAAAGCCGTACAGCTGTGGACACAAATCACATTTAATCAGTGATAATGATTGATGGGCGGATGGGGCATGGATGATATCTATATCTTATATCTATGTACGTACCTTGGAGTTGGGATTCTCGCGTTCCAGCTGCTCGCTGTAGGCGATCTCTTCGTAGCGGCCCCTGGAGAAGGTGGCCAGAGCCTCCATGTAGCCGAGTATCTTCAGTAGCTGCGGTTGAAAAGCCCTGCAAGAAGAATCACTTGAATGAGGTCTCTCTCTCTTTGAGTGCTATACCCACCGATTCCAGTTGGTCTTGCGTGTGGTGCGCCAGCCACTGATCTTCTTCATGATCTTGCGCTCAATGTTCTTCTGCAGCTGGCTCAGCTCGTAGCTGCGCTTGTAGGCATAGTCCAGCACCTGGACACCACCCTGGGGAGCGGACTGTTGACTGTTGAAGAGCGGAAACCAGCAGGCGGCATCCTGCAGATTAAAGTGGGTCATGCTGACGCGCGTCTCTGTCTGAATGTTGAAGTACATCTGCAGGAAGGCAATCGTAGATTAGAGGCATGTGATTGAGTAGCTGCGCCGACTTACGTTCTGCTTTCCCACGAGGCAGTAGACGCGCCTCAGCGGGCAGTGGACATCCTGCAGCTGGTAGTGCCTGCCGCTGGCAGGAGCCACGAACAGGAGTTCGGCCGTATCCGGCTGGCGATAGAGCACAAAGGAGCACTCGCCATGGGGACAGGCCTGGCCCAGCACGAGCCAGCACTCGAGGCCCAAGCCCAGCATATAGTTGCAGAGCAGCACGCCCTGATCCTTGACAGAGCACCAAGTGCTGTCCAGCAGCGTCTGGTTGTCCAGCCAAACGCCCCGGAAGCCCAGGCAGGGATCGTAGCTGCGCAGATGGCACAACAGGGCCACAAAGCGGCAGGCACTCTCCAGGACACTCTTGCTGGTGGCCACCGCCTCTGGCAGCGGCACCTGCTCCAGCAGCCGCGTCACGCACACCCGCTTGCCCAAGGCCGTGCAGACCAGAGGCTCCACAAAGCGCTGCGGCTGGGGCAGCAGCTGTTGCAGCTCCATGCGGCGCTCGTTCAGGTACGCCTGCAGCTCCACCGTCTCGGCACAGGCCAGCGCATTCGTGGGCAGGGGCGGCAGGTCACAGCGGTTCGGCTCGATGGTGAGGTAGAACCAGAGATGCACAGACTCCTTGAACTCGGGATACTGATCGGCGGGCATGTTCGTCACGGAGTCGATCAGGGGTCGCCTGTAGCCGATCAGCACCTTCGGCACGACCAGCTCAATGCATCCCTCAAACTGCAGATGAAAGTGGACTAGTTTTTGGATGGGAATATGGATATGGGTACCGCTTGTCACTCACCTTGCCGCTGGCCAGGAGACTGCTGATCGGCACCCGGTACTCGCCCAGCCAATTGCATTGGACGCGCTGGTACAGATCGGATGCCTCGTCGCCGGCCTGCTGCTCGATTAGCTCGTCGAACAGGCTGATCTTTAGATCCTCGCGCATATCCTTTTGGTAGCCGTGGAGCTGCAATTGCAGCTCCTCGTTCCAGGTGGGATTGCTGCCCTCGGCCGTGCGACTGCGGCTCAGCCGTTGCCCATAGCTCAACGACACAAACGGACGCACATTGGAGTACATGAGAGCTGAGAGAGGGGTGGAGGGTGGGAAAAGAAAGCTTTACATACTATACGAATCTACAGATCCATTAGCCAAAACTTACTCTGCGTCACAAAGAGACTGTTGCACATATCTGTCCCGGAGTTGGGCAGTTCCTCGAGGTTCATGAGGTGGCGGCTGCGCACCGGGACCCCAGTGGCCCTCACCACATGCAGGGACACCACAAAGTGCTGGAACTGATCGTGGTTGGCCTGCGGCTGCCAGGCAGCTGGCTCGCGTATCATCGCCGTCGATTGTCCCTGGAAGAGCGAGCAGAAGGCACGCCAGAGCGAGGTCCATCCGGTGGCCAGTGAGAGATCGAAGCCCTCGGCCAGAAACAGCAGGGGATGCGCCGACTGCTGGGCCTTGGCACGACGGGCGCTCTGGTTTCCGATGACCTCGTAGAGCAGCTTCAGGAACTTGTAGCCGCGATGCTTGTGCAGATCGATGGGATTCCAGAAGGTGCCGGGATCCAGCAGCCGACTCGAGTCGCCAGTAGTGGAGAGAGCCTCCCCCTCGTCATCCAACTCCTGCTCCAAAGCGGGCACAAAGCGCAGCTGCTTGGTGTGCAGGTTGCGCTGCTGGTGCCGCGAGCGGAGCAGCTGGAACCGCTTGTTGCTGAGCAGCGTGCTGATGGGACAGAACTGGAGCTGCTGCTCTGCAAACACCACAGCGGGCGCCTTGTTCTTCCTGTGCCTGTGGCATGGGCCTATGGGTGTGGCCGGCTCTGCGTTGGCAGCGATGGCAGCTACCGCAGGAAGTCTCGGGGGGATCAGAGTGCGGAGCAGTTCATTGGGCAGTGGTTGGATGTCATCCAAATCGTTGACTCCCTGACGCACCTCTGTGGGCGCATAGTCGTAGTACAAGCGGACATCTCCGGCCATCTGGGGCGAAGATGGGAAGGCCTGGAAGCTGAGCGTTAGGGGCACCGCTTTCTCCTTGCGGCTGAGATCCAACTTCGTCCTCAACACGGCCAGACGGCGACCCTGCTGGGTCAGCGTGGACTTCTCGTACAGCCAAATGTTGAGATTCTGCGGCAGCGTGCGCTCCAGGAGCACTCCGATGCTCTCGTTCATGTACAGATGCAGATCCTCCTCCAGGCGGTAGCTCCTGGTCTGGCCCACGTACAGATCGTCCAGGTAGAGCCTCATGAAGTAGCTGCGGTTGCGTCGCTTGGCCAGCTGCTCGCTGGCTGGCAAGAAGAGCTTCACAGCCGCCTCGTCCGCATAAAGGCGCACAATATCGACGTAGGGCTCCTCGGGATGCCTGAAGGCACGCTCGTAGTCCTTCTGGAGGCTGGCCATTAGCTTCTCGAAGCTCGGCTTGCGTGGCGGCTTCGATGGGGATTGGCCCTCGGCCATCGCTTCGCCCCACTGACGTCGTCGGCAGTAGAAGAGTTCCAGCTGCTCGCGATAGACCTCGGCAAGATCGTCCTCGAACTGCTGCTTCCATTCCGAGTGGGAGGACTGCAGGTTGGGGGGATGGCCAACGTGCAGCTTCAGCTGAAAGCGGGTGCACTGGAAGTTCTGCTCGCTGCGCAGCGCCTTCAGTTTGGCCCAGTCGCGGAGCAGGCGTAGCGAGAGTTTGCGCTCGGCGGTGGCTTCCGCGTAGTAGCGTTGGCGCAGATTTTGTGTGAGGCGCAGCTGACGCCGAATCTCGTCGGTCAGCTCGGGGCGAGGGGAGAGGAGGAGCTTGGCCGCCACCTGACGGGCAATGTCGAGCTGCTCCTTCAGCTTTTGGCAGACCTGACCGCTGCGATTTTCGGTATACTGATTGAAGAGATCGTCCAGCTGCTGCGCCATTCGGTGCTCGGTCAGCAGCAGGGGATGCGCACTGAAGCGGAGTTGCTTGAACGTCAGCGTGAGGCAGCGACGCGTGGGTATGCCCTCGAAGTGGCCGATCGCTGCCGGTGCAAGGAAAATGCCGTGGAACTCCCTGTCGCTGAAAGTGCGGTACAGGCGGCTGTCCATCACGAATTGGGAAACACTCTCATCGCACAGGTCCGACACTAGGTCGGAGTTAAGCTCGCTCGCATCGCCCTTCGCCTGCTCCTGGAAGCGGTTCAGCATGCGTATTTGGGCGGGCTTCGCACTGGAGTCACTCAGATGCAGTTGAAAGTGCACGGCATTGGCGGGCCTGTACAGCAAGCTGTCGTCATAGTAGTGCACCTGCTTGTGCAGCCCTGGCCAGACCAGCGGCGGCTCCTGCAGCTCAATGTCTATGTATGTTTGGGCCGGCGAATCTTTGCGTTCTGTGGCCGCCTCGCCGTCACTCTCAGCCTCCTCCTCCTCCTCCTCCTCATCCTGTGTTGTTTCCTGGATGGATGTCTCCCGCTCTCCGACAGCCGCATCGTCTGCACCGTGAAAGAACTGCAGGCTTCGTGCCTCCAATTCGAGTTCCTGCCCGCCGCCATCTTCGTACTTGGTTTCCCTCAGCATTGATTCGACCTCCTGCTCACATCTGCGATATGCGCGTGTGGTGTGAGTTTTTCGCTTCTTTTTGCCGCGCCTTGGTGGAGAAGTCGTCTCCATAATTGACGTGTATATTATTAATTAAATGCAGGCGACTGTTTAAGAGAAAACCAATGATTTGTTTTGACAATTGGCTAGTGGGTTGCTTGGTTGCTAACGGCAACTGGTTATCGATCAACTAATCGATAGTAAAGTAAGAGCAACTCTGCTTATTGAAAATTTAAAAATTCAAACATAATTTCACCCCAAATAAATTAATTTCTTAATAGCCATAGACTCTATGGCATAAACTTGGCGAGAGACAAAATGCAGTCCGTCTAGCCGCCGTCGGCGAGGGGGAATATATGGTTTTCCAACACACACAGCCAGCGACATTGGATTTGGAAGATGTTAGACTATATCCGTTTATTTTCAGAAATAATGAGACGATGATAAGTTTAACAATTCTATTTTTCTTCATTCTAGAATTACAGATTTATCTTCAGGCGCTCAACGATACAATTACGAGTAATTCCCCTTATTCAACAACGTTTAAAAGTAACTTAGAATACTTTTGCTCATTTTAATCAGTTATACAATCAAGCCCTCCTACCCTATCCAATCAACTCCACTGAGTCGTCCAGTTCACCCTTGATCTCCGTTTGCATTGGCACCACACTGTGGGAATCGGGCAATATGCTCTCCTCTGCCGTGGGGGAGACCTGGTTAATGATAAACACATTCGGACTACGTGCTCGGTTCATTCCAGCGGATCCCCCGCTCGCTGTTGGGGCAGCAGACTTGGACTTTGACCCCGGCACAGGCACAGGGACAGCCTTGGGGAGAGGAGACGTAGACAATGAAGCGAGCGTTTGGGCTACACCAACAGGCGGCTTGGTGGCTCCTGGTCTCGAAGGCATTGGGTTCGGCGGTGGGTGAATGGAAACGATCGTCCCCGAACCAAGTCTCTTCCCAGTGCTGCCTTTTGGGACGGCTTTCACAGCCATCCCGGCCGGAGGTTTCGTTTTCTGCAAAGAGATATAAACATCAAACACTATTTCTATTGAACGTTAAGTTAAATGTAACCGATGAAGATACCTTGCTTTGATTCAGCTGCACACCCGCTCTGGCAGACTTGCTTGTGGAGCCCAGGACGCCGCTCTGGGCTGCCGCAGAGGTGGATGGTCCCAGTGGAGTGCTGCTGGCAATGGGCCCCGTTCGATTCACGATCGAAGCGTTCGGTGTCGGGCACTGATATCCAATGATGTTCTTGTCCGCATCGTACACAGGAATGCCGGCTGGCAGAGAGCTGCGCTGTTGTGCCGGCTTCTTCGTTGCGGGGGCGGATGGGCTTGCAGTTTCAGTTGCACTTGCAGTGGCAGTGGCAGATGGAGTGCTGAATTTACGCTTGGCCACCGGCTCATCGCCGAGAAGGCTGGCGACTGTGTGGGTACTCTGAGTAATAGCTGGTGTGACCACAGGGTTGAGGCGGAGCGAGGGCATGGGCGTCTGGGTGTTGGTAGCACGGTTGAGGTAATAGACGTAGTTCTCAAGGAGCTTGGTGCCCACATCCACATCGATGGCCATTAACGTGCTGGTCTTCACGATCTCCTCAATGGTGCGCTGTCGCTCGGCCAGGGTCAGTGTGGCTGCGCGTCTGCTCAGGCCCTGGAGCACCAAGTCGAACATCTGAACTCGCGTCTGCAGCTCCACCCGTTGCTTGTCCGTGGGGCAGATCGGCGGCAGCTGGATCAGGGCCGGAGGCAGGCTGGCCACCATCGACGAGCTGGCAGCAGCGGGTAGGGCAGCCCCAGGCGGCAGTACCTTTTTGGTTAGCGTCGTTCCGCGTGGCAATTGTTTGGTCAAGGATTGAACTGTGACTTCCGTCTGGAATACTGGAAGTGCTGGTGGGGGTGCAGGAGTGGCGCTGGCACTGGCACTGGCGGTAGGTGGTGGAGGGTTGGAAATGGCAGCCAAGGGGGGCAGAGGCCGAGGTGTCTGAGCAAGGTTGGACGAAGGCACTGCCACTGGAATGGACGGATCACTGGAGTCCGTGCTCATGCGCACCGTCTGCCCCATCAACGGCCTGCCAGTCTTGTCCAGCTGCGCCAGCTTCGCTCGCACCTTGTGGGGCAGATCCTTATCCGCCTTGGAGATGATCTTCGTCGTGATAACCATGAATTGCGGCAGCTCCAGCACCGGCACCTGCGCCGTGGCATGTAAGCGCGTCGGGTCAATGGCCCGCATCGGTCCGTCCAGATTGGGACAGCAAAAGTCCAGCCCCACCTCGCCATACGATCGCTGATAGCGTTGGGGGTACAGGAACGAGAATATCTTGGTGTGGCCAGGCTTCTGGCTGGCTTCGGCCGAGCTGGCCGATGGTATCGAGCTGACCAATCTGCCAACCGGTGCCGGAGGCGCACTCATGCGAATTGTTGTCTGATGACTCGAGATGCTGGGTGCCAGTGCAACCAGCTCCTCGGGTGCTTGGAGCTCCTCCTCCGCAGGAGCATCTGGTGCCACCACAGTAGGTGTTGGTATGGCTACGGCAGTCAATGTAGCCTCCTCCATTGGCGCTTCGGGCGGCACTTCCTCTATCTCCGTCTTTATTTCCATAACGGGTATGGGAATCGGAAGTTTCATCGCCGGTATACCATGGGTTTTTTTCTGTGCTTGTTGTCCCGACCCCGATCCCGACGCCGACACCGACACCGACACCGAAACTGACTGGACAGCTTCAGCGACTGGTGCTGGCTGTGTTGGCAGCGACGGTTGCAGTGGAGCTGGAGCTGGGGCTGGATCTAGAGCTGGCTCTGGCTCTGGAAATGGCTCTGGCACTTGATGCTGGACTGACTCTGCTGCGGGTGCTTCAGTTTGTGGCTCTGGCTCTGGTGCCGGCATCACTGGTGGTGCTGATCGTTGTTCTTGTAGTGCGGCTGCTGGCTGCTTCCGTACGTTCGCCGCCATCCACTTTTTGACCACTCCCCGATTGATTTTAACCAGACATTTTCGCAGCTTAGTCTTAGTCCTAGTGGGCTGTGATTTGGTAGTAGCCGGAACTGCTGCAGGCCCAGCTGCGACCGAATGCGGTATGGGAGAATGGGCGGAGCTGCTGGCAGCGGTTATCATCACTGGGAAGGCAATGGACGGAGCTGGGCGTGCTTCTGGCTCCTGGTCCTGCTCTTGCTCTGCTCTCGGCCTCTTTTGAGTGGTGGCCTCTGATTCTGCTTCGGCGTCTTCGGTAGCCTTTCGCTTTTTGGCCGACCATCTGCGGCGCGAACCGAACGGTAGTCGGGCCGGACGTTTAATTTTTTTAGGCGGACCCAGTGCCTCATCCGGCGGTGTGGGGGCTACCATCGGCTCAGGCTTTTTCGGAGCTGACCGCCGCACTCCAGCCATAGGAGTTGGCGTCGGAGCCATGGGTATTGGCGTGGAGGCCAGGGATCGGTTGCTGCTGGCGGCGCGCGTCATATGTGAGGACATCGAGATACCCGTTTGTCGTAGTGTCGGCAAGGAAATGCCTTTGCCCAGTCGGGATGTGCGCCCGGCGCGTTCGTGAGACGAATCCCTCGGAGCCGCACCAGTTTCCACTTCCGCTGTGCGGATCGCAGCCTTGCCTCGAATCGCTGCCACATCGGACCTTCGCTGTTCGTATTTTTCCTTTTCGCGTGCTTCATTTGCCTTGAATGTTGAATGTCCAACTGCCGGCATCTTAACGCTTTTGGCTTGCATCCTGGCAGCCTCTTCCGACTTCCGGGGCTCGGGTTTCCTTGGCGGCTCGGCATGCGGCAAGGATTTCCTGGCTGGCGCTGTGGAAGTATCTGGCTTATTCGATTGTTCGGCCATTTCCGGCCTGCGCGGCTCCTTCCTAGCCTGCTGCTCCGAGTTCTTAGGCTTGTCTGGCGCACTTATTTTCACGGTCTTCTTAGCCTCCGGCTTCTTCTTCGTGTCCACTTGCCTCCTTGCGGAAATGATGTTCTTCTCGGCGTCCAGCAGCGCCTTCGTAACCTGGGCAGCAGTGGCAGCCGAGCTGGTGGCGACCGATTTCCCCGCAGCATCGGCTGCACCTCCATCACCTTCTTTGCTCGGCATCACGGACACGGAGATGTTCACCTTTCGCAGGGCCGCTGCGGTTCCTTCTCCTTTGGCAGTTTCTGCTGGCTTCTTGCCTGGCAAATCGCTCGCTGGCACAACACCCTTCTTGGTCAGCACAGTGGAGCTGGGGATATTCTTTTCTGGGTCCCCCTTCTTGCCAGCGGGAGCACTATCCTTTTGTGTAGCCTTGCGGGCATCCACATACGAGTGGAGCAAACTCTGTACCAGCGGCTTCTTGGACGGCGCAGGCGGACTCTCTGCAGCGGCGTCCAGCGATTTCTTGGGCACTGCCGATATGATTATGTGCTTGGTTGTATCGGGGCCCTTGGGGTTCTTCACATTTGATTTTCGCGCCCCTCCCGAGGACCTCGATGGCTCCTCGTGCGGGTCGGTTGTGGTTGAAATAATTGTGTCCTTGCCTATAAGGGATATGTATTTACCCTTGGAACTGGCGCTGGCGTTGGCCGAAGCAGAGGCGGTGGCAGTAGAGGTAGAGGCAGTGGCCGTGCCTACGTCCTCTATCTTTGTTCGCTTCTGCGGTGGCCGCTCTTCTGCCTCCAGCTGATTGCGACGACGCACTGTCATTCGGAGAGATGGCAGTTTAGGATTTGAGGTACGAGTGAAGGAGAAGCCTTCTCGACTCACCTGGTTTTTTCTGTCCCTGTTTGTCCTTTCCTGCTTTCTCCAGCTGTTGCTGTTGCTTTTGCCTTCGTCGGGCAGCTTCTACATGGAAAGAAACAATCAGAGGGGAAGAGAATAAAATTTAACATTAGAGATTTTTTTTAACAGTGCGAATATTTGGGAAGCTATTAACCATCTGGTTGTGGGGTCTCCACTTCCCGCTTGCGCAAAGCGCGCACGGGCAGCTTTGATTTGCTCGATTCCGGGGCGACGGTGACACCTGTTGTTTCTGTTGTGACTGTGCTGTCTGTTGTTTCTGTTGTGACTGGGCTGTCTGTTGTTTCTTTTTGGGCGGGACGTTGTCTGTTGTTTCTTTTCGGGCGGGACTGTCTGTTGTTTCTTTTGTGACTGGGCTCTCAGCATTGGACTCCTCAGCGTTCGCCTCAGGGGCAGTGGCTGTGGTGGGATTAACCGATTCCCCATTGTTGTCGTCGATTTTTAAAGTGCTTGGTCTATTAGCCCCCTCCACTTCCTTGTCCGGTTCCCCAGAGGATGCCTCCAAAGGTGTAGGCTGATTCTCTGCCGTTTCCTCTCTTATTGGCGACTCTTTTCTAGGGGTTTCCTCTACAGATGCTGCCATAGACGGCGCTGCTGTAGTGATCTCTTCCGTGTGGACTGCTTCATTCGATTCTTCCACCACTTTAGGCTCAGCAGAAGGCTCTTTAGGAACTGTAGGCTCAGCAGAAGGCTCTTCTTCTACACTTGGCTCCTCCTGATGTGCCCCTTCAGGCTTATCCGTTAGCTGTTCCTCTTTTGTATCCACAATTGCCTGTTCAACCGAAGACTGCGTCACAGCCTGCACAGCTTCTGGCTTGTCATCTGCCTCTGGGGCAGGCGTAGCCTTGTCCTCTTCTGTCTTTGCGGCGCTTGGAGCCTCAGTTGCGGTGTCAAGCTTATCCCTGAGACTCATGGCAGGTGTTCTTTTGCCAGCACAAGATGTGGAGCTGGGCGTTCTTCGCATTAGCACGCGAAGCTGGCGACAGGGCGCTGTGCGCGGAGTGATGGGCACAATTCGCTTGGGTGTGGCGACTTCCAATGCATGCTGTTCGGCTGCACCCTCCGGAATGGTCTTGGCTGTTCTTTGCTGCTTGGCACTGGCCCCCCTCTTTTTACTGGAACTCCTCTTTTCCGCAAGCTGTGGTGGCAGAGTTTCTGGCTCCGTGTTCACGGTTTCATCTGAAGTTTGCTCACTTTCCTCAGCGGATTTCGCTTCAGTTGCTGCTTGACTTAGGTCCGAATTTTCTTTCGATATTGCTGGAAGATTTGGCGTGGTCGGTGGCGGACATTCCAGTTCGTTTGCTTCCGACGGTTTGTTGGATTTCGATTTGCGCGTCTTTGGCTTTCCTCGTGCCGACTCACTCTTTTCTGGAGCAGCCTTTGGCTCCTCAGATGTGGTTCGCTCCAGCTCTTCAGCTTTGGCTTCAGTTTGTCCTGGCTCTGTCGTTTCTGGCGCCTCTTTCGGCTCAGTTTTGATATTTTCTTTGTGTTGCTTGTTCCTTGATTTGTGTTTTTTCAATATTTGACCCTGACTGGACTGCGGTGGTTTTGGTTCCACTGTCGCTTCCGATGCTTCCGGTTGTGATGATTCGCGATTCGCTGCAGTTTTCTTACTGTTGGCTTCCAGTCTGGGCTTTCTGCTAGTTGGCTTTTCTTTCCTTGACCCTGATTTACTGGACGTTGAGGGTTCTGGCGTCTCTAGCCCTGGCTCTGTTTCTGCGATGGCTTGAGCCGCAGACTCTGGCTCTGCTGTTGCGGCAGTGGGTAGATCCACATTCATTGCCTCCTCCGATGGACCACCCTTTGCTGCACTCAGTGGTTCAGTGGAGGCGATATTGGAATCAACTGCCGGCTGCACTGGTTCTGATTCAGTTTCTGGTTTAATATTACCGGACTCAGCAGCGTTCGTGTGAATGGCCTTTCTACTCCTTATTTTGTCCTTTCTTGAGAGTCTCTCTTCCACTGGTGTGGCCGGTGTGGCAGTAGATGACACTTCTGATGTTTTATCTGGCTCCAGTTTAGTCGTTTGAATCGCTTGTTCCGATTCTGTGCCATCTGCAGAGCGTTCCACAGTCCTTTTATTTGATTTGGCGCTCTTTACCTTTTCGTTTCTTGATGATTTATTTGGCGTGGCGAGTGCGACAGGCTCTGGCTTTTCGGTGGAAGGCTCCTCTGTCGGTTCTACTGGTTTCGGTACTGGAGTTTTGGGTTCCGAACTCATTTCAACTAGTTTCAGTTCCTTAACCTCCTCCTCCGGTGGGGACTTACTTTCTAGCTCGTTTTGTATACTCTTGGACGTTTCCCTGTTGGTTTTGTCTTGTGCCGCATTCACTAAATCCAAATTAAGTCTAACTAATTTGTTTTGGTTCCTCCTGAGCTTGGGCCTGCCTCTTTTTCTCTGTTCTGTCGGTTCCGCCTGCTTCGGCTTGACGGTTTCATGACCTGGAGCCGCATTCATCTTTTCAGGATCCATTTTTACTTCCCTACCACGTTCGGCTTCCTTTTGAATATCTTCCTTGGGTGCTTCCAGTTTCGTTTCAACGGGATCTGTTTCCGTCAGAGACTGCTCGGTTGTCGCCTTCTTTTTGGGATCGACTGCACAAATTTGTGCCTCTTTCATCGGTGAATCTGTTCTGGGGGAATCCCTTTTGTCAACTCGCTTAACCGTGTCCGTGACAGCTTTGGGAGTTCGGCTCGATTGGGCTGAGCTGTGTGCTCGCTCCTCCTTGTCTCCGTTCGAACCGCAAGATGGTACACCTTTTCCCCCACTGTTGGTTGGCTGACCACGACCCTCAGCAGGTGCCGCAAGCTCTTTCTCAGTTTCAGTTTCAGTCTCAGCCGTGTCTGTTGGGGTTTCATCTTGGCTCTCTACCTCTGCTTTGTCTTTTTCCGTCCTTTTCTTCTTCTTTTCCTTCCTTTGTGTGCTTCCAGACTTTCTCTGGATGGCATACCTCTCCCCGTGATCCGTCTCAGTGCCACTAGACCTGGCCTGCTCCCTCCCAGGTCTGGAATTGTCAACGGTCTCATCGGCCGACTGGCGCTCTTGCGATGATTTGCTGCCCGCTGGCGACCTGCCCAGCCTCGGACTGCTCCGGAATGAGGGCTCGTTCAAGATCGTATTTCTTTCAGATTTCGGGGCGCGCTTGACTGGTGTGGCCTCCCTGCGGGGGCTGGAAGTTGTTTTATCCCAACGACTAGCCAATCGGGTAGCTAAGGGAAGCAAATCAACGTCCGATTCCAAACTCTTGCCCATAGCAGCGGGAGATTCCAAACTCTTGGGCGTAGCAGCGGGTAATGACGGATTGCCTTGGATTTCCTTCACTGCTGCACTTTCTGAGGAGCTGGTGGGAGCCTCGTCACCGACTTCGTTGCCACTGGACTCGGGCTGTTTGTCTGGTAATCCTTCTACTGCAGTCTCCTCTGCAGGACATTTGCCAGACACAGGAGCAATTTCTTCGGTAGCCTCTGGCGGGCTGAAAGCATTTGTTATTGTCTGCTGCTCAAGCTCCTTAATTATTTCAATCACAGGATTTTCCAGGTCTAAGCGCTGGCCAGGCAGCGCCAGAGCCGTGTCGCTCATTTCAATGCCTTTGCCCACTTCGGCGGCTAGAATCTCCTCGGCCAATTTAATATCTTCAGCCAGCTGGGAATCAGTCTCCTCGGTCAATTCGATTCTAGCTTCAGCGGCTGCGACACTTGGAAGACCTTCTTCCATTGCCACAGACAGTTCCGCTGGCAATTGGTCTACAGCTACGCCCAGAGACTCATCCATCGCCTCTGAGGCTTCTGGGAGCAATCGATCCACAGCTTTATCAGCCCTCAATTGATCGACGGATGACTCCAAATCTGGCTTCTCCGTTGGATCTGTTATGGGATGCCCTGCGGCAGGCAATTCAAATGTCATCGACTCAATGGGTAGCTCCATTTTAGAGACCATTCGCTCATCCACATTACTGTTCCCGTCCAGACTCTGCCACACAATGTCTCCACTCTGTTCGGTCAGTGTTGTGTCCCCCTTTGCCGTTGCATCGGAAAACGAAAGATAATCCTTGCTAGTAGGTTCATTGAAAGTGGTTTCACATTCAGCTGCCATGCCGGGCTCCACGGGACTTTGTGGCGTGGGGGACTCGCCATGAGCTGTATTGAACGATTCAGTGGATGTATCCGATCTGGTGGACTTTTCCACATCGAGATTCGCGACTGTGTCTGTTGTTATTCTGAGATCTGATGATGCTTCTGATACGAGACGATGAGATTGAGATGATGCTGTGCTTATTTCCTCCTGTGATGATGAAGCTGTAATTGTAATTTCTGAAACGTCTTTGGCTGTATCTAGTTCTGTATTTAATTCCGGCTGCTCTCCTGCTTCTGGCTGTTGCATTTGATCCGCCATTTCCTTGTCCTCCACCTGTACGCCACTGGATAATGGAACTGCATCCTCCTTTGCAGTTGTTTCTGTTGGGACCTGAGCATTGGCAGCCAACAGAGCGGTTTCCGCTTCTGTCGGTGGCCTTATCTTGCGGGGTCGGCCCCGTTTCCTTTTCACTGGCACCTCTTGTCCCTCGCCCACACATTCACTTGGCTTGGCCACTTTTTCCTCCGTGGTGGCTGCTCGGTTTTTCCTATGCTTTCGACTACGGCCGCGTCCCCTCTTTGAGAAACCGGTATCACTCTTGGCCCTCCTCAGCGTGTTCTGCGACGAGCCACAGCTGTCGAGCTGTTCATTCGAATAGGTTAGCTTGCGCACATGGCTTTGGGGCGCGAATGGAGCGGCGCCAGGATCTGCCGAGATCTTGGAACGCGATCTGCTGCGTGGCTTTGAGGCGGAACGCCTTTCGAACTCAAACGAGCGCTCGACATCAATTTCATTGATTTGCTCGGCCAAGTCGAGGGTCATGCGCTCTAGGGACTCGAGAGTGATGCTTGGATCCACTTCGTAGGGATTACTGCTGACAGTCGCCACCTGATTTCCCGATGAAGAGCTGCAGCCGGCTTCCACTGGCAGCGGCAGCGGCACCGCATCCGGCTCTGCTGCCATCGGTGCCTGCTGCTCCACTGTGGGACTGGCTGCGAAACAAAAGCAGAAAAAAGTTATAAATGTAAGAGATATGCACGGTGGGGGTGGGGGACATGTACAGTAGGGCTAACTGGTAGAATGGACACCCCAATGGACGCATGAACACACTTACCCGCTGGTTGCTCTTTAGAATGCATAACCTGTTCGGAGGAAGGTAATTTCTTTTCACTGGAACGCGGCTTTTTAGCACTACTCTGTTTTTTATAGATCGGAGGCGCTTCGGCACAACTCAGATTATTCAAATAAGTTTGCAGGCGTTCATAATCGCCGCTCATTCTCGGTTGCTGCCGCTGCTGCTCCTGGCCCTGGCCCTCGCCCTCTCCCTCGTCATCGGAAACAACAGGCGTCACAGTTTCTACGCGGTTTTTGTGTTTTTATACATTATAAATATTATCAGAGGGTTGGCAGTATCAACTAGTTAATAACGTTGACTTACCCGCCACCGAAGTGGTCCTGCTGGTGTCCGTCGATATGTCAATGACCGGTTCCTCATCATCCGTGTCCCGATCGCCGTAGAAATCAGATTCGTACTCGTACGAAGAATCGCTGTCCGAGTCCCCATAGAATTCCCTCAAATCTGTAGCGATTACATCGTAGTATTAGTGTTGGATCGTTTTATCTAATACCCAAAAATGGAGAGCTGGCTCTTACTTAAGGGATCTGTCTTGGGCTCGTTCTTTGGTGGCCTAAGGTCTGCCTTCTGTGTCTTTATAATGGTTACTGCCTTGCTATTCCTGGATACCGAATTACTGCTGCTGCCATTACTAGAACCTTGAGGCGCATTTCTCGAATGATGCCCTTGAGCTCCGCTTTTGCCCGAGGAATGCGGCCCAGCAAGGTTCTTGCTGGATTTCCCAAAGCCACTGCTGCTGCTGTGACTGCCTCTGTGCAGACCCTCTGTCTCGGATTTCCTCCCTGCGCCCCGAGATGTACTGGGCTTGGGTACAGTTGACCTTTGTGTTGGACGCATAAGGGCTTGGCCTGAGAACGAAATTAACCCCATTGTTATTATGGATCTACAGTCAATTGTTTTTGGGGTTGACTTACCCAAATCGTCTACAGAATCAAAGGACTCGAAACGGTCGCGCCTTTTGTTTGGCTTTGGCTTGCTACTCTTCCTATTGAACAGAGCATCGAAGGCGTCATTGGAATCGTCATCGCTGGAGGAGGGGGGTGGCAAAGGACGGTGCCTCTCCCTTGGTTTTGAACTGCCCTCGTTGAGCAGTTCGTCGTCAATAAATTTACCATGGAATAGCTTCTGAAATATGTCTGCATCAATCGAGGAGGAGTTGCTCGAGTCTGAAGAAATGCGGCGACGCCGGGACGCAGCAGATGCTGACGCAGCCGCCGAGCGCCCGTCGCCAGTTTTAATACCTAAAAGTACGGCATAGTTGAACATTTCCCACAAACAACATTGCACAATATAATGGAACGGACTCCGGAACGCACCTGGCAACACCAAATCTTTGTACTCATCAAGATATTCTATATCCTCCATGTTATAAGTAGTTTTCCGTTCCGTTCCTATGCGCCGTCTGCCTCGCGAATGTGCTACGATTTGTAACCAATTTATTGCATTACGTTAAACAATAGATGCGAACAGTTATTTGCGGTTTTATCGGGATAGCATTTTCAATGTACAATCAGCACGCGCGATAATTTTATCTTTTCCACAATACTTAAAAAAAAAAACCAAGCGAGATGCTGCCGCTGTCAAAATAGTGTGCAAAAATTCCAGATTTGTACAGGGATGAAAACTGTACCGTACCAGGGCTGCAATCATCAATATATATCGCACAAAAGTATCGTATCTAACGAGACGAGACGTCTGGTATTCGGTATTTTCAGAAAATACTTTTGTGCGGTCCACTATATATCGCGTACCGGACAAAAACATCGATGGCATCGATAGGTCTTTGCAGCCCTGCCTAGAGCTGTCAAACGATTGATAGTTGAGCCATCGAATTATCGGGCTCAAATAATTATTAATTATTTTTTTGTTGATATTTACTGGTTACTAACCTGATTAAATAGAGCGGGGTTAAGCTATTTTTTTTCTCGGTTTCTGAGGTTCCAGTCACACTCGACAAAACAAATCAGTTTGTTTTTCCATATACATACATTTGAAAATGACCGCCAAACTCATTTAGCGCAGAAAAAATACTGACATTTTTCGATCTCAATTCGTGGGGGGTTTTTAAAATTTGCTCTCTTTCCAGAGGTGAAGAGAGCGTTTTCGTGGTGACTTTCCCCTCCTTTTTGTGGTGTGAGCGACGTGTTCTTAACGGGAACGCGTATGGAATTAACAATACGTAGGAATGGATATTATGGACTTGCGATATTGTTTGTAATTTCAGGCTCCAAGTAATGCAGAAACTACTCAGTCTCTGTTTTCTAGATATTAACAAAGTTTTGCAGCTCACGGGTTCCAATAATAGGTATCAGAACCGGGATAAATGTATATATAAAACACAAACATATGCATTAAGAGGTAAAAAACATGTCGATCTATGATAAAATCATTCATAATGTTTCACTGGAACTTGGAACAAAACATTTAACATCAATTAAAAGAAATAAGGTATACAAAAGTTCATACGCATAGAAGAAACTTGGTTGACCAGCAACACTGACGTCACATTTAGTCAACAATTACGTTTAATGCATTGGCCCTTTTTGTTTGAACCCTATTATCTAAACAATCCCATTAAAAATAGTTCTGAAAACTAGCCAATCCTAAACAAAATTTATTGAGGAATTGGATAAAATTATTTTTTTAGGGCTGAGAGTGTCAACTAGCTAATAATATTAAACTGAATATCAATATCATTTAATACGATTTCAATCAATAAAATGAAACGTTAACCCATTGTCGACCAGGGGGGTATTTAGCGCACAAAAAATACTGCGGACAAATTTTCCGCAGCTCTTCATTTTTTCCTACTTTTGTTGTTAGGGCTGCCAGATCAGTTCAAAGCGAATCGGTAATGAAACGGGTAGCAAAATATCATGGTGGCAGCCCGAAACTACGAATTGTACGTGTCTGGCAGCGCCACAAAAAACGACGTCACATTCGTTGTATGTTGTTTTTGTTTGAACCTTAATATGTAAATAATCCAATAAAAAGGACTTCTGAAAACTTGCCAATCCTGAACAAAATTGATGTATCTATCGGATAAAATTATTTTTTTAGGGCTGAGAGTCCCAGCTAGCTAGTAATATTAAACGGAATATCAAATTCGAGGAATATCAACGTTGAATGTTTTGAAAAAAACAATCGATACTATCGTGATAGTATCGGGCTCAACTAATTATTAAAAAACCATTGAAACCTTTTAAGAACTTGTCCATTGTAAAAATTAGATGCCACCTGTCGATTTTTTTACAAATGTGTTTTCGTATTTTATAGCAGCCAATCCAAACATATCAAAAGCGCAACGACTGTAGCTCGATACTATCATGATAGTCGCAAAACCGTCGATAGTACAGGCTAGCAGTAAAATATCGATACTATCGAGAGTGCTCTCGATAGTTTGACACCTCCAGCCCTGCCTGTGACGTGGAATGAAAGAAACGAAGAAAGCCATACGAACATACGAACACGAAGCCGAGGCGAGCACGTCAAATATCACTTCGCCTCTTCACTCACATTTTCCAGGTCAGCAGTCGTTTTCGGTTTGCTCAATCAAAAGTTAAACGTTTAACATTATTAAGAATGGTGAGTAAAGGCGACTGCAGTGAACGATTGGTGACTAATTGCGAATTCAATGCAGCCTGCTCCTGCTAGTTCAACGTCCGTTGGCAGCGGCTCACGCTCGCCCAGCAAATTGTCCGCGCCACGTAGCGCCGGAGCTGGAGGTGGTAGCACGCTGAAGCAGCGCAAGACGACCAGCAGCACCACCGCAGCTAGAAGCCGTGCCCCTGGTGGAGCCGGTACTGGTGGTATGTGGCGTTTCTACACAGACGACTCCCCCGGCATCAAAGTGTAAGTGGAGTGCCCCCGCCCGACAGATTTATTTAAAGATTTTGCCAGCTAATTATGATCCGTTTTCTCTTTGCGTCTGTTACAGTGGACCCGTTCCCGTCCTGGTTATGTCGCTGCTGTTCATTGCTTCCGTTTTCATGCTGCACATTTGGGGCAAATACAATCGTTCTTAAGCCCCTACGTTCATAGCCAATAAAATACTTTCACCTCAACGAACGTGAACAGCACTGTCGACGTCATCATTTCTTTCATACCGAAACAGCAGCGGCAGCAGCAGCCAAAACGTTAACAACATTTTTATCTGCATTCCGCTTGTTGAGGCATTGGTATGGTGTGTTTTCCACATGAAATTATTATTACCTTAGGCTAAGTTTCCTCTACCCCCCTTCTGCGTCGTTAAAAACATCAACGTAATATTTTCAAAATTTGCTAACCTTTCGTCCTGCAAATCTCGATCTCTCATGATGAGAGCTTCCGTAGTTTGCCGACTAAGAATCCATTCCACAATTTATCGTGGTCGAGTGCAGTAAAAATTCCGCGTCTAACCGTTGCAATTCAAAATTTGTAAGAATAAACAAGTGTTAAGAACAAATAAATTTTGTATTAAACATTAACAAATGGCTTCATTGTGTGGGTCAGTGGTCAGTGGGCACTGGAATCAGTTGCTGAATCGACGTTTGGCCCAAAAAGTGATGTTCCTTGAAGTATTTCTCACGCTGCTGGCACCGTCGCTCCCTATGGTCCTGTCGACCACACAGGAGGCAGCCGGTCGAAGGCCGTTTTCGTTGCGTCTGCCAGACGCCGCAATTCGTCTCAATGTGTCCACGCTGACCACATAGCCAGCACTGTTGCTTGGTCTGATAGAAGGCGCAGTCATGACCTTCGCGTTGAGTGCAGCGCCGACAGTTGTGGCAGTGCACATAGTTGGGCTTGACGCACATGTCACATGCGTCACAGTGCCTGTAGGTCTGGCCATTCTTCGAGGTGCACTTCTGGCAGCGGTCGCAGTGGAGATTATCACTGGCCGTGTGATGGGAACACTTTTGGCAGTACTTGTAGCCCTCCTTTTGTGGCAGATTCAGCAGCTGCAGGGGCACATTGGTGAACAGCCGGACGGGGGAGCCGCAGAACCGACTCTTCTTGCCCACATTCGTGTACCTCGAATGGTTGGAATAGTTTATCCGGTAGTCGCTCATTTCCATCTCTGGCATTTCCTGCCTAATGTGGTTGATTGAAAAGTACGGATATATCCAAAATATAGACAGAGGGGTCACGGGCACCTGGTTGATGCAGTTGTGGTGCCTCCGGAGTGCGCGCAAGGTGTGGGCTATCAGTTCCGTGCGGCAGCCAAACGGAGGATCGGTCACTATTAGCAAACGGTCCACGCTGGAAATTCAACATTTTTATTCAAGTATTCCTTCCGTTTAAAGAAACAACTCACGGAGAGCATTGCAGGAACTTTTCGAAAGGTTCACGCTTGTAGAAGAAATGATTGTTGCACATGTTGTACAGGCAGAACTCCTCCGGGCCAAGGTAATTAGCGAAGCGCTCATCCAGATCCAGGAGGAAACTTTTATAATTTGCACGCAGGCGAAAGTGCAGCCGAGGAGCGCCCATGCAGACAACTTTGCTGTCAGGAGGATATCATCATGGAATATATATAAATCTATCCATTATGTTACACTCACGTTATTCCCAGGCAGCGGCACTGATCCGCCAAAAAGTCCAACGCCGCCTCATCGAAGAAATACTGAGCATTCACTTTATCCTGCGCCAGAGCCAGTATACTCTTTGTGGGGTCGGTATCAGATGGATTTAGAACGTGGCCAGACGCTTTTGGGTAGTTTCTTCCCGTTGATACGTCCTTCAGCCCATTACCCTTCCATTTATTCGCGGCCATGTGGAAATCACAAAGTTTGGAGTCCCTGTGGGCCGAACAGGCATAGTAGCCCTGCCCGGGACGCTGCGACTGGCGGTAGAAAAGCACTGTGGGGCCATGCTGACAGCTGGGGTGTTGCTCATCATCATTGTCTTCTTGCACTTGGAGCAACAGCTTTTCATTTATGTTTATGTTTTCCGGCATTTCTCAAACCCCCCCTACCCACCAGCGTGACCGTGAGGATATCGATAAAAAATGCCATTCGGCAAAAAAATAAATACCAGTTTCGAGAAATACCATTTAAATACCATAAATTTAAAAGATTAATTTCAAGGTTTCAAGGCTGCTTTATTCCAATTAGGGTATATAAAGTGCCATACCATACCCCCGTTGATATGTAGCAAATGTGTAGTTACTGCGTAGCTACCATACAGTGACATTCTTTGCTCAAACCTTATTTTATAAGTAATCAAATTAATGTGATCCCTCAAAATAAGCCGGATTGTAGAAAATTGATAAAATAGCAATTTTATAAAATGGTATTTTCAGTTGTTAAAGTCCTAATTAGCTAGAAATATTAAATCGAATATCAAAATCGAGAAATATCAACATGTCCGTCAGTATATTTACGGTATATTGTAAAAATGATACGGTATATTTCGGTAAATTTCTGAGGGTCAGGCGGTATATTGATATTGGCGGTATTGGTCACACTGCATCCCTATTTACGCGGCCATCCATTCCAAATTTTTCTTTCCAAATTTTTATTGAGCCGAGTTGGTCGCGTTGCGCCAAGAAAGAACAGAAAATGAAATCGCCAAAGTGTAGTTGGTTAAACGCAGCGTTTTGTGAGATCAAAATAACTTAAAAGAGCTAGAGGATTGCAGTAGAATTCATGGATTGAAAAAAGGTATGTTTTAGAAGTGAATTGTTGGCAAGAATTTTTATGATGAATGTTCTATTTCTGAAGAGTCGAGTGCCAGGTCTTCGGGCCTGGCATTCTTTTCGTGTAGAAAGAATAAGAACGGCCAACTGATAAATAATTTCGCTGAAGTAAATGCGTTAAACATTCGAATGGCAATTAAACAAATGAACATTTTCTTGCGTTTCTAGATATGAGGCTCCCTGAGGCCGCCTCAACACGTGGCCAGCTACCCGGCGTAGCTAATATGGTAGGTACCGCCTCTTGCTGTGTATAATGATTTTACAATTTTTATGTGATGATAAGTTCAATCTGAACAAAGTGCTGTTGATTTCCAACTTAAAATTAAACCAAAAGGATTCTGAAAAACAAAAGAACAAAGCAACAGTGTAAAAATTTCACCAGATGGCAAATTTAACCTTAATTATTTTTCATTTTAGGTACATTTTTCAACAAGCTGCATGCTGCTTTATATTAGCTGGGGATCTGGACATATATGGTGCAGAGGTAAGTTTCTGTTGTTGCTATTTCCTTAGTGTCGGTAATGTGATGATAAGTTCAATCTGAACAAAGTGCTGTTGATCCACAACTTACAATTAAACCAAAAGGATTCTGATAAACCTTGTTATACAGAAATGCAGTAAAATGGGGTCTTGAATGAGAAATTAATGGATTTTTTTCTTTCATTTTCAGCCGTACATTTAAACAAGCCGCCTTACAATTGGGTATTGTGATCCGGAAAACGTGACCAAGGTATGTCCCCTTATTTCTTGTTTATATTAATTACATGATGATAAGTTCAATCTGAACAAAGTGCTGTTGATTCACAACTTCAAATTAAACCAAAAGGATTCTGATAATAAAAAAATTTAGTTCTTCTGATTTAATACAAAAGCGAAAATGGAACCTAACCTAGATTATTTCTTTATTTTTCAGACTCATTTCTTGATCAGCCACTTCAATCGAGAGAAATCCGTCGGATTTGCTTTTCAGGTAAGATTCATAACTGTTGAAAAGAATATATGAAATTTATATGATGATAGTAATTACCGTATGATTTTATTGATTTCAACCTCATGGCTGCAATTATTGCAACTGATTCATTTTTAAATCAACGAAACCCTTGTATTCTAGTGATATTTTATTAAATAGAATCTACATTTGTATTTTTTAGTGAAGTTGCTTAATGAAGACGGAACGACGGAAAACCCATGCATATGAATAAGGTAAATATCAAGAATATACCAACATATTTTCTGAAATTTGAATGTGATGAATGTAATTACCGTATGATGTTTTTGATTAAATCTACATGGCTGCAATTATTGCAACTGACTATCTTTGAAATTAATGTTATTATTTTCCATGCTAGCCATATTTTATTCTAATGAATTATATTTTAATTTTCAGTGCGGTTAAAGCTATTTGAACTACGAACTGGTCTATCGGCTAAACTATAGGGATTACACTGACCATCAAGCTAGGTAAGACACACATACGCCAGCCTGTAAAGCTTGCTTTAAATATTCATATGATGAATACCTTTTATCTATTAACTTTCGTTCTACTGAGTAGAAAATGCGGAGAAATTTACCTGACCTAACTAAACTATCATATTGGTATTCCAAGTTTATATGTGATGTTAATAGCAATTTTCATGTCTTCTTTACAGTGTAACTTTATCCGACATACCCTGAAGACTTCAATGGATTGTGCATCGCTTGAAGTGGTAGGTTTTCTATATAATTTGTGTTACCTTAAACTCTTTTAAATGATGTTACTTCAGTATAGTTCATTAGAATTCCACATGTTACAAAGTTTTCGAAGCTGATATTGTCTTCAAATCGGCTTTCGACTAATCGCAAAGGCAAATCTTATTAATTAATATTTTTTTCTTGCAGCTCTGATGGTTTGCTGTCAAACCAGTCGGACAGATGTAGCGATGCAATGCTATAAAGGTACAGTTTTTGGAAACTTAATTAAGATTGTTTTTTGTTAAGCGTTTTATTTGATGAATATCCTAACTCAGGATTCCCTCTTCTGAGTAGAACCCTAAACAACCATGCTGTTCACTTTTCCCTGTCTGAACAAAAAATGCTTAACAATTACAATTATTAACATGTTGCGCATTTCTGACATTGTTTAATCAATTATTTTACACTTCCAGATGTATCAGTACTGTCCTAAGAATGCGAATCTTGCCCGAGTTCCATTCAAAACACTTTGGAAGACATCTATTCAAAGGTAATGATCCAATTTAGTATGATTTTAAGCTTAAAAAAATGCGATTTTTATTGATGAATATCCTAACTCAGGATTCCCTCTTCTGAGTAGAACCCTAAACAACCATGCTGTTCACTTTTCCCTGTCTGAACATAAACGCTACACACATATTGTTTTGTCCTTAATATCTTGTATTAAACTCTGCTATTTATTTTATTTGCAGGAAACTTAGCATCATTTTGAACTGTAAAAGGACTCTTAACTACTAAGGTAAATTGTGCTTTAAGTATTTTTGTTGCTCATTTGAAATGATGAAGAAGCCCTTAGTGGTTTTTTTTTCTTAGAATCTCAAATATCATGCTGATTTTGTCTTCTTTCCCCAACTGATAAATCATTTCAATTGACGACTTGAATTAGTTTGTCCCAACAATGTACTAATTAAGTTATTCGTCTATCTCTTTCAGGTTGATTTGTTCCAGAATAAAACAAATGAAATAAAAGTAAATTAAAAATCAAACATAATCTGTGTACAATATATTGAAGGAATTGAAGAGATCTGGCGTATTTGGGGGGTGGTGGTTCGGTGGTTCGGTGGGTTAAGTCGAGACTTTCCGATCCGGGGGTCCTCGGTTCGAAGCGTGCACGGACTTTCCTTTTTTTTTTTCTTAAACAAATCTTTTTTTCCACAGTTTTACAGTAAAAATTACATTTTAAAATTGTTTTGGTTTTTTTTTTAAATTTAGCTGGCATTAATTAAATATTTAACTGGTAAAAATTTTAAGAGCGTTTTTTTTTTGTTTTTTCCTATTAAAATGTTGAAAAAATACCATATGAAAATTACAAAAATTTTACTTGAAAAACAGAAAAAAATACTGCAAAAAAACGTACACCATAAAAACAAAAAAAAAGTAGCATTTTTTTTGGTTATTTTGGGTTAAAAACTTGGCTAATATCCAATAACCGAACCCGCAACTTTCGGTTACAATTACATGTAGAGTACGAGAATTTATTTCCTTTTCTTCAATGTCTGGCAGCGCTGAGGCAAGAACAAAAGCTGGATGCTATGAGACTCGAATGGTGATTAACTTAAATTTTGAAATAAATTTCAATGGAATTACATTTTAATACAATTTTCAGATTATAGTTCACTTTTGTGGGTGCAGAGAATTCAGCAGCTGAAAGCTTGCTCCCACCACTCAACCACTTGGCACACACGCACTCATTTTTCTTCGGTTATTTCGGCCCGGCCTTCTTTGCATTTTTAAAGCGCCGGCAAGCAAGCATCAATTTATCATGCTGTGTTGTGTTGGCCATATAAGCGGAAGTTGTACTACCCAGCAGCACTACATGCCCTGCCAGCCGTATGAGCAGCAACAATAACATCAGGAGCAGCCGCAGCCGGCACGAAATGGAGAAAACGAAGAAGAAACAGCCCCACTTTCGGGAGGGGTGTCACATCTATTTTCAACATTGTGCACACATTTCATTCATTGAGTGCATGTCGGTGGGGCCCGAGAACAGAACACGAGCATATTTACAACCATGAATGAAATGCAGTGGGAGAGAGAGTGCAGAGTGCAAGAGGCACTTATGCGCTTTTATGCGATTTTATGGGACATTTTAAACGACAGTTAGTTGCTTTTTATTAAGTTGTTTGATAATTATCTTGTGGGGTGTGCAATCAAAACGCAATGAATTCAATTGAAAATTTTCCATCCCTCCTTCAATCTCAAGTTATTTACAGCTTCACTCCAGAGTTTTCAGTTCGGGGAGCAGGAGTAGGAGTAGGAGCCGGAGCAATGGCATTCGGCAGTCGTCGAACTTTTTGCACTCGATATGTGACGACAAGGACATCGACATCGCTGCGCTTTTCACTCTCCGAAACTGATAAAGATAAGGCCAAGGAGTCTGTCGCCGTCTCGAGCTTCTTCTGATTCGAGTGTGTCCTGGAGGAAACTTTGTCGTCCTGCCTGCCTGCCTGGCCCGGCATGGCCCGGCGGTTTTTGCGGCCAACCGAACCCAGAACGAGAGGAGTTGGCTAGTATTTTTGTGACAATTTATTTTCTGTGCTCTGGCATTTGCTTTTCAACAAATCGAAAAACTATTAAATTGGGCTGAAAGCCAGAAACTAAACGCAAAAGAAGATAAAGGAAGAGGGACAGAGAGAGACAAGTAACAAATAGAAAAGATATAATGAAAAATAGCAATTTCTTTTTAACAAACTATTGAAATCTGTATACTCTTTTTGTAAGATAATGAAGCAAATTATAAACAAATGATTCTTGAGCTTTATAATATCATACACAAATGGAATATACCTAGGACTCCTCCTATGATTTCTGTACTTTTTCCCCATGCACCCCTAAAATTTCCGTAGGATAATATAGGTTGTATAGTTTGCCAAAGAGAACACACGAGCTCCACCTCCATAGCAGAGATTTCGCTTGATGACAGTCGCGCGATTTCTCCCCGCCTTGACACATTTGATTTGGCTGCAACTTTTCACCGTATAAATGCTGCCGAACGGAATGCTGCCACGACATCATGTTAATTGGAAGTGCAGTGTGCAGTGTGGTCATGGCCAGCAGAAGGGAGCCGTGTGACAAGTGTGACCGAGCTAACGGTCGAGACTTGAATGCGTATATGTACACCTGCCACAGCGATTAGGATCTAAGTAAACGATGTCCATAGAGAGGGCGAGATGGATAAAGCTTGGGGCATTCAACAATTTTGAGGCGAGCAAACAGACTTTACCACATGGGCGCGTTTATCTGTTGATCTGTGAATATATAAAACTTGGCACCTCTTTGAATCCAAATCTAGTGTAAAGTGGATACCGGACCCCAACCGAGGAAGGATTAATGTGGTGGCAAGGCAACAAACACTTTTCGGGTGACATTAAACTAATTAAAAGTTTCCCTGGTCCCTAACCCATATGGGCCATGGACGCATGTCTATTGACATGAAAATTGTGCATTGAAATCACGTAAATGTCGGAGGAGCAATTTAATCAGCACAACATCAGAGAGTGCGGCTGCTAAGCCGGAATTAAATTTAGCAGCATAACCAAATCAAAAATAGGGGCCACAGCAGCACAGACACGGACACACGCCTCCCGACCAACAACACCGTTGTCAACGGGACACAACAAAATTTGCACACAAACTACGTGACTTCAATTCCTCAGTGCGGCTGCAAAAAAAACTAAAAAGAAAGCCAGGTGTACGGACGGCTGTGTCTGGTCTGGTCTGTCTCTCCATGTATCCATGTGGTTAGCTCTCAATCGCTTTTTTTCTGGTGGGTTCGTGCACAAGTTTTAATCCCTTGCACTTTTGTCAATGTCGGAGCCGAGATACCGTCAGATTTAGATTCTGTCCAATGTGAAACAATACAAAAAACAAAACAAAAAAATGGATTCACGACCCTAACGAATAAGAAACACTCTTGATCTGTTTTGACAATATGGCTTTCGCATTCGGCTTTGTCTCCATGGCGCTGGCCGATTTTCAGTACTAATCTATATCTTTATTTAAGACCGACTTGACAAATCCAATGGCACTTGGTTCACTTGGAATACCCTTACATCACGTACACACAACCATACAAAAAGGGTCAAAATAAATGGGAATTGCATTCTGTTTGGGAAATAGTTTTCCACCACAAGGAAATTTTCCTCAGAGTTTTCCCCTGTGTGGTAGTGTGGCTAGGGCACTGGCACGGGCACGGATAGATGGCCAATAAAATTAATTGATTTTGTGGTTTCTTTTTTTACTGCTGCTTGTTCTGCTGCAGAGTCTGATTTCTGCTTCTGTGACAGTTTGACCGCATTTGATTGACACTATGGGGTCTGTGCTCCAAATGGATATTCTGCGGGTTATGGCCAGCTAAAGGGTAACCAAGCCGAACCTTAATTAGATTAGAAGCAGTTAAACACAACGATTTGAATGGTACCTAAATATATTTGAATGGTAGCGTCATAAGCAGTGGAAGCTGTACTGGGAGTGGGAGATAAAATATCTAGCTCGGAAATTCAGTGGAGCAGGTCCCTTTTTATCCTCAGCAAAATTCTCAATAAATACTCTCAATATCAGGTTTAATTGAATAACACAAAAATTGAATTAATTGTTCACGTTATGCTTCCATTGCTTATCCTTCGAGTGCCATGAACGGGGGGGTGGGGGCGGGGAAAACGAACAAATATAAGCGTAAACGTAAACGCTTTCAACAGTTTTCCCTGTGCAACTGGAATTGATTTCCATTTCCCCATTTTTATTAACAACCATTTAAGTGCAATGAAGTGAAATGCGAGAATTCTACGTATATATGTATGTATGTACAATATGTATATATAAATATATTTCTCTAGTGTATTTTTTTTTGTCAGGGATTTCATTTTTATGGCGTGGCATAGTGTAGATGGCATTTCATGGCTGATTTAACCCGCGGCTGCTCCCTAACAGTGACTGCTCCGGTTCTGGCTGTGACTGGGCTGTGACTGCTCCTGCTCCTGTTTCTGCCTCTGTTATTGCAGTTGTAATTCATTCTTTCATTCATTCGCTCACTCTTTCATTCGTTCACTCGTTCTTTGGTAGTTATGCGAGGTACTTGTGGCAGCCAAGGGTATATACGTATGAACTGTACTGAGGCAAAATTTATAAGAGCATTCTTGAACAGTATCTGTAGGTAGGGTTGTCGTTATAGCCAATGGTATTGGAGATTTAAGTTGTTACAGCTATGGCTCTGTCACCTCTTTTTGTCTCACTCTAAGAGGTGTTTTATTTTCTTCGATTGTGGGTATCAGTCAGTCGGAATATCGACTATACCATTCCTTCTTCATTTTTTCATATGTCAGGGGCGTAAATGAAAACGCAAACGGGGCGTATGATTAATGTGGTTTACATATGAAAGCGACTCTGTCCTGCTCTGCACTCTGTCTTTGTCTGGTTCTGATTCTGTTTCTGTCTCCTTTTTTTTGTTTTGCCTCTGGTGTTGCTGTTGTTACTGGCAGTGCTTATTCAATAATTTATTGCTGGCATCCTCAGCCACTTACAATGTCAGAAAAATATGCGCGAAATATGCATAAAAGTATTACATGCAGGCGTTTGTCAGACCACCCACCCACCTACCCCAGAGCCACAGAACCAAAGCATCCTCCTTCAGCCCAGCCTCCCCCCAACACCCTCCTCTCACAAACCGAAAGTGAAAGCTCTCGAAATGTGGGATCCACAATTAATTGGCTGCTAGCAAATTTTACAATCCAATCAGTGGCTGATAAGAGAAACAAAATGGGGAGAAAGAGTGTGTCGAATTTGATGAAAATGATTTTGCGGTGGCAAATTGTATTCTGATTTTAATTGGTACTTATTGGGTGAGGTAAGCAAGAGAAACCACATAATATACAGATAATGTACGAATATTATTAGATTGTATGTATATTTACTTACAATTATAAATGCACTTAAATTACTATTCATTTACAGTGTAGATATTTTCTCTTTTTTGCACATAATTACACTTATATACAATTAATTCGCGTAAATTGTTGAGAGGTTTCTTATCATTTGAGCAAACCAGACAGGAAGTTTGTATATATGTATGTATGTATGTACATGATTATAATAATATTACTTAAATCATAAATACTTTTATTATGCATCTATGGCTGGTTCCCTTCAACTCTTTCTGGCAGTGTACTCCCCATAAATATACAATTCATTATCAATAATGAATGACATATGAGCGATGTGAATGCCGCTTGAACTTAAACCAAAGGGCGATAAATCTTCAGCACCCGAGAGCTTGAGCTCGAGCTCGAGACTTTAGACGGACAGATCGCGGCCAAGCGACAGTTCACGATGAGCAGTTCGAGCGTCCAGAAGATTGGAATCGTGGGCAGCGGCCTCATCGGCAGAGCCTGGGCGATGCTCTTCGCCTCGGCTGGCTACCGCGTACAGATGTACGACATTCTGGACAGTCAGCTGGTCACGGCTCAGCAGGAGCTGCACAAGGAGCTGCACAGTCTTGAGGAGAAGGGTTCGCTGCGTGGCCAATTGAAGGCAGTGGAACAGTTGGCACTGATCGGGTTCACCCAGCGGCTGGAGGAGCTCGTCGTGGATGCTATCCACATTCAGGAGTGCGTTCCCGAGCAGCTAGAGCTGAAGAAGTCACTGTACTCCCAGCTGGATGGCCTCCTGGAACAGGACACTGTGGTCGCCAGTTCGACGAGCACCTTCATGCCATCCCTGTACAGCGAGGGACTAAAGAGGCGACAGCAGGTGGGCAGCTGCAATATTTTTGATGACATTTTCACACATTTACTTACACTTTCCAGATGCTGGTAGCCCATCCCCTGAATCCGCCCTACTTCATACCCCTGGTGGAGATTGTGCCCGCCCCCTGGACCACCGCGGAGGCTGTGGAGCGCACCCGCCTGCTGATGCTGAGCCTGGGCCAGCGGCCGGTGACGCTGAAGCGCGAGATCGAAGGCTTCGCCACCAATCGCATCCAGTATGCGATACTCAACGAGGTCTGGCGCCTGGTCGGATCGGGTATACTCAGCGTGGCGGATGTGGACCGGGTGCTGAGTCAAGGACTCGGGCTGCGCTACGCGCTGCTTGGCTCCCTGGAGACGGCCCACCTGAATGCACCCGGCGGAGTGGCCGACTATTTCAAGCGTTTCGGTGCAGAGATCTCTGCCGTGAGTGCCACCTATGGAGCAACGCCGAACACCCAGGCGGAGGAAGGAACGCTGGCGGAGATTGCCAGGCAGTGCGAGGAGCTGGTGCCGCTGGAAGAGCTCGACCAGAGGCGGGCCACGCGGGACGCCTTTCTCATCCATTTGGCCAAGCTGAAGAAGCGATTCGAATAGTAAAACTAATTGCTACGCTTTTCTCTGATTAAAATATCCTCCGAAAAATCGAGAGAAAAGGCTTTTTCCCCACTTTCCCAGTTCCTTTTCTCCCTTTTCCAACGTTTCCCGCATTCTTGATGCTTCTCCGTTTTCGTGCATTAATGAAATTAATTTTTGTGGCAACCGGAAACGTTTTTCCAGGCGAACCATTCAAGTACAACGTGTCACATTTCCGCTCTGGCATTAAATTCGGGTTTTCCCGCCCTCGTCCGCCACTGGCTCTGGCTCTGGCTCTGCTTCTGTCTCTGGCGCCTTCGCTTTTCCACTTTGCCATTACAATTTCCATTCATTCGGCACTTGGCCTGATGAATGCTGACGGCTTTAACTCATTTTTCATTTCAGGGCAGTTTCCATTGCAAATTTTCCCTCCAGCACAAAAAGCTGCTTGAGTGAGGAATTTCAATCTGAGTGCGGGATTTGTTTTCACTAACGAAATTTATAGTGGAATTTTAATGGCTCTTGGTTTTTATTTTTATCATCTACAATTTGATTGGATTTACTAGAGTACGATGGATGCTTAGGGGGTTGACTTAAATTTTCATAAGTCGATAATTGATTTATCAGATTTAACTCTGATTTGTATAAATTTGAGCTGAGCAAAGACAAAGGAATATCCTTTGGTTGATTTTTTAATCTCATTAAACTCGATATTTATATTCAAAAGCGAAAGAGCTGCAGGTGCTGCTGCTGCTGGCTCCTCTCTTAATAATTTTAAATGGCAAGTATTTAATATTTCTCGCCAGGGCCATATAACAATTAAAGCCGCAATATTTTTTCCACTGGAGGGTTGAGGGTTTGGGAGTATGAGTAGTGTATAGGCAGGCCCCCCCCCGGGCGGTTGTCTCGTCTGCGGCCCTGAAATCCTGTTGGCGTTGGCGGGGGCAGAAGGGGAGGCTTAAAACTGCAATGTCATTGTTATGGGACAGCGGGCGAGCAACAAAAAGCATGTGGCTAGTAATTCATTACCCAGACCAGCACTCATTGGAATGCCAGTGGGGATCGGACGGGGAAAAGGGGGGGAGGGAAGGCAGGAGACCAGGACTATTTCACATGGCGCTGTCGTCCAACGCCATTTAATGGGCAAACAAAAGGCGTGGAAAAAAAAAATTTCAGAGAGAACAAAGTAAGAAGGAAATAGTGGAGATCTTCCGACTGTTGGATACCCCCTGCTGATGGGGAATTACCCGTACACACTATATGTCTTGAAGAACTCTTTTGGGATAAGTTACCAAATTGTAATCACGATCAATTTTACGTGGGAAGCTCTTTAAATCACCGAGTTCCTGGTATCAACTGGTATTGGTCGAAATCCTTTCGATCCATACACAAATAGAGTATGCCCCGGGCACTTTACGAGTACAGCGCATAAAAAGAGCCCGCCGCAAAAGTGTGAAAAAAGAGTGTGGCCAGAGTTATGAAGTATTTGCAAAAGTGCAGACGGCGGCACAACGGGTGGCAGAGGATGGATGGTGGATGGTCGGTTGTGGCAGGTGGGAGGGGGGTAGTGGGATGCTAAAAGTTAAAACAACGAACCATAATTAATGGAATGACAACAGAAAGCAGGCAACAATTTCAATGTCCCCTCCATTTTGGTCTTTTTTCTGCTTTTATCTTTCTTTTTGTTTTGTTTGAGCCGCCAGACGTTAGGACCTGGTCCTGTGGCTAGGTGGGAATGTTTATTGAACTCTTCAGAGCGGAAGGGAGAGGGAGTGAGAGAGAGAGAGAGAGAGAGATATATGAACTGAAAGAGACACACAGCAAGATAGACAGCGAGAGAGAGAGAAACAGAAAAATGGATGGGTTAAAAGCGGAAGGAAGCCATGTGCATTGGATTGGCTGGTGGTAGGGGAAAAGGGAGCAAAGGAAATGCATTGTTTCACGCCCAATTTCATTTGGGTATTTTTAATGGTCGCATGGGGAGGAGCAAAGTGAAGAGTGAGAGCAGACAGACAGGGTTCTGGCTGTAGTTGGGCGTAGGTGGTGCATGTAATTAACGTCGAGTAATCAAAGTAATTAATAAAATGAATTCAAGAGGCTACCAGTGGGGGTGTTTTTTTTGTTTGCCTTTTCAGGGCAGATGATTCTCTATCAACGGACTTACTCCATACATAAACTGTGACTATCGGTAAGGATCAGTAGAGGATTCTGCAAGGATTTTTATCATCTGCTTCTGACTAACATTGGACAGGAGTCGTTACACGAATGAAACACAATCAGAGCAACTAATTGAACAAAAGAAAATAGAGAGAAACTCAGTCCTGCCGTCGTTATTCATTAATTATCCTCACCTCAGTTGTACATTTCCCTCTACTTTCCCCGCCCCATCGCCCTACCCAAATACCAAACAAGCAGATAAAGGAAAAAATAAACAATTTTTCATTGGGTCTGTCATTTGTTCGTGTTCTGTGAGTTGTTAACAATCGATATGATGTGTTTTCCAGACCTATCTGGACACAACAAATGAGGACAGTGCTTTATGGCCGGGGTTGGATGGTGGCATGTGGCATGCCCCCCGCTGACAGCTAGTATGTAGCACAATAAATCATTCCATAAAACATTTACGCCTCGCAGCGTAAAAAGTTGATTCGACCCGACAGACTCGATCCCCGCACTGATCCCAGCCGACCCAATTTGATTCGAGAGAGAAGAAAGCTGAGACCATGATAAATAAATAATCAGACCCTTTGGATGAAGATGTCAAAGATTAGGAGCTGGGACTGATAGACCAAGGTATGGGATGGGATCCGTGTATCCGTGACCCCCACCCACATCATCACATAGCCATAGCCTCTTCCATTTATCAAGTGGGCGGTTTGGTAGACAAGACAATCGATTGGAATTCATTTAATTTGACCATTTCAAATGCTCGAATCAGGAATCACAGCCAAAAGCCAAAAGGGCGGCAAACAACAGCAAACCAGTGCAAACAATGACCTGACTCCTGGCCCTGTTTTGAGCTGCCTTTGAAGCGGATTCCGATTCCGCTTCCGATTCCCATTCCCATCTCGGCACCATCTATCGCTCACCCGCTGACATTTATCTTGATCGACCTCAGTGGCAGTTTTTTCACCGCCGCACCAAATTCAATTTGCTTTATGGATGGCACACAATGGACAACACAATAAATACATCAAATAGGAGCCATGGAAATGGTGGATTACAGCCACCGAAATACGTATACACTATGCAAAAAATTAAGGGCAAATAACTCTGGAAATCTTTTTTTCTTTCTCTTCATCTATGACAGAACTCATTGACACCGTTTGCAGACTTAAAAATATTTATAAGATAGCTACACAGATATAGTGAACGAATAAAGAGAGCATCAATAGAAAGGTGACCACGTGTGAGACGATATTTTGAAGAGTCTAAAGAACATTTTCTGGGCACAAACAATTTCTTTGGGCCATTCTTCGATTGTGTTATTTGTCTGTGGCATTATTGTGGTCTGGCCAATAAATCAATGCCTTTGTGATAATTTATGTTCTACATTGGAATTTTCATTTATCTGTCGAACATATTAAATCTGGGCTAATCGCAGGGCGAAAGTCCGGCGACTCTATTATGACAAATTTGTGTGCGTTCCATTAATAAATGAGTCCAGAGCTGGTTGCATTATTAAACTGCTTTAAAGGATGCTTCAATGCCCGCCACAGCTATGGGGCTGTGGATGTTGCAAGTGGAATTTTGCTTTCCCTGGCCGGCACGTCCGACTCCGACTCCTACTTCTAGTTCCCTAGTCCCTGGTCCCTTGTCCTTTGAGCGCGGCCTGTCAGCGTTTTTGTTACTCTTCTTTTTGTGTCTGGTGCGGCGGTCAAAACCGCAGACATTTTGGAGGAGGACGTGGGGCAAATTGTTTGGCCAGCACAAAGTTTATTTAATTTCTCACAGAATGGAGATCTACGTGCACCCCTCTTTTGACTTTGTTGATTAAAACAAATTGCGCTCTGTCTCAACGGCTACAGACCGAACCCTAGACGAATGCCAGAAGCTCGAAGGATGAGAAACGAAGCTCGGAAAAAGAAGGGGCACAAAAGTCTAGCATTCCTGAAGGGCTCTGAACTTAAGATTGCTTCAACTCAAGAGATCGACAAAGCATTTATTTCTCAGCAATAATATTTAGTTGAAAATTATCCAAAAAAATTCAACAGTATCCAAAAAATCTCCAACAGGCTGTGTTAGTGCTTTTCTGCATATTTTCTTAATTGATTATGAACCACCTGAACAATGCCTCCCACTCTACACTCGGGAATAAACGTGCGGCAATTCAGTAAATTGCCATCGGGAAAATGTACGACGTAATAGACTTAAAAATTATACAAAAGATATAATGCGATTAACTTTTCACTATTTGATTTGTAATTTTTGTTTTCTTTTTGCTTTCGTGCTTTCTCGTACACAACTGTACCAGTTGGCCTCTCCCTGCTCGCTCTTGTATCTGGGCATGTGAGAGCGCACAAGGACGAGAGCTTTATCTAATTAGTGTCTCTGAGTTTATTTGAGTTGATTTTCGCAATCAGATTTCGTATTTGCTTTTTGCCAATGCTGCTTTCTGCTTGCTGGCAACAAAGTCAAATTCGCTGGCAATTGTCATAACTCTAATGCAATTAACCCTTGCCCTTGTCCTCGCCCCAGAGCGCAACTTTATCGGATATAAAAGGGATTGCGGGAGATGGGGGAAAGAGCAGAGATGGGGAATCCGAGTAAATACAGCCATGGAGTGAACCTAAATATTTAATTAGGATTATAACGAAGCGGGCTTATCGCGGCTGACGACGGCTCATCTGAAAGTGATGAGGGAGGAGCCACCGATGGATGTCAAAGAGTGTGTCCTGCGGGCTGCAGGTCTTCCTGCTTTCCCGGTAAACTCGAGAGAGAGAGAGATAGATTGAAGTGGGCTACAGGGAGGGAGCATGTGTAGCAGGTTGGGTGCGTGTCTGGCGTTTCACTTTTCGTTGACTTAATTTAATTAATTTCCTAGCCCAAAGGGTCCATTCTGTCTGTCTAT